GGTGGGGAGTTGGAAAACTACCTCGACCTCACTTCAATTCAATTGACTGGTGTTCCGGTGAGTTGCTGTCAGTTTATTAGAAATTTCGGGGATGAAATCATCCCTGAAAATGATCGTTTCCACTGATTTTTTGAGGCAAAAATAAATCACAGATATATTTTTCTAGTTAGCACCCTGTCATTTAATCATCAAGCCCTCCGACTTCACCTAAGTTATGCCCTCATCAGTACTCCCCTCCACCCCCAATTTTAGTACTTGTTGATACATACGCCACTGGGGCCGGATTTTTCAACTTAAATTCGTCCATTTTTTTGCTTTAGTCAAATTTATCAATATTGCTTAGCTTAAAAATTGCTTAAAATTAAAGAGTCTTGAATTGTACGCATGCCCTCCTATGATGATTTTTAAGCTAAGATTTTGCTAAGATGGTTTAGGTTTGATAAATATTTGCTCAGGGCAGGGGCATCTTAACTTTTTTGACTTAAGACATTTGCTAAGCAGAGATTGATAAATCCTGGGCCAGGTTTTCATGTGCTCTGACAAAAAAATCCATAGTTATGCCACTAGTGTAAATCTTTATCATTCTGTATAAAACATAATAACAATTTGAACAAGTCATCAAACACTCTGTTACCACCACTGACTTGTGTTTTATTTATATAGGAAGTGATAGCACAAGCACTGCAGAATAACAATAGCACTATATTTGAATGTAAGTATTTGTGAATTCGTCGTTAAACTAAATTAAATAATTTGCTTTTGTTTACATACTGCACAACATTGAGATAAACATAAGAAAATATCACTAATAAAGATTATACTGAATGTGATGTAATACATTATACAGTAGTGGAATTAAGAACTTAAATATCCAAACAGTATTACCTGTCATCAGTGGTGGATACAGTATGTTTCACTGACATGCATAATGTACTGTACTGTATAATGTAACTACTTCCATGCTTTGAGAACGAATTTCAACATTCCAAAAACCTGTACAACTTTTTGGAAGTGCTCGTTTTCCCAGACACCATCCGTCAGTGAAATAGCCTGCCTCAACATGTTGTTAAGTCGCCATTTATCGACACATTCAAGGACAGCGTATCTGATATTCACATCCGAGGACATAACTGACCACCAATGCTGCATGAATATAATACTCATACAAGGTTTATGCACAATATAGGACGATGATTTTGATTGCACACAGACATTCTATTTCCTTACATTACTGTACATACCAGTTATTGGTGGAATCCTACTTAAATGCCGCTTGGTGAAGAGACAGCTGTGTCAGAAAAAATTATATATTTTTTTTTTTGTCAACTGTTCTCAATAATTTACTTTATTTTTTTTATTCCACAGTCACATCCAACAGCTGATGGCCAAATACAGGATGCTTTATTTAATACATTTTAAAATACATAAAAAACATACATTGTGAAGTAGTAATAAAACAATACATTTAAAATACAAAGTTTAACATTTCAAAAAAGTATAAGCATATTGGTAATGTGTGCAACAGGTATTTCACAATAATTACAATTAAAGTACTTTGTACAGTGTTTCACTTTTACTTTCCTACAAAGTAAAATTACATTTCTAAATTTATTTAGTTTTATATAATAGTGAAAACCAAACTCTCAAACTCTTTTGAACAATAAAGTTAAACTACAGTTCAGGGTATGGCATTTGATGAAATTGATATTGAAAATAGAAATTTTAAAGATTCCTTGTCCTGAATTATATTATACTTCTTCATTTATTTTAAGATGAGGATGATGATGGGGATCGTATCATTGTCAGTAGCGAAGCAGAAATGGAGGCAATGATGTCTTTTGTAAGTTCATTAATTCATTCTGATGTTTATTATTCTTAAGAAAATTTGCACTGTATTAGTTAATTAATTTGTGTATTGATCCCTGATATTATATATTTACTTTTATTGTATTATTTTTGTTATTATAGTTAGTTAATGTAAGGGCAAAAAGAACAAATTCTTGTATTGGCCTAGCAACGTTTTTGGGAAAAATCAAAAATGTCTAGGTCGGTACAAAATTTTTTTTCCCCAAAAATGTGTTTATGCCTAGAAAGTAGAAAATACACAAAAATATACAAAGACCATTTTTATACAGATATTGCCTGCTTAGAGGTGTAATATTTGATGATTCCTCGGCCTTACAACATTCACTGAGTAGGCCTACATTAACGGATGAATTCACAACTAATTTTGTACACCGAGAATCCTTTTTGTCAATAATTCTATCCAATCCGTCTTCGTCGAGAGATTTAAACTTATTTGAAATCGCCATTTTCGAAGCGCTAGGCTTTCCACATTCACAATTCGTGAGCGATCGATCGTCCGCTCGAATAGAATTCTACGGGCGCAATGCGGGTGTAATCCGGTGACGTCAGAGACCGGTCACTTTTCAAAGTTATATTTCCCTACGGGGAAATATAACGTTTCCAATCCTCGTAGCGCTAGTCACATGATGCCATTTCGACCAATCATGTACATAGGCTATGTAATATAAAAATATTTGAAGCAAAACTTTCGCATAACACTGTCACATTACATACCGTCCAGCAACGTAGTCTTATTCCAGCCTTTTTAGCTCATTAAACCTCAATTTCATACATTTTGGGTCAGTCGGGCCTGGCCAACAAAAATAATTTTTTTTTTATTTGGCCTAATAATAAACAAATCAGGGGTGGATCCAGATATGGGGGAGGGACAACACTACCCTAGGGCGGACATTTTTTTTTCTGACGCTCAGAAATAAACTGAGGCGTTTTTGGCGACAATAATTTCTTTTTCTTTTCTTTTTTTTAACTTTCCAAAAGGGCAGGTGGGGAAACCGGCTCGACCCCACCCCCTAAATCTGCCCCAGCAAATTGAATGCAGTTCTTTATTAAGTTTACACTTATATTATTAATTATTTTTAGAAAAATGCTTGAAGCTATGTAATGTATGTCTTTTTTAGTACATGAATCTAATGGAAGAATGTACAAGTAGTGGAAAGATGGCACCCCCTTTAACACTATATCCAAGAGGTAAGGGACATCTGTTCGTAGGTGATAGTATAGAGTACTACAGTGTTATGTCACGATAATACGTGATACTACACCGTTGCTATCGGCGACACAAAATGAATTCAACCGGACACCATTTTCTCCACTGATCCCAATTTCTAATGTAATTATTAAGATGTTGTATCATAGTTTTTCTTTGTAAATTTTAATTGATGATTAAATGTGAGGTCTCGCCACAAAATGAGTCTCATGGTTAGAAATTCAAAAATTATATTATATTTATGGTAGATCACATTATAAGCTTTCATTTGGTCTTTGAATGGCTTCCCTACTATAAGTAAATCCAGAGATGTGAGCATTTAAAGTTTAGGTGTATAAGAACCACGTTTTGAGAAAATCGGCCTCAAAGATAAACTAACTTGTAAAAAATTGTATGACTAGGATTACAGAATATATGCAAAGAACACTGTTTTGGCAAGAAAATTCACAAAATATACAATCATAAAATATAAGTATCAAGTTATTCAAAAACATTAAAATCAAAATTTTGTAAAAAGGTTGACTTTGGCCTGTTTTGGTGAATATCTCAATATGATTTTACCAACGATGCATCTCATTTCGTGGTGAGACCTCACAAATGTGTGTTTGATAACTAATATAATGCAAGCTTTTTGTGTTTTTAGTACATTTTGATGGTAAATTATTAGGTTTTAAAATGCCTATTCCAGAAAGCCTATTTTAAACCATTAAGATTATGAAGTCATTCAGGCATAATGAACAGTAACCAATGTCTGGTTGACAACAAAGTGCGCCACCTGGTGTTGTGACGACACGACTGTTTTACTCTATACGATATAATGAATGTTTATGAGCCCAAAGAAATTTTTTCATTAGGCTAATAGCATGTTCCGAGATGCATAGGACATTCCGTTTTTCACTAAATAAGAATATTTTATATTACAAATCTATGCAATGTGCTCATATATGACCATGATGATGAATGTCATATTATACCCAAATATGGGCCATTATGGGCATATCACATTATTTGTCACATACAATTTGATAGCATGGATAAGATCCTAACACTTTGTGTATCAAAATCTACAATTTTTACTATTCAATTCAATAGAGTTCATGTTATTTGTGGATAATAATACACAAGTTATAATATGAATGAACGTAGCATGTATTCATTAATGTGGGCTACCAAAAACTTATAAACTGTCGCATGGCTCTCCAATCATAACTTGAAAAAAGGGGAATATTTTAACCAAGCTGACATATGAAAGTGAAAATTTGAAAGAAAATATACTGTAATCAGTTTGACATATCTAATATAATCATCTATTGTTATAGAAGCCACTTTGCTTTTTGCTGTAGCAGCGCTATTTTCAGATTTACTGTATACAGTAACAGTATTTTTTTGTTTGCTTTCTAGTCAACAATGCGGGGAAGAGGAACTTCCACGGTTTAACGGTAACAAAAGAATTACCTTTTATCATTACTTTATAAAGAAAAAATTGTCCAAACCTTTTTATATTTAAATATTTCTTTTAAACGGAATGTTTTTAGTGGTTGCTCTGACAGATAAAGATTACCCTTTTGATAAACCAGGAAATGAACTTCATACGTTAATTTTGCTTTGGTTAATTAGCATGCCTGACAAGTTGTAACAAACGTTGGCTGTAAACATACTTCCTTGATTAATGTTGTCATATCCTTTAACAGTGACACTAAGCATAGTCTTTATATTTAAACCATTAGATATGATGCACATAGAGGCTTTGATTATGTACTGATAAAACATTGTTATCATTATCATTAATTGTTATAAGATCCTACAGTTATTCTGGTGTATGTGTGTCTGTTGTTATGTGTGTCTGTTGTTATGTGTGTATGATTGTAAATATGTGTGTGACCAATTTTGAAGAACTGTGTTGCCATCATCTATTCTATTATTTGATTCGATTTGATTTATTAGGTACTCGACATAACAATACAAGAGAAACAAAGACAAAAGAGCACCAGGATTACCCATTAAGCCGACGGTAGTCATGCTCATTTTCAATGGGGTCCTTATAAAACCAATACAATAAGACACACACAAAAAAAAATATATATATATATAAAATGTAACAAGTGTAAAAATGTACAAAAATAAAAGCAAAAATTCTTAAAATGTTTTTTTGTAGACAGAGTATTAAGCATATTAATTTCAACATTTTTTATCAGATAAATACAAGACCAGAGGAGTCATCACTTGTACAGAAAGTTGACAGTGGAGTTGTTCTAGGAACTGGGTATTCCTTTTTTCTCTTGATTTAATATATGTAGTGTTTGAATATAATGAACTGATATATTATGATATGAATTAAGATGATGCTAATTGGGAAGGCACTATGGTAAATCAATTACATATGTTCTCTCATAAGTATTATCATTTTTACACCACCACGATTAATATTATCGTTTCTCTCCCCATCAAAATAATCAGTATTATAGCCAACCTCACCATCATAATTGTTATCATAAAGATTATGACTTTCAGTTAACAATGAAAATAATAATTAAATAAATGCCTGACAATGAACATGAAACCCAGTATTTTTGGTTTTAACTTTTTTTTTTTTTAATTTCGGTATAATATATATTTTTAATCTTGTGAATTTCTGTGAATTTTAATGTATATTATTGTTACTTTTATCTCCATTTTTCATGTCTTGTGCTTACAGTTTGATTTATGTGTTGATGCTTTAATATTCATTTTTGCAAATATCATGTAATTTAGCCTTCACTTTCATAATGTAAATTAAAGAAACTGAAACTTAATTTTCATCTGGCCTAAATTTAATTTATTTTCTGTTTCAGACATCGGCATGATGCAGCACTTAGAGAAATCCTTGCAAATGGAACTGTAAGTTGGTAACGAAAGACAATAGAAATCTTTAACCATGTTTGAATGCAATCATAATGATTTTGTTAAAACTGCATTATAAACTGATTGACTATTTACATAATGTCCAGATATCCATACATAGTGGGGTGAAACATGTTCAGTGAGTATTGTGATGTAGTCTTAAAAAAAATATTTAACGTTAAAACATTTATTTGCAGATGGCAGAAGGTGATATACATTATCTTGAGGTGCTTGGGTGTGGACATAGTGGTACAGTCTACAAGTAAGTCAAATATTTTCATAATATAAATGTTTTCATAATATAGATTTAATCTTAATTTGGTATTTTCTGTCAGTCCAGAATGTTACATGATTAATATATATATCATGCTTTTAATAATTTTTATGTTTGTTTACTTTTCAAGAGCTCTCCATCGGCCTTCAAATAATATAGTAGCAGTCAAGGTGAGAAAAAGAAATTATTAAAATATTTGTAATTTATCAATGTGTTAGGTGACAATTATTTTCTATAATAACAATAATATTATTTTCATAATCATCATCATCATACTTGTCATCATCATAACCACCCATTATTTTCATCACCACCACCACAATCATTGTCACCATCAATTTCACCACCATCATTATTACCATTATCATCATCACCATGATATAATAATAACCATTATTTATTTTGTTTCCTTGTATATGTATATGTTTTTCTCCAACCTGTTATTGGAGGTTTTTATCTCTATTGGTTGAGAAATAAATAAATAAAAAAAAATAAATAAAAAAAAATTATCATCATATCAAAAATACAATCACCACCACCACCATTAACACTATTGATATATTGTAATCTTGATAACAAAGTGTATACTATGGAACTCCATTCATCACACATATAAATTACACTATCCATAATTTATTTTAAGCTTCTATGTTCTTCTTAGGTTATGCATTTAGATATATCAAAAGAAGGGGTGCAAAAACAGATTGCCTCAGAACTACAAATTTTATACAAGGTAGGTGTCTGTTAGTCTACGAATATTACAACAACATGAACGGAATCATTTGGTTGAACAAAAATGCACTATGATAAAGACTAAATGTGGCAAAAACCAGCCAGACCAGTCACTTCTTGCAAAAAATCAATTTATAGCTATTAATTAATATTAATATGATATATAATATACATATATAATATATAATATATATTATAATGCCCGCAAGTTGATTGAAAATGATATAAATAAGGTTGAAGATGTCTATGAGAGAGAGGCCATTACTCATTTAAAGAAAATTCTAGAAGACAACTTCCATCCGCTACATAAGGAACTCATTATCTGTAGATCTGGCCGACTACTTCCTATGAAATGTAGAACAAATAGATGCAGAAAATCATTTGTGCGTAATTCCATCCACTTACATAACTCAAAATTTAAAAGATAATCCATATTTATTTGCTTGAATGACCTGTATATATGTAAAATGGTTTTGTGATAACGTAATTTATTTTTTATTTCGCCTTATGTATGTTTTTATCTAGTAGCTAAGATTTCAAATGTGTCAACAGGAAAAATTTCATGTATAATTCATTGTAAACGTGACGATAAAGAAAATCTTATCTTATCTTATATAATAATATATATTATATATATAATATATAAGTATGAATATAATATATAATATATAATATATATTATAATAATATATAATATATAATATGTATTTTAAATATGCATATAATTTTATATATATGTAATATAATATAATATTAATGTTAATTTTTAGTTATTAATACAAGGTTAGACAGTAAAATGATAGTTATAAAATGTTTTAAAGTCAACAATGTGTTATGAAGTTACAGGAATTTCAAGCAGTGGTGGCACCAGCAGGGTGGGGGGTGTCAGGGTGGGCATTTTCCCCCTTCCTATAGGACAGGCCTGGACCCCCTATCGCTTGATGCATGATTAGGTCGTTGGATCAAAAATTTTAAAAATAATAATTTGCCTATTTAAATAACATTATTTTGACTGCCAATCCATAATATTGTAGTCTGAAAGCACATTTTGGACCATACTAAGCCATAAAAACTCCCTGTGAACCCTTACAAGGGAGTTCTTATTCTAGGCCATCAACCGAGGCTTCGTCGACCCCTGGGCTTGGACCTCTCCGTCGGAAATGTCAGACCCCTTGTCGACAAATTGCTGCCGCCACTGCTGGTTTCAATATAAAGCTGGTTAAGAACAATTTTATCTCTAAGTCATGAACCTTCGAGGTTTATGATTTCGGGCACTCCTCGGCCAGAGACCATTACCAAAACGTCAACAGTCTCTGAAACACGATTTGCGTGGAGTGACTTGTTTAGCTTGTCTTCACCCTAACTTATTTTATTATACCTTAGATTTATTTTAGTGAATTTTCACAATTATATGGATCTAGATTGCACTGATTAGAAAGCCAGAAAATGTTGTTAGATTCAGTGTGTCTCCAGAAAGTGAATGATCACTACTGAGGCTAAGCCACAATAAGTCCCCTTTTCTTAACTCCAGCACTGCGCTGTTACTGAACGACTGCTGATGCCGATTTGCAGAATCTCCATGAATTGATACAATGCATTCGTTGTTCATAACTAGTTCCACTTTGGGGTCCCGGCTGTGTGTTATGTGAAAAATGAAGAAATATACACCATTGCGTGGACAGATAAAATGCGTTGAGTTAAAGTTATCGCCAATGTTTGTTGCGATGCTATCAAAGCTGATAACCATCTGCTGGCCGGGATGACAAGCAAGGCCCCTTGTGCGGATGGCAGTGAATGCTGGCGTAGCAAGGCTTCTGTATGTGGCCTCAGAGTCTGAGAGTTCCATTAAGACTGGTGGGCCAAGGCCTGGGGGCCCTGGCAGGCCCATTGGGCCAGGCTCACCCTTTTCACCAGGTGGACCCTGGCCTCTAGGGCCCTGTGGTCCAGGATGACCAGGCTTACCTGTTAGTCCCTGCAGACCCTGCATGCCTGGCATTCCCTGGAGGCCGGGCAAACCATCGCGTCCTATTAGGAGTAAGTTAAATAGTCAAAATTAATTAAAAAGCTTTTATTAAATACTATAGTATTTAGGAAAGGTCCTGACTTCCTTCTTCCATTTCAATTACAGTGGTTCAATAAATACATTTTTGATTTGATTGGATTTAAATATCACAATAAATTCATTATAAAATAATCCAGCAGTTGCCTCACACATCTAGTTTTTTGCAAGAGCTATTTATATGTTGCTTCATAGCAAATCCATGATGGATGTTATCACTTTGTTATGGAAAGCTAGTCTGAAGGATGTTGTCTTAATAAAAATAACCAGTGTAAAAAAAAATACTCTGTTTTATTATACAATAAAAGCTGTATTGAAACTCTATACCTGGTATCCCAGTTGCTCCTGGTATTCCGGGGGCTCCTGGACTTCCATTTAATCCAGGTTGACCCCTTTCGCAGCAAGAACTACCACAGCGATCTTGAATACGGTCCTTTTTTCTGTCTCTTTTCTTTCCATTATTATTCTCTCTTTGCTCTAATGTTTGGCAATAGGTTCCAAACACAGTCACAAGTAAGATCACTATCGTAAATTTATTCATTTTCTGTAAATAAAGCAAAATTTATTCATTTTCTGTAAATAAAGCAAATGATGCGAGTTAAATTGATATTTTTCATATGCATTTAAAAAAAACCCAAATAATATGGTTACAAGTTCAGTTCCAATTTTCATTTATTATTTTAAAGTGAGGATTTATTTGCTATTATCAGTACTTGCGAGTATACAGATGTTGATTTTCATGTATTAAATAATAGAGTATAGTTTAAAAATTTTTTTTAATCAAATTTACAAAATACAAGGCTGAAAGTCATTCTAAGTATACTGTAGGCTACAAAAATGAGGAAAAAATGAGAGTAAATAAAAGGATTTAATAATGTAGTAGATCACAAACTATGATTAAAAAAGCATTTGGTGCACAACATGTTAATTACACTCTGCTTGAAACAGATATTGAATGCTGCTTTGGAGAGCAGTAGCACGTTTGTTTACTTTTGGTCATCCTGGGTTGGCAGCACTGTTTGTTTTTATTGTTCTTGTAACTTTGATGTATGCTCCTTTTTTTTTGTACAAATTTTACCCGAAATAAACTTGAATTGAAAGTTGAATTGTACTCTAAAAGGAAAGAGTCCTTAGGAAGACAGTTCCATCCACAAAGCCTTGGCTTCTTTTAGCAGTTCTTCTTCATTTGTATATATATATAAAAAAGAATTCTTACCAAATTTCGCAGATATATTTTCTCCTTGGTACTTTTAATACTTATCTGTTGCACCTCAGTTACTTTCAAAAATACAAGAGTAGATTTTTTAGATAACACTCTGAAAACAATTCCCTATTTGTGTTTACCTGTCAGGTATATAAACATGAACTAGACTAATATTAATTAATGTCGGTACTGGTATGATCAATAAATTAAGCAAGAAATATTAACATTGAGTAAGTGAGAAAGCGGTATCAGGTGATATAATTTTTTTAAAGGGATGTTTCATCAAATTGATGTGGCAATTGATTGTTTATAAGTAAGACTTCATTATTGTTATGATTATATATAATTGCAGCATATTTACAGAATATAATAAGTTTTATTCATGGGAAAATTTGTATGATTGATTTTTTTTTTAAATTTCTTTGATAGAATTTAGTTACAAAATAACCCATATTATAAAATGGAAGAGTCCTTTGAAGTAAGATCAAGTTGTAATAGTTTATAGCTGTGTATGAAACCTCAATATTTTTTTCCTTCCACTAATTAATTAAGAGCAGGTGATTAATTAAGAACAATCAATCTGTCTTGATATAGTGTTATTGATTGCCTTGTGTAGACCAGAAATATTGTTTATCTATCAAATACGTATATTAATTTCAAATTTTGCTACAAAGAGGACAATGATCCCAGACATTCATGTGGAAAAATAATAATCAATGAACTACACAAATGGGCTTGTTTGCTCATCATTGTGTCATTCACCTCTCCTAGCCCATCTTATCATTTCTCCATCTCTTCCTTTCTATTGCTTCTTCTATTTTTGAATTAGCTATTTTCACTGTAATGATTGACTGATGTGTCCTCAGACAAAATGTTGACTCTCTGTGTGTCTTCAGAATTACTGTTGTCCTCCAGTTTTTCATATAGGGTCCTCATTTTGGCCTGTACTGTTATTGAGGTATCCTGAGGTCGACTTTTTGTCCCTGTATGTGCCTTGGGATTGACTATAAAGCCACTAATATTTCTGAAGTGGCTGGGTTTCTTCAAGTTGTACTCTTGATACAATGTCACTGTAGTGTTAGAATTGCTAATGCATCTGTCAATGTATTCTCTCTCCTTGAGTCCTTCAGCAAGTTAGGCCTACTTTAATTTTGACATAGATTTTTATGACTGCTCAGTGATCATTGTCTTGTTTGATGTCTTGCATTATAACTTAAAATTTGATTGCTAGAGATTTGGTTTTGATAACATTTTTCTTTATTTTTACAGTGCGATTCTCCCGTAATTATTGGTTTTTATAGTGCTTTCTTTAATGAAGATAGAATATCGTTCTGTACAGAATTTATGGATGGTAAATATGAATCTAAATGTTATTCACTTACTAAATATAAATAATAAACTAAAATAGTACAGATAGCAATTATATTTATTTGAGTATGACACTTTGCTTTTCCTGTTTCCTTTTATTCATATATTTATGGTTTTTGAAATTAGTTCTGGTTGATAATCATTATTCATAAGCACATGCTCCTGTATGTACATGAATTTAATAAATCTAAATTCATTATTTTGCAAGACAATGGGTATTATATTAGAAACAAATGTATATTTACCATGTATACTTTGATATGGTTAACACCAAACCTAGAGTAAACCATGTAAAATTTAGTGCAGTTGATTGTATTTAACAATTTTTTATTTGTTGACAATTAGTCAGTTGCATGCAGACACTTGGCTACGCAATAGGCTTATACCCCAATAAAACTGCATGCATGTTTAGGCATTAGTTATGCTAATAGATATTTTGACTTTTGATTTTTTTTAAATTTAAAATAATTCCTGTAACTTTTTTTTTTGCAGGGGGATCATTAGAAATGTATAAATGTATTCCTGAGGACATCCTAGGGAAAATGACAGTATCAGTAAGCTATTTTTTCTATTTTTTCTCTCTTTGTAAAATGATGTTACACTCTTTAGATATATTTTCCCCGACATTTCAAACGTAATATAATGAATGAGATCAATCTGCATTACCAGAATGGTATTTTGTAACTGTGTGCAAGATATGATGTGAAAATTATCATTATGATGATGACTATGTGATGAAACAAGGACTACAATAGACAATGAATATTTGGAGGGGATGGTATTGGATTGGTAACTTGCTATAAACTAGCATATTATAATAACATAATAATTATTATTATACACCTTACTGTAAAATCTCCCAATTAAAAATGTTATATTTAATGTAATGTATATATGTGTGTTGAAAAACAAATACAAATATATCTTTAATAATACATAACTAACCTTGATATATTTCTCAGATTGTCCAAGGACTTAACTATTTATGGAGCCTTAAGATATTACATAGAGGTAGGTTGGTTTATCTGTTCATTCATATATGTAAAACTGTATTTTAAGTCGGTGGTCCTTTCGTTTAGGCTGATAAAAAAATCCCCTAGAAAAACATAACCATAATCTTAAATTGTCATAAGGACATTTATTATTTTATTTTTTAGACATTTCTCGGGCACATTTAAAATATATGAATAATTTTCATGTGTAACCTTTTACTGTTAATTTACTGTTGTATCTCATTGTTATTCAGAAGTGAATACTACTTACATATTATGTACCGCATACATATATTCTAGGCATCTGATTGGTTAAGAAGCAGGCAATAACTTCAACCATCACTCATGTGACGTAGGATAGGGTGATAGTACTTTTTTTCCTGGGAGAAAAAAGTACTATCACCCAAATTGATAGTACTTTTTTGCCCTGTCGCGATGTGTAATTTCTAGGCCCCACCTATAACATGTTTGCTATGAAATTTATGACATGCATGTATGGTAAAGAGTGATTAGCCCTTTGGTTGCCTAGGAAGTATGCCAGGCCTACATGGTGGGTACTCTTTTCATTACTTTTTTATGCCTCATAGAATCTATGTATGAGGTATATAAAACAGATATTGACTACTCTAGTTTTGGGAATCGGTGAAATCTATACCCCTCGGTGATGTGGTGACTGTAGCCTATCTTGCCGAGGGCGGACGATCGGCTACGGTCTCTACATCACCTCGGGGCAATAGATTTCACCATTCCACTCATGAGCAGTCAATATTTGTATATTATACCCAACCATATTATCATATTGTTAATTACCTTTGTAGGTAAATACTCTCTTTCTCTCTCTCTCTCTCCCTTCATCTTTGTACTGTCCTGTTGTCCTGTGTGTTCAATTTCTATTTCAGGTTAATCTACCTGAATAAAGATCAAACAATCATAATAAAAGAAATTTAACTGAATTGAGCATTTTTTAAAATTACTATCATCACCTTTTTCAGTGTGTTTAAAAAGAAAATTTTTTTTAAACTGTAATGAATTTTAGATTTAAAACCTTCCAATATCCTGGTGAACACACAAGGCGAGGTGAAGCTGTGTGACTTTGGTGTCAGTGCTCAGCTGGACCGCTCAATTGCTGAAACATACATTGGCACCAATGCATATATGAGTGTAAGTATTATCACTTCACCAACTGTTGCACAATCCTACCTGTACACTATATAAAATACCACAGGGATGTAAAGTTACCATCCATTAAAAAAGAAGAGTAATGGGGTACTAAAAATGTTGATATTGATTGAATAAATGTGTAATTGAATTGAACTGAAAATATTGTGATGTTGTTTTACAAAGTCGATGTTAATTATAGATATATTGTCTGTGATAACATATGGAAAAAGCGTTATACATTCAATTAAAATATTGAAAAGATCATTAAGTTATCAGTTATCAAAATATCAGTTATTTTTTTTGGCCATGCTAAATTGATTTGTAAACATATGTCTGTGTTGTTAAATTTGTTGCTATAAAAAAACCGGTTATCTTGCTGGGTGGTCGGGGAAGGTATGATGACACATTACCCATAATGCTTTTGAAGTTCGGAAGTGTGTAATGACCTTTCTATCGTTTGATTCTTGTACGCAAAAAAGAAACAAGATGTTTCCGAATATTATCAGCAATGCTGTATTACACATTTTGTCTCACTTGAGGTCATAAGGTCAATTATGAATAACCGTTTAATGTTTTGCTGTTAAAAAGTGCACGGCAATAAACGGTTATTTGTCGTGCAAACACTGAATTAATTGCGAGTTTTCCTGCACACCATTTTAACAGTTTATTTTAATCTGGTGCAGTTTCTGTTGACAAAATATAAACGGTTAAATAACCATTTTTTTCTTGCCAACAGAAACAGGCCCTTATACTTCCTAAGACAAATTAAAAAATAAACAATTGATTTAAATTAATAAATGATACCATACTTAAATTATATTTTCTTTTATTAGAATAACACAATTAGTACTGTATACAGTACTTGTAGTTGTGTATAATTAACATATACTTCTTTGTTAACAATGTTGATTTTTATATTCAGCCTGAGCGTGTTTTAGGTTGTGAATATGGAATACCATCAGAGGTGTGGGCAATAGGTATCTTCCTGTTAGAGGTAAACAAAGATAAACTGATATTTTTCTGCTTTGGCAAAGGCACTTCTAATCAATTTGCAACTATCATACCTATATTTAGGGTCACTCTAGGATTGGCACTGAACATTGGTAAACATGAACAAGACAAATTGTTATTTATTATTTTTTGCAGAGGTGATCATAATTATTAATATGTTTGTAATATGTTTTTCTTGTTCAGATGGCAACTGGAAGGTTTCCTTATCCTGTAAGTATAATTTTTATCTACCAATATTTTTTCAAGTCTGTATTTAATTAATTTATAAATAAGTGACAATTACTTTAACTGCAATCAACAATTCATACAAGCAGTCAATAAGAGAAAACTGCAAAGGACCGTGGTTTTCATGTCTGCAAAATGTATGGAACTTGAATAACAAATTCTTGTATTATTCACTGATCTTTTTCTTGTCCAAGGGCAGAAGCAATGTGACCAGTATTGGTTGTGAACTTATGACCTCAATTAAAAGCACAAAGCCTACCAATAGGCTCCTCTGAAGCTTTTTTTCAAATTTTCCTCTTGAAATTTTAAGAAACCAACAGGGCTTTTATTCATTTCCACAGGCAAGAGGCAGTACACAAAATAAGCTTACTTTGTAAATGATTCTAATTTATCTATATTTTAACTTTTTATATAAATTTTTATAGGTCACACCAAGGCAGCAAGCATTATCGGTAAGTAAATAATATTACACTTGACAATAATTATAAAGTAGTATGTACGTATTTTCATACATAGACGTATAACTGTATCTACCGAGGAAGGAGGGGGTGTTGTCACAAAGATCTGGTTCTATTTTTGGCTGTTAACTTGTGTTTATCTAGCCATTGTTTTCCACAGCATTGTCATGTATATTTATTGTATTATTTTTGTATAAATAATTATAATACAACAGTTATTTATTTTGGTATTAAAAAACAAAAAATTAAAGGCTTGAATTTATATGCAAAATAAATAATGTTCTGTCCTACATTAATCATTTTTTTAAACGTATGTATTTAATTTTGTTGTGTAAATGTTGCCCTTTAAAAGAATGACAATATATGCATATGATAGCAAATGCAAGTAAATGCATAATAGATATAATATATTCTTTTAACAGCCTATTGATCTACTTCAGTGTATAGTACATGAGGTAAGTGCTAGTAATAGTTTTATTATATTTCATTATAAAATGCTAACTATATTATTTTATTGTTATTGGTATAAATGATTAAAGAAGTTCCATGGAGAATATGTTTGAAGACTTTATTGCAATACTTATTCAAGAGGGTCGCTTATTCAGTTATTAACAGTTTATTTTCACTGCTATTATTACTCATTTACAGTACTATAATAGTAGTTGTACCATATTTCTTTGCAGAACCCACCATCTCTTTCACTTGACAAGTTTTCAGAGCCATTTTCAGACTTTATATCAAAATGGTAAGAGACATATTACATTTAATATTGTCTGTTTTATTTCTTACTCATCCAACAGCGTGTGACTCCTCAATTTCAGAATGAAAGTTTTGCTCTACAAACTTAGTTTTATTAAGAAGCTTAATTATTATTGATGAGTAGAGCTGTTTTCTATGAGAAAAATTTGGGATTGTCTCCTGGGGTACTGCCCCAGGAGACCAGGACCCCACTGAAAACAAATCTTTTGGACTAAGTGGTTATCCTTAGTGGGTGCGATTCACACCAAAATTAGTCCTATCCTCTCCTACTACAGGTCAACTCTAGTCTTCATTAACTAACAAACTGAAATTTCTGCTAACCGTTAGCAGCCGTGTGAGAACATAGCCACAATCTGCGTGGCTCCTATAGGATTTAGTACTTTTCCATAATTGCTACCATAAACTGTCGCCACAATGTTTTTTTCACTGAAACCCTGTGGCTATTCTAAACGCAATCAATTTGGCCGACCAATCAGCCGAAAGCGTAAGGTGATGGCGTGTATTGATTTTTTGGAAACCAGGCTTAACACATGAAATTACTTAAATTAGATGTTTTTTTTTCTACAGTATGCAGAAGGATCCCGACTTACGTCCACCTCTTATTGGCCTGCTACAGCATACGTTTTTACGCATGAATGATGTTGCTACACGCCACCAAGAAATCGCAACTTTTATCTATATGACACTGCAGCAGCTGAAGGCACAAGGACTCACAAAGGGTTTATAACATGTGTTTACATGGAGTTTATAACATGTGTTCACATGGGGTTTATAAAATGTAATTATGTGGACTCACAATGGGTTTATAACATGTGTTTACATGGAGTTTATAACTTGTGTTTATAACATGTGTGGGGTTTATAACATGTGTTTATGTGGGATTTTATGTGGTTTAAAACTTTGTTTACAAGATATTTTGTAATGCTGACATCAATTGGCAATAGCTTTCATAACATGTTTTTACATGGAATTATGTTTTGCTCTACCTGATGTGTTATCGTACTAAATACTCAGAACGTTTTCGAATACTTGCGAAAAAATTCTTGTGATTCGGGTAGGAATCGAACACATAACCTCCAGATAATTAGCAAAACATCATCAAATGTTTTCACATTATGTTCACAATAGTTTGATGAATTTTAGGAAAACCAAATGCAATAGTGGTCACATGGTTTAAACATTTTCACAATAGGTTGATGGAATTTATTTATACAATATAACATAAAAATTATTGTTTAAGTTGTGTTCACAAATGGATAAGAGCCTGGTTATCACAAGAGCTAACTTTTAGCGCTAACTTTTAGCACCTGCGTGAGAACGCCCGATCGGTTAGCGCTAACCGTAGGCGGTTAGCAAGTTGAGCGCGTTTTTGTCATCAACCAACCACACGTACGCGTTTACAATTTCCAGTTTCTTATTGCCCATTGATTCGATCATCATATTTTTGGTATCCGGATCGGGATTTTCTCGTATGGACGCACGGCAGCTAACGGTTAGCAGGATCCGGATCCTGCTAACTGTTAGCAGCCGTGTGAGAACATAGCCACAATCTGCGTGGCTCCTATAGGATTTAGTACTTTTCCATAATTGCTACCATAAACTGTCGCCACAATGTTTTTTTCACTGAAACCCTGTGGCTATTCTAAACGCAATCAATTTGGCCGACCAATCAGCCGAAAGCGTAAGGTGATGGCGTGTATTGATTTTTTGGAAACCAGGCTTAACACATGAAATTTCTAACAATTCACATTGAATTATATGATTTATTGATTATACTGTAGATATTCATTTGACAGACTGCTGTCTGTCAGTAAGTTCTTTCTTCACCAAAAGCTCAGTGAACACATGCATGATCAGGTGGTTTTTAATAAAATAAAAGTAAAATAGTTATATTAAAAATATTTAACTAATTTAGAAAGTGATTTAAGAAATAAAAATATAAGTTACCTCACCATATATCATTTTAGAATTTTTAAGTTTGGCAGTAAAGTTTATTAACTATAGTTTATAATAAACTGTTTTACCCTGAATAGGCTCTACACAAACTATCAAGTTTTGTGTCATTTGTACATAATTATATAGGAAGGATGATGTCATATCACATCCATATATGGTCAATTTCTGTTACATCAAACTTGATAGTATTAATAATAATAATAGTAGTGGGCATTCACATCTACCACTCATGGCGCTTGATGCATGGACCAAAGCAGGGCTAGCAACTTTTGCCTGTCCACCATGGCAGAGAATCCTACTTGATTCTTTAGTGTGCACATGAGCCAATTGTTTATAGTCCTTAATCCAAGACTACTTTGATAATGATAGTTCTAATGATAATGTGGAAGAGTTTAATGCTACTCTCTGAGATTTTGTTTGGTAAGACATTGATAGTGTAACCTATTTTCATACATAATCTTATAAAACTAATTTGATTCCAATATTTGGAACGATTCCAGAAAACATGTACAATGAGGAGACATTATTCTTAAATAACTATTGATAACCAGGTCTAAAAGATGGATGGCCCATTAACCTAAAAAGATGGCTTACTTTGGTTGCAGCCCCATACTGGATACCCACAATAATTTACAGTACTTAAAAATGTCGTAACCAGGATTGCTTTCAAAAAAAGGGTGGGGGTTTTGGAGGTGTTTATTTTTGAATGCCAGTGTCCTGTGTAAACTTAGGCCTTTGGTGGGATCTAGGGAATGTGCTTAGGTGGAGGTCAGATGGTGAACCCTCCCAAAGCAGAAGCACTCTTACTAAACAAAAAATTTTTGAGTTTGGCAGAAAATTTTCCCCCTGCTTAAGGATATATACAGTACTTTATGTCAAACTTAGTGAGGTCTGTAGCATTGTAATATGTGACCAGTTCTGGCAAAACTGTCCGTTTGTCGCAATTTATAATTTCCCACAAGTACCCAAAATGTTTGTTTTTTTGCGCAAAAAAAAACAAGATATATTTGAAGAACATTTCTATAAAATATCAATCACTAAATATAACTAAAAAGTACATTAAAATTATTTTAAAATACAAATCTTGATAATAAACTATTGATTTTGGAATCTTGGGAAGCCGTTTTCTCAAAACCTATATGGCTGATATCCAATGAAATAAATATTCATAACTTTGGTAATACTCAAACAATTTCCATCTAATAAACAAGTTTTAAAGAAGACTTCATGCAGAATTTAAAAAACACCAAAAACTCAATTTTGAATTTTTCGTTCAAACAGAGGGTTTTGTCAGACCCGGTAACATACTGTACAGTAGTAGTTTATCTCTAGCCTAATATTGGGCATGTGCTATTGACATTGTCAGATGTTCTGTACCTTTAAGAAGCCTCCTGTAGGGGTATGGGATGGTTTTTAGTAGTTGTTGCATGTGAAATGATTTTTTATAAACGAAATTTGTATTTTTAAGTATTTGTGTAACAAATGCTGATCAAATCAGCTTGAATTTCTACAAATGTTTTCCGATAGATATTTCCCCATAAAATATAAATAGAATGTCTTTGCGCAAGAATCCTCGCCTTACATTTCAGTTTAGATTTAATATGGTTAGAAATTGTACATACATTGCATGATTTTGATATTGAGAATTGTATACAGTAGTTAGTGGCATTAAATGTACAATTTTTATTTCATAGGTATTGTGTATGAAAGTTGCCTTGCACAGCAACCAATAATGTGATAAAATATAACTTATTTATTCAGTAGGTAAATAACAAATGAAATTATAAGATGATAAATTTAAGAGCATATTTTCCCTTTTTAGGATTACAATAGAGAATTACAGGTTACATATTTCCTACATAGGCTATGGTCAAACTAGATGTCATGTTGGGATTGAATTAATGATTGAGATATCTGGCATGAAATCACTCAAACCAGACAAGGTACCTAGCCTGAAATTTCTACCTTTTTAATGTTACCTTTTCATAGTTAGCGAGGTGTAAATTTATTGGCCCTGATCACACAATCTTTAGAAGGTTATCACCTCAATCACTGCTAACAACACTATACTGAAGCTTGACTACTTCCGATGGAAAAAATAAACTAATTGGGATAATGATTGAGGGCCTCATACCTGATATTAATAAATCAAAATATATATTTATAAAGAAGCATTTGTGTATGTTTTAATTTGTCTTTTAGATGTACTGTAAATGCAATATTGTTTATGTCAGATCTTTGCAATAGAAACTGTTACAATAATATAGTGTTAAATTGTTTGACGATAATAAAAGATTATACAAAAAGACTTGTACAGTACATATATTGAAGTTATTCTTTTATTTGTTCATTATATTATGTGTGCTATAATTAAAAGAATTTATGTAACATTACTATTATTTGAATCCTTTAGGTGTAGAAACATTAAAAACTTAAGTGAGACAGAAAAGAATGTTGCATTAAAATTTGTTAACTCTGAGAATAGCCATACAATACCTTGCCCAAACCATGGTAGGGCTGAGGTGGTCAGAACCCTTTATCTGAAAGTCTCGCTGGGCCCCCTCTATTTAAAATTCCTTCATCTGCCCCTGCTTATAATCGATAATTATCCATAAATACACTTTGGTGTGGTTACTATTTAGCTGTATGAAGATTATCATTATACTATTAAGATGGTATCCGAATACAGTACTTAATAAACATTGTAACTTTTGACTAATCATCAAAAGTAATTTTCCTTCCCTGGAATGGAACAATCTTTGAGGATTGTTCCTTTTGTTTTCTTTTTGCTTCCCATGATGGATGCAACTTTTCCCCGGAAAGCTTCTTATTGGGTTTCTCAGTGCTTCTGTGACCTGAAGTATTTGGAAACCTAGAATCCCCAAACTGTTTGGGATATGGTCTCTTCATTCCTGGTATAGCGCCCTCAATAGATTTTTCTGTGGAGGAAAGAGATAACTAGTGATCATGAATATCTCTGTTTTTGTTATTAATATATAAACCAATTACATTTTATACATATGCCTGAATTAGACGTGTTAAACTCATTCAACCAGAACGCCTGGAAATAGCTTCCAACTTGAGAGCCCTGTCAATGTCATAGCTTAGTTGGTAGAGCAACTGAATGAATTTAAAGGAAGAAATTTGGTTTCTTAAACCACAATATAGAGTACTACAGTGTTACGTCTGATACCACGTGATACTACTCCGTTGCAATCGTTGCAAAATGCGTTCAACCGGATGCCATTTTTACCACTGACAAACCACTGATCCCAATTTCTAACCTAATTAATAAAATGTACCTTAGTTTTTCCTTGTAAATTTTAATTGATGATTAAATGTGTGTTAAATAACTAATATAATGAAAGCTTTTGTGTTTTTAGTACATTTTGATGGTAAAATATTAGCTTTTAAAATGCCTATTCCAGAAAGTCTATGAAGTCATTCAGGCATAATGAATGGTAACCAACGTCTGGTTGGCAACAGAGGGCTCTACCTGGCTTTATGAAAACACGACTGTGATACACTGTGATACACTATATTACATTTACATCAGTGGTAGCCAAGGGGTTTTTACGGTGCTTGAGTACCCCTATTTTTTGTTCAAACATGAAAAAAATAATAGTAAATTAATAAAAATAAATTTAAAATTAAATATCAGACGTTAACAGCTATCAATATACAGTATACCCCGTCGTTCCTTGTTTTGCACCTTGCGTAAAATTCAGTGGTTTGTAATATTTCTATTTCAGCACCTCCCTTTTAAAATCCTGGATACGCCACTGTATAAATTATATTCTTAATTTAGGGGTTACTAAATACTTAGGCCTAAAGGCTACAATTTCTCTACAAAATATATTTATATTAAAAAATGTACAAGATTGAGATAGTGTTACCTTTATTTCTAAATTCAGTTTGTTCTAGTTCTGGTGGAAGATCGGAAATTCCCAGAATATTCTTCTCTGTGTTTGTCGGTGTCACCTTATAGTTTGGTTTATCGACAAGGGCTGCTTTGGCCTCTGCTGCCCTCTTTCTGAAAGCTGTGCGTGTGTTTTCTTCCAGCTGTTCCCTTCTACCCCTCATACCTTTTAACTTAATTTGTCTAAGGAGAAATAAAGCAAAATATATACAGTAATTACTACTATATCTGTTACAAAATAATAAAGAAATAACAACATGTGAAATTTCTAAGTATCAAGATGTAAATTTGTGACAATTTTCAATATAAAAAAAGGAATTCAACCTACTAAGGAATAATTGGTTGGTGCCAATAAGAACAATGACAAATTTTACATTACATTTTTTGGGTTGTATATTAAATAAAAACAATAATAAATAAAAATATAGTAAAAGAACAGTACTTAAATATATTATGAGGTTATTATTATATAAAAAAATGTAAAAAAAAAACTATGTTACTTTTATATAACATATCATGGTGTGATTGTTATACTGTATGCATGTGAAACCTCTACCCAATTCAATGCAATTTTTCTATAAGGTGTTATCTACAAAAAAAAAATCAAATATACAGTAATACTTTACTAATCAATATTTCTTACCCTTCCTTCTTTCTTGAATCATCTTCTCCTCTTGCAGAAATTACTTTACTAGTTTTCTTATTTTCTGTCACTGTATGTTTGTTTGTTTGTGCATGGGATTCTGTATCTGAATCATTGTCTGATTTTTCAACATCACTTTCATCATTTGATGATGCTCCCATAAAAAAATCGGAAACAGCACTTCTCTTTATAAAATCCTTTGATATCTCATCAGTTTTACTGTCCAGTGGTTTTAACCGAGTGTCTAAGTTCCTTTTCCTATCTGTATCGTCCTTATTTCCCTCAACTTCATTGTTAGAATCGCTAGAATTACGAGTATCATCAATCAAATTATGATCTTCCTCGCTATCATCATCTGTATTATTAATATTCCCATCGTTTTCATCACTGTTATCAGTATCAACAAGGTTCTTGGCTACATCAGTCTTTTCAATTAACATCTCTGTTGGATTTGATGTCTTTTTCCTTCTCTTTTTTCTTTCCAGGTCTTTTAAATTTAAACTGGTAGTTAGCACACCTTGCTCTAAGAGAATGGAATTAAGCATAATAATAATAACCAAATGGTTAGGAATATAAATGTCTAAAATCCTTTAAAATGTCTTGAGGGGTCCGCTGCAATAACAAACATAAAAGTGCTAATTCTTTACTTATATTAATCTTCAAATATCAAAACTTCAACACCATAATTTCTACCATAGTTTAATCTAAATTTATTCCTAAATGCTTTACTATACAATTAAGGTTATCAATTTATTAAATCATTTTCTTTTCAATTGATTTAATTATAGCAGCATACTGTACCTCTCAGTAACTTTACTCGCTCTTGTATGATCTTATGTTGAATGATCCTTGCAGTAGCTCGTTTCAAAGTATCATCCTTTAATAAAAAAAAAATAAAAATTGGTAAAGAGATTTATGTTCATAACATTATTTTTTGTTGATATTAAATATTGGAACACTCAATGAATTGCACACCATTATTTTCACTTGTCATTTCATTTCATTTCTTTAGGCACGAGCAAAAAGGATATGCTAATCAGCAAAATTAATCACTATCTTACGGGGCATATCCATTAAACAACAGGGGACTGAATGGACCAGTACACCGGGGTAACCCCCTACTCTTCTCGAAGAATGTACTGGGTTGTTTATAGTGCACACAAGTAAAAGTCCTTATCCGAGAAGACTTGTTCCACCACCGGAACCATTGGCGAGTGAGCCGTTTGAACAAGTGCCAATATTATAGTTGAAGGTTACGGTGCCCCTGACTTAACTGCTCGGCCAATCAACTCGCGTCATATAGGGTAAATCATTTATTAAGAATAAATTATGCAAAATTTTATTCCTATCCATGCATAATTCTACTGGGTAACCAGGTAGAGTAGTACACATACATCACTGGCAGTATCATACATTAAGCTTTTGTATTGGTTTGTTTTAATTGTTTATCAATGGAGGGATTTGGCGATGGGCATCACATGACCTAACTCGGGGGTTGCATATAAACAATCCACTGACACAGCGGTGTTTTACATGGAGATGTCCCTTGTTTATTGCTGTAAAGATCATCATAATTCCCAGTACACTATACCAAATTGATTGCAAATTAAACTTTGCCTTAATGGTTTCCTAATGCTGTAAAGGATACTGGCCGCAAACATTGAGATTTTTTGACAAATGTTAGGCCTAGGCCCCTGCACATCTACGGCATGGTTAGGTATGCATGATGGTCTTCGACCCGCGAACTACGCTGCGATGTTAGGGCCAGCTAAGGTTTATGAAGGGATCACTTAAATTTCAAAGTATACAATCCAAGGAGAATACTAAGATAAGTAAATAAACACTATTTTGAACAATCATATTGCCTTTCCTATCCATTTACTTCTCACGTTAACAGTGGGTAGTTGTTTTCGCAACCATAATTATCTTTTCCTATGCTATCGCACTGTAATGTTTTTCATGTATACCCAAGTTAGGTCACGTGACCGCCTGTAAACAATCATCGCTAAATAATCCCTCTATCTATTGTTTGGTGTGTGGTCATGTTAATTGTACATAACAGTGCTGCCTCTGGCCCTTGGGGCTAGCCTAAAAAGATATTCATAAAATCACTCAAAACTTGAAGTAGGAGGAAAGACAATACAATTTATTTGTATCATTACAAAATAAAAAAATAGATTATATTTCCTATTGCATTTAAGGTAACACCTTGTATCATTATTGTATCATTACCTCCTGAGATTTGATATCAAATGTCAGCTTTCCAAAGAAGGCCTGCCTTGAAATGTCATCAGCAACCAAGTCTTTAATACTCTCCAATTCCGCAAGAAGTCTTTCTACTCGGCGGGAGTTCTTCTTAACTTGCTGTTTTGTACCTTTCTTTGCTCGTAATTTTTTTATCTGTCTCGTCAACTGTCTGATCACTTGAACTTTCACTCGCTTTACTACATTTCTCATCAGAACGATCTGGGGGGAGGGGGTGAAATCATAATCAATCAACAAGTTAGACAATATTTGTCACACTGCCAAGTATTTTATTTGCACAGGGGATATCTTGAATAACCAATTAAAATTTACGTGGAAAATATCTAGGAAAATAGGTGCACAAAAACGTAAGTACTGCTTAACCAGACTGTATAGCAAGGCCTGCGCGGGGAATATATCCGCCATGCAAAAATTTGGCCTAGACATCTGTCTGCGCATTTCAGAAAATAAGGGCTGATTTTTGCACAGATTTTGTCGAAAAGTAGGCTTTGACCAAATCTTAATATATAACCAATGCAATTATGCAGCATTACGATTCCATGCACCGATTTTTCTAGCAATTTTCCCCACAAATTTTAGCCAATTTTTTAGGTATCCTCCGCACAATTAAAAAACTTTACTATAGGCGAGACTTTATTTCTTCTTTCGTGTGCATATTTTATTAAACATCGTCGGAGGAGGGCAGAATAAAAAGTAAAAATATAAAAATTTAGTTTTATTTAGCAAATAGCTTTGCCTAAAACATCCAGATGGAGGAGAAAATATATATAGTGTACAATTTTATTGGTGAATGTAAAATAGGATGGTTAAATGCTTCAAATTTATATAATTAGGAAGAAATATATCTTTGAAGATTTCAAGGCAGTGGAGAGCACAATAAAAATAAAGAAAAACTTATTTTTTCTGCAATTTCCACTTTTTCGTGGTGGCGGGTGCTAATTCTCAAAAATTAAATTTTATTTTTATTTGAAATTATCAATATTTGCAGTCAGCGGGTTCGCTAAACAAGGTATAAAAAAGTCTTGCCATATATGGCTACTTAATATGTTGGTTGTAATGTACATTTTTTGATGGGGATATATTCCATGCGGAAGTTTTACTGTCTGGTTCCGTTGTGCGTACATTATGTAAAATTATGTTTTACTTTAAAGTAAAGCTCAAAAGCAATTCGATCAAATAAATTGCATTAAAAAAACAAGCGAGTTCAGCTGATATCAACAGTGATATTTAACATTTTTCGACCTGGGCCTTTATTTTTATATTTAACTTGGTATATTTTTTATTGTAGGCCTAACCTAGACCTGGCCTTTGTTACAGCATATGCCAAGACTATGCTAAGCCGCTTGCGTACAGTCTCAGTGAGTGGTAGTAGTGAAGTTGTCGCACCAACTAGCTCAGTGGTGAACGTAGCGCAGGCCTAGACCCTAGTAGTCTCTCTTCTATTTAATGCAACTAACTAGCTAGGCTAGGACTCGGCTTCAAGCAGCTACTGTACTTGATTGTAATAGTCGCATACCTCATTTTTTAATTTAGCCCTGTCCATAACTTGACAACATGCGAGTACGTAGGCCTATACCATGTACCAACCATCAACCATGCAGTGTCAGTCAGTAGTAATTGAACTCAGGTCAGGTCAAGGGTTTATTCCCATAATCCATTCACAATTGGGGAGGTAGGTGGGGCGAAGTTAATTTCAGTAAGTATGGCTGCTACGATGGCAGCGACGCTTGCTCCGCAGAGCAATGACGATGCGCGGAGTCGGCTGTTGGCCACTAGTGGTAGCAGTATTGAAGATATTGACCAGCTAGGAATCCAACAAGAAGAATTTGATCCATTTGATGGAAACAATGATCAACCGGATGCATATGTTGATGCGAATCTTCAAGCTCCTCCCGAGAACGAGTGAGTTGTTTATCATCATCTTCCCCTCCTACGCTACAATATTGTCGGCCAGACTGGCTTACGAAACAAAACCACATGGGCCTAGCCTAGCCTAGCAAATAATACGGCCTCGGTGTATATGATAACTAGATATGATTTTTCAGTTTGTTTATGATAAGATTGTATTTATAATATATGTTGAATTGAATTATAAAAGATGTGTGAGCCATACGCTCAATCAAGAAGTCATTATTGACCCAGAAAAGTGTGTTGTGTGTGTGTGTGTGTATTGTAAAACACAACATGCTTCTCACTCAGAACGCAAATCAAAACAATGAAAGTAATGATGACTTGTCTTTGTATTATCATTTGCATATCTTTTTATTTTAAGCATAGGCCAAGAACTTTTGCATAATCCTATGTATTTGTAGGTGCTAGAGTTATTTAATATTTTCTTTGCAATATTGTTGTTTATGTTATCGTAAAATAATAGAACATGCATGTGAAAATTTATAGGACAAGGAGGCTAAGGCCTACACTCTAAAAACTTAACAATAACATGGCATTTGTGCTAATTGCCATTGCTCTTCAAAACTTGTGTTATTCGCTTTTTGCGCAAATTGACAAATATGTTGAAAGCTCTGTTTTTAAGGTCATTTTTCAACAGTGATGATAAAATGTGTCATGTATTAATAATAACTAAACTATATTTTCCTTGGGTAAAACAAAAACAGATAGGAATATTTTGGAATTTACAATGGTAAAGGATAGAGTACCATATGCAGAAAGCTGTACAAGTTTACTTAGTGAATTTTCAAAACTGTACTACAATTTTGTGCAGTTTTGACATTGCACAGTTTTTCTTGATCTCAGTTTCGTAACTCTGAACATCGGACAAAATGCATATCTAACATGCTTTGTCCAGTCCGCAACGCATACTTTTAATTTTTTCCCCAATTTTTTTCCCCCATTGCAATACCGGTAATTTTAATTAAAACATTAAACATTAAACCAAAGAGTATAATATAAAACTGCAAGCGGTCCAACTGCTGGGGATTCGTTGGAATGCAATCCTATTTCAAAAAGTGCGTCCATGAAGGGGCGTGGCCTTTAAAAGATGAGAGCAATGTGTACGAGGGAGTTTCTATACATGTAGGGCACCCCCCTATTTCATGGTAGTACTTTTAACGTTACATTGCCTGCATACAAAAATCAGGGCAGTCGGACCTCTTGCAGTTTTATACTCTTTGATTGAACACACTTTAATTAAGTCTTATTCTCTATAGTTACTGAGATATACCTGCTTCTTAAAAATGTCCCATCCATGACAACAAAATAACTGTGGAATGTCCCTAAATAAAACAAGTTTAGACAAGGCTTTAGTTGAGTAACATTCTGTCTCAAGATGAATATATGCAGATTGATACATTTTAGAACATTGTTAGTATTCAGAAAGATATATTACATTCTAATTCTTTTATGGCCATGTTTGACAAAGAGTACATGCCAAATAATATAATTTGAATAATGAGGTACATGTATTTTGAAGATTACTTGCAAAAAATGTAGACAGTCATTGCAGTAACATCAGAAACAAGATCTTTCACACACTTTCTCATGTTCATGAAACAAATATTAACTTTAAAGGTGACATTATTCCAGTAAAATATTATTCCGAAATCTAGTGGCAGCAATGTTTGGTTATCCAATAGAAAGCTATTTCTGGCTGTAAGTTAACAATACATCATGAATTATCTTAGTCATCCTTGCCTCATGTAAAATAAATGCTGTGTACAACATTTTCCAAAAAGTGATTTTTTTTAATTTATAAATCGTGAAAAACATTTCAATTAAAGTACCGTCCACAATATACAGTAATAATAGAAAATGTTTGGTTTGACATGCTAATGCTACAGTATGACTCAAAAAGTTATGAAATATTAAACAAAACTATATATATAAATTCAATTCAAATAAACATTTATTTCTTTCACATTAAAAATCCAACAATAAAATCAAGATGTTTTAAAAGACCAGAAGACCATAAAAGGACAAGAAATATTGAAATAAACAGATAAAAGTCAACTAATAGTATTTTGATATGGCCAAAAAAAAAAATATGTTGTGTTGCCCTCCGCGACCGACCAATTTCCAAAAAATCGGGTTGGCATTTTTAAATTTTTTTACAAAGTACAAATTCGAGAAATACACTTTTGAAATTAACATTTAGAACATAAAATGTAAAACAGACATCTATTTTTATATCAAAATCGAGCCATAGATGCACGCGTAAAATCGGTAACATAGAAGGCATAATTTTGAGAACTGAGCGCGACCATAAATGAAATATTCTTTTTTTTTTTCTACTTCGAATGTATTACATATTACATACTTTCATAGCCACAGTATGGTTTTGCTCGACCTGCCTTGCATGATCGTGTGGATCGGATAACATATTGTTTTACGTTTTCGAAGCCAAATAAAAGATTCTTTAAACTGATTTATTTTTGTTAAATTTATTTCAATATACACTTGGTTAGTATTTACTCTGTCATTATTTTAAATATTTTTTGTTTGGCAAGCTGGCTATCGTTTTATTGTGGTGCCAAGGAGATACCAACCCTGGCCTTAGGCACAGGGTTTTCATAAGAGGGACTGCAATTTCAGGCCTATGCTTTTTTCACGTATTAATTTAAAAAAATATTTAAAAATCTGACCGACTGACCGGCTATCTCAATTTTTTCCATTTAAGGGCAACACAACAATTTTTTTTTTTTTTGGCCTTAGAAATGTTTTATAATAACCATACCCTTTTGTACAGTATACAGTAATATATTGATATATTCTCAACTACAGGTATTAATCTAATTTTAATACCTGGCTAGTTTGTTCAAAATATTTTGTTATAGGAATGGGAGAACAATTAACTAATAATTGAAATTAAAATTGAAATTGTTTAAAGATCAAGTGGATATTTGTTGTATGTTCATCTACAATGTGACTGATTCGTGTTATGAATAGTCGTGTTTGTCTTCCTCGTTTTGCATGCAATAAATCTTGTTTTTATTCATTTTACAAACATACACTCTAATTTACAGGTACAATATAATGAGGAAGTTCCTCTGTGATATACTGTACAGTGTACAGGTTTTAAGTGAAGTTCTAATACTGTAATACAGTTATTGAATTTTGACAATTTGTAAAGAAAATGATACAATTGAAATACTGTGCTAGGATTGCGAAGAGTAAACCTAATCACTGTTGTGGACTTTCTTTGATTTGTGAAGTGACCGCTGCATAAAACAAACAAATAATTTCAACCCTGATTACACTCGATCGGTGTTGTTCAATAACCCACTGGTAATTGAGGGAGGATTGTAGTATTTGGCCAATATAGAATTCACTTTAGGCCTTCCTGATTAAATTTAGGAAATCATCAGACGTTTTATATTTCCTCGTAGGATACAAGAAATGTAAGACTAAGAAGGTCTCTAAAATATCTGAAAGGATACCCCTTTGCAGAGGTCAATATTTTTAGTGATTTTCCTCAAGTAATGTTGCATACTGCAAAACAAAATAAACACAGATAGTATTACTATTAGGGAACTATTTGTCTCATACTTCCATTTTAATCCTGTACCATCCACTAATTAATAATTTTCAATCCTGAATTTATTCAAATACAATAATCAGTAAATTTCAGTAAATGTAAAACTACCTGTATATAAAAAAAAATTCAGTTGTTATTCAAATTAGATTCCTCCAGTTTTGGCATAGTTTAATTGATTGTTTCCTTCACATTGTTTTTCTGTTTCATTTTCAGTAGGCCTAATTTTTCCACTGAGTTTTGTACCATCCATGGATGTTCACACAATGTCTTCATTCATGTATATTTCACCGCTCATTCCACTATTAATAGAAATTCCTCATTCATATCTGATGAGCTGACTCATAATGATAAAATAGATTTTTCCTCCAAAGAAATAGAACATTAGTAGTAGTTCATAATCGCTTGGCAAGAAGATGATCACATAATTACGTCATTACCTCAAAGATGCCTTTAGATTTATGAACAACATCAGGTTAAAACACAGATTATTGTAGAGGACAGTGAAGGTTGCACAATGTTTGGTGCCCAAGAATGAACCTACATTTTTTATAATAATGTAGCCTACTGTACCAGTACCATGTAAATATCATTAACAAAGTCACATGCTTTTTATACCAGTATACAGTATAGTACTGTAGGTCATAAGTTCACTACATTTTTTGGTTAAATCTTTTCTTGCATATTGATATCTAGTTCAAAGGTTTACTTTAAAAATTCTTAAATTTACTCATTGCATACAATTAAATCTCATACCTTACTTCTTCAGAATCAGAATCTGAATCATGCGTCATTTTGGAAATTACAATGGAACACTCAAAATATTCACAAAAGTTTATACAAATATAAAATCAAGACAACTAAACTACTGAATATTTAACTGCCTGTCCTGTAGCCAACCATGAGTTAATCAAACATTTGGAGTAAGGCAAAAATAAGGTTCTACGCAATGAGTTTCTAAAGCGCTATCCAGGTCTAAAATTATTGTACGTGTGGAGTGGTGGTTGTCGTAATTTATGATGGCGGGCGCCTTATTTACTATTTGGTTTTTACAAACGTCATCAATGGAAACTGTTCTATCAAACAATTTTCAAGCCTTATTAAATGACTTGTAATTCCACTGAACCAAACCAAACAAAACAACCATAATAGTGTATATACATATAATACCTTAGATATTTGTTAAAAATTATATATTTTTTATTGTTATATTGTGAAAGAAATAAATGTTGATTTGATTTGAAATGTTGCGCGTTGCATTACAGACGAGATCTTTTTTCTTTCTGCCAATATCAAGATGAGGTTGAATCACATAATTATCTTAAATGATTGATTTTATTTTCACACATTTTTATCATTTTTCAGATGGTATCATGGACGCCTTGATAGGGCCACAGCTGAGATGCGGTTGCAGAACAGTGGCAAAATGGGTGCTTACTTGGTGCGTGAAAGTGAGAGAAAGCCAGGCTCGTATGTTCTCTCTTATCTTGGAGTGAAAGGAATTAACCATTTCAGGTAAAGCATACATATTCACAAATTATTGATTGATTGATGGGTTAGAAATGTGATGTATTGACCATTTGATTTATAACAAATTAATATGGACATTTGTTTGCATATTCATTAAATTAGTGTTTTTTATAAGCTAATTAATGAATTTTTCCAAATTCAAAATTAGACTAAGGAGATGCATTATATATTGTCTCTATGCAGTAATGAACACAGTTAGATGTTTTCAATAAACAAACAAAAAATATTTATAAATGATGCGAATTGATGAGATATTGAAAATTGTTTGAAGGTTTGCATGGCGAAGTATAATATATAATTAATGCTTGCGGTACACCACGTAGATAGTTCTGAAAAGAACTATTGAAAATTGTTTAAAAAGTGTCTTTATTCCTTGTTTAACTACTGTATAACCATATATCGTATTCGTTGATTATTTAAACTGAGATGACATGTTATGACCAGACTGAAACCATTAACGACAGAATGCTGGTAGAATACCAGTGAAATGTTGCATAACAAAATGTTTAGTGAGGCTGTACTTATTTTATTAATAGAATTAAGGCCCAAGAAATGTACAATTAATGTACATTTTTACACCAACAGTTTTGGGAAGAAAGGCAGTTTTTCCTATGGAGAGAAAGAGTAAATTATTTTTGGTTGTTTTTTTTTTTTGGGTGCTGTACATGTACAATTTTACTGCACTCAACCAAAATATATCAGGAGTATACTAACAGTCTAAAATTAGATTAAGTTCTGTTATTGATTTATTCCAAAATTAATAGTGGTCATTAACATACAATAACAGAAAACAAGATGTTGAATGGAATGACCTACTGATGGCAAAGAGAGGTCAGAGGTTTTTTAATGAAAATAAATTGATTACTATACTCACAAATGTAGTGTGTAGAAAGAATGAGGACATTTTTGACTCATTCAAATTTGTAATTGAAATTTATATAATTGTTTGGCTAAAGTTGAGATATATTGGACAGTAATGACAGGGGTTCCTGTCTACTCATGTGCTACCAATGTCGCAGAACACCATGAATAATAAATTTGAATTTTCTTTCTTACTTCTTTCATCTATTAATGTTCTACTGTATATGCAATTTTATTACATAAAAACCTCATCGAGGAATGACAACAATTACAAATCTAGCCAAGTACTGTATCCATCATATTGAATCGACCTATTTGTACTATGAGTACAGTTTGTGCGTGATTATTTTATACTCTGTCTCGGTCTGTTCATGATATTTCTTTTATCAACATTTGGCCTACAGCCTGATTGAAAAAGATGGCTTAGATTTTTTTCTAGAAGATATTGGATTTAAGGAAGTTTAATGTTTTATTTACTGTCATTAGTTAATTAATCAATGAATTAGTCATCCCACTTTTTAATCATTGTTTTCACAGCACACTATATACAGTATGATTACAATTTTGCTGATTGTTACAGAAAAAGTCAAAAAACGTGTGTATATAGTATTTTAGATCTGCAAACACGCATGCACTATGAAATTAAAAACAAAAAATAAATATTATTTAATAAGTTTTTAAAAATGACTGTAAACCATCAATCCCAACATAGTTTTGTAAATTCCCAACTCAAACCATTAATTAGTGATTTTTATTTCATGACTACATTTCATACATTTTACACATGACCATCCGAAATAGGAATGGAATTTGTTTATAGAAATTCTACGTCTTGGTTTTTTTGTTTAATATAGTAGCAGTGTTCTCCCGACGCCGGTTTAGCCGTCAATTTTACCGGTAAAAATAAACGGCCGACCGGTAAAATTTTAAAACTGGTGGAGTAGTATTATACTTGTAGCAGTTTTTCAATACGTCTGGAATGAGAGTCTGAGTTGTATAAATTCCTGTAGCTTAGGCGGACTATCGTTCGCAAAAGTTTTCCAATGAATTGTTTGCTCTGGAATCGACCACGAAGAAACGAACTGGCCAAGCCAAACTGGAGGCGTTTTTTTACGAAAAGGTTGGTAATGTTTACTGAGTTTTAATGATGATGAGTTTAAATTATCTTTGAGAATTTCTTAGTTTATTTGATTTAATATGCCTAAATTTCCCCGATGTGTCTCTTATACTTCCCCGATGTTTTAATGAATAAAAGATAAAATGGGACCTCCCTTCATTCATCATACATACTCATAGCCGTTTACAAAACAACCACATTAACTTAGCGGCTCCTACCTATAACTGTCCAAAAACCCAAGTGATATGCAAAGTAGAAAGGCTACGATAATGCTGTAATTAATAATAATAAAACCGTATCAATTAGCGCCTTTTTTAATCTCAGTTTCGGCGAGGCATGCCCTTGGCAGGCGCTTTTTGCATTTTTAGGGCAAAAGGATCACTAGCTTAGAGTAGTAGTTTATGGCCTGCGTGCGGAATGTAGACCTTTCCTTCCCGCAATAATTTGGCCTAGAAACCCGTCTGCGCATCTTGCAAAAGGAGGGCCGATTTCTGCTCAGATTTTGCCGAAAATTAGGCTTTGATCTTTAATATATAACCAATGCAATTATGCAGCAATTACGATTACGCGGCGCACACCTATTTTCCTAGCGATTTTTAGGTACTGTATCCTTCGCGCAATTAAACTTTAGTGTGTGGTCCCTGTGTATAGGCTGCAGCAGAGTACATCGTTATTTACTTTTTGTTTGTAAAACATCACAGTTTGTAAATTAAGTTTATTCAGAAAATCATCACAAATACTTTAAAACGTACCTGCCTCTATGCTCAGCTGTCCATACTTAATCCAGGAAATTGAGATGCTAGCAATATTATTTATGTTGTAAAAACCAATGATATGGTGCATGATGTTATGAGTGAGCAAGTGAGCTTGCATTATTAAATCCATTGATAGAACAGTCTCAGTCTGGTCCTTTTTCATTCCCTTCATTAGTCTTTTTGATAAGTGTTAAAAGTAAATTCACAACGAAAAATTTACTTTAAAAAATTGTTAAAGATCATACTTCAGTGTTGTAAAATACTGCCTAAATGCAGCTGAGAATGCACCAGAAAGCATATAGTACCCTAAAGCTTTCGGGGCCCTCAGGCGGGCCCCGAACCCCCCCCCCCCGAAGGGCTTGCGCCTCGCACTGCGCGCTCGGCAAGCTTACTTACAACTGATTTACCAGTAAAAATTTTTTAATTGGGAGAACACTGAGTAGGTAGAATTTAAATTTAATATTTCATTTTATTTATTTTCCCGAATACATACCTGTTTATTACTATTATGAAAGGTCACTGAATTTCCCAAATTATACATTGCCTGAATTGAGACAACATATGTTTAAACCCACAATTATTATAGTATAGTATTTCAACTTTTCTCTAGAATTAACCTGAGTAAGGGCTGGTATGCAAATAGTATTACAGTATATCCATATAGCTGTCTCTTATACACATCTAGATGTGTATAAGAGACAGCACATATATTAGGCAGGATGTATTTGTTTGAAAAAGAACCCACTCTTTTGTGAAATTAAGAGGTTTATAGGTGAAAATTGTAAATTTAGAAATAAGTTTTATTTTTTCCTTTGAACTGAGATCAATATGTGATTTTTTGTATTTCTTTAAAAGCATTTGTTTTTTAACAATTACAGCAGATGCAAATAATGTTCTGAGAGATAATTGAAAAACAATGGCCATTGAATAACATTTTTTGATAGTAGAAATAAAAGTTTTAAAAACGTTATTTCACTAACAAAGTAGAGGAATGACATACAGTATACAGTACTTTACCAAAATATGCAACTCATAGATAACCACAAACTTCACTTTTGTTAAATATCAAATGAATTAACTTTACATGTTATAAACAATACAAATAAACAGTAGTTAAAGCATGTGGATCAATTGTGTGTTACAGAATTTGATTATTGGGGAGATTCCTTTTAAAAACTAAATTAGTTAAGATAAAAAAATGCATATAATGACTGAAGAAAATCAGTTTTAATTCAGAATTTGATTATTGGGGCCATTTTTACCTACCTGTCATATGGGGCCATTTTTACCGGGGCCATTTTTACCGGGGCCATTTTTTCCGGGGCCATTATTTCCGGGGCCATTTTTTCCGGGGCCATTCTTACCGTACACCGTAAATTACATACCCAAATGACGTTATGAAATTACTCCAAATACAATACAGTACTACTTTTAGTTTATAAAACTGAATTTATTGTAAAAAATGATTTAATGATAATGGAATTGTTTATTAGCAAAAATAATATAATTGCAATTTTTTATATATTCAGTGAAAATGTTTTATGTCATTTCCAAAGTGTTTGACTGCCAATTTCACCATCATCATTCACACTGTACAGAGTGTGAGTCAATCCTATTGTATTTTAATAGTGTAGCCTGCTGTACAAAATAGAAATAACTACTAATCTTGATAGGAATGCTTGTTGGAACATGTCCTACAGTGCGGTACAGTCCTTACTATCTAGGCTCAAATTTAGGTGACTTAGACACGTCTTACTGATACATACACACCGTGTAGCCCCAGATTTGGGGCTTCAGCTACAAATTGTAAAGTGTTGGCCCACACTACCAAATATTATGTGACATAAATTTGATGCCCATATTGCAGATCCAAGGATGTTCAGGGGGTTCGGACGTATCCCCCTCTGTGAAGAAATTAAAAAAAATACTACTGGGTCATGGCCTACAAAAGGCATGCTGAAGGCCTACAAAAGGCATGCTGAACCTACCTGAGGCATAAGTTGGCAGATCGGACAAACACGGCTTAGCCTATTTCTAGCCTTCAGTTAAATAAAATTAAAAACATTTTTGTATGAAAGTGCGTACTTCATGTCTATCGTTTGATCGATTCATGGAAAAAAATATGTATGCAACTACTCAATTTTTTTCTCTATGTATACACACAAAATAGGCCTATATGTATACTGTAATAAGAATGAGATATTTACAGTACCTGACCACTTTCTAAAGTGGGAAAACCTTGAATTTTGATGAAGTTAAAACCTCAGAAGTCAGGAAAGCTCATTTCCGGCCATCTAGGAATCAAAATAGGACTCCCATCCTTTTTGGGGTTTTTGACATAAAAATTTTACCCCCTCCTTCAAATCCTGGATCCGCCCCAGTATTTGGGTGTGTGTAAGTGACATCATTATATTCATACATTAATATGGGCATATCACACATAAAATTTAATAGTGTGGATTGAGGTTAATATACATTACAGTGTTGTAATACAGTAATACTGTAGAACCCCCATCTTTGGGACATCCCTAATGGACAGTAGGGATGGATCCAGTAGGTGGGGGGGGGGGGGATGTGCCCAACCCCCCCTTGCCTCCCTTGTTTTGCCACTAAATTTTAAAATTTCCAATGCAAATCAGTGTTTTTTGCTACTCACTTACCTATTATGAGCCTGTTGTGGCCCCCTTCCCCCTTCCTTGTTTGAAAAATTTTGGATCTGCCCCTGAACAATTTTCGGCCACAAAACAAGGGAAATATATCTTTCTACACTATGGCCAACCCCCATTCAGGAGACACCCCCATTAAGGGGACTCATTTTTTGGTGCCATTTAATTTTTACTTTGTGTATTAGTATGTTAGAATTTGTATTGGCCAGTTTCTGTCTAATTCTGGTTATTCTTTGTTAATGCTTGTTTGGGCTTACTAATACATACTTCTGTAAGTACCGTAGGCCTATATCATTTGGTTTTTATATAAGTTTCTGTATCAGTATACTGTATTTACTTGAATAATCCAAGTTCAGGGCCTGTCTTAGTCTAGACTATTGTCTATTGTAATTCCATTTACTGTACATTATGGTTGTCCTTTCCAACAAAATGAAGCTTCATCCATTATCATATTGATACGCTCCAGCAATTTTCAGACTTGTCTGGACTTGTCTGTCGTTTGCCAAATCGCATCAGTACATCAACTGGATTTTTAGTGTGGTTGAATTATAAAGATTATTACTGGCTGTTATTTTCACAAAGCATTTTATTTTTTGTTATCTATACTCGTAGTTTACCGGGTTTTTTTTGTAATGGCCATCATGTGCATTCAAATGTACACTGTCTAAATATACAGTAGGTGTACTTAATATAGCAATGCATACAGTAATGTTTCTCCGATTATAGATCTGAAAATCCCCTTTTTTCCACTCACTTCCTACCGTTATATTATAATCCTTTCTTATTTTTTGGGCATACATCCTACACAATTACCATGAAAAGTGTATTTTCAGAAAAACGATTTCTCATTCATAATTTCCTAGTTTCGTTTTCTTCAACGTAAGCTATTTTCCATATAGTGGCCACTTTTTTACTGAAAAATTTACATTGAACTTTAATTAATTAATGATTTCTCGGTCGACACATAAACGCCCACACAGCTCACCAATGCTGCATTCATATAAAACAGGTGATTCTTATCGGTAATTAGGAAGTGCCGATGAGATGGTGCAGAAAGGAAAGCGTGTTTAGATGGATCTATATTTACGTATTGTATCTCGTTAAGTTCGCATTCCCACTTTATTTATAAGAAATGTCTTCATGTGGCTGTACAAATGAGTCTGGGAATTAATTGTACTGTAAATATGTACCTGTTTTGAGACAGTATAATTCCCAATTTGTACTGTATTTTAGTAAAAATCCCAATTTTTTAAATATAGTTCTCCCTCTAATTAAAAAACCCTCCAATTAAAGACCACCTAATTAACTTTGAAGAGCATATTTCTGAGGTCTTAAATTAATAAACGACTTTAATCTTTATTATTCTAATTAGAGACCAACACTAAAGACCATTCGAACACTGGTCCCAAAACTGGTCTTTAATTGGATGGAAACCTATAATTTACTAAATTTGTGATCTGGTATAAAAAAAAGTTAAGCTGTACTGTTACAATGCCATTTTTGGTAATCTACAGGTAAACTGGTAAATTTCCAGTTTGTGATCTGTGACCCGTCAATTACCAGTTACTGATTCAGGGATCCCAAGAAGTCATTTCCGGGAGATTCTTGTCTGGTTATGTGAGTGCTGGAGGCCAACCCAATTTCTGAGTTATTGGCTTTTGAGATGGTTGATGATCGCTTTTCCTTGTCTTGGATTGCAATAATATGCTTGGGGAGTTCATTCCAGTCACGTATTGTTCTGGGTATGAACGAGTATTTCTAACAACAGTCCTTTGATGCAGGTACTGCAGTATAGGTAGAATGTCTAAAGAAGTAACTGACAGGATGCAGGTATGTAGGTAGTGGGTTGGCGAGACGATCATTTGACTGATCTGTACTGAATGATCTGTACTGGTACACTAATTTCTGATCTGTATCAGTTTGTGATCATACTAATCATAAAGGTACTGGTAAATTTCTAATTTAATTTGTTGATTAGAGACACATAAGAGTGTAGTACAAGGGTAGGTACAATTCACCACGTAAAACTTGTTTGTTTATTAGAATTTATAAGGTTCTCCTTCCCTTTATACATACGCCACTTTTCCATATGGATATACTGGTTTTCTTCTCCTCATTATTGTATAGTACTTCATTCTCTTATGGATATCGTTGCCTGATTGATTTATCTCATGTAAGTATACTATATGTGTATTGTATATTTTTACTATATTCATTATGGATATATTCCTTTTCTTCATGGATGTTTGTCTTTATGGATGTGTCTCATGAATTCCAACAACTATGGATTTCTTTGCCAGTGTAAATTTATATTTTAAAATTTCATTACAGAATCACAGCAGTTTGTGGGGATTTCTACGTTGGAGGTCGTCAGTTCGAATCCATGAGTGATCTAATTGGTTACTACACAAACATATCTTACATTCTAAAAAGTGAGAGATTACAGTATCCTGTGGCCCCTCCCGAGGTAAGTAAAAATATTTCAAATTGTTTCTTAATTTTGACAAGTACTAGAGTGAAAATTTTAAGTCTTTAATTTAAAATTAGTAAATGCACTGCTGAACAACAGTGATGCCGAACCCTACAGTAGTTACTTTGAATTAGTTTCCAAATTGAAATATTTTTTATTACGTGTGGACAGCAATCTTTATTGGAACCATGAGTTTGAATTTATGCCACAGGCTAGTCTAAGGCTGGTTTCCTTAAAATAGCTACACTGTCACTACGGTGATTTCAGTGCAATTATTGTACTGCGTAGCAGTCACCTACGCATTCAGGAAGGCTACCTGATTCCACCGACCAATCAGCATCAACGAAAGCTGTTGCGATAGCTTGTAGTGATTTTATGGAAAGCAAGTAAATGTATCTGAGGTACCTGTTCCATACAAATGCAATATACAGTAAGCTTTAATTCAATAAATGATTTTGTTTGTTGTTAACCTTGTAGAATTTGTCATTGCTTATTATTTACTTATTGTAGCCTGTTGATGATCGAAAACGAGTAATGGCGATACTACCCTACACCAAAGTCCCTGACACAGATGAGTTAAGGTATGGTAGATTTCACACTAAGGTTAGGTAGGCTACTACTGTATATCTGAAATCCTAAACCTCTCAAAGTAGAAGAAGCGACTTTAGCCCCTGGGCACCTTGTTTTCATCCATTAGTTCATTAATTTTATTTGTTCATTGTTATCCAGACCCATTAAAGTCATGTGATGCAAAGGCCCTTCGGTTCATACATTATGTTAAGTTTATGCTGTTTGGATGGTATTTACAACAGGAAATTTATTATATTATTATAATGATGTTTTTGCTCTACCTGACTTGTTATTGTACTGAATGCTCAGTACGCTCCCTAATACATGCCAACAAAATTTTGCAAGTGATTCGGTTTTGCAATCGAACCCACAACCTCCAGAAAACTAGATCTAGTGATTACTGTAAGACACCAGGCTAGTTATTTGGAAGTCATGGGATCGATGCAAGATTTTTCACAAGTATTTGGGAACATACTGTACTGAACAATTCAGTACAGTAACACGTAAGATAGAGTAAAACATCATTCCTAAGTTTATGCTGCTTTGGAATAAGAAATAAAGTGGATTTGCAGCTGAATTACACATCCTGCAAATTACAAGATTTGTTTTCATGATTAATAAACAGCTCCAGAAGCCTCATGTGTAATAATCAGTTTACAGAGCTCCAACCAGTAAAAGCTCATTTCACTAAGCTTTGCTACATGGATAGTGTTGCTAAGGTTCCAGAAAATGACATCAGCTATTTGTAAAGATCATGGCTGAGTATGAAATCTGATGAACTTTGATTTGGCCCCATCCATCAATCCCTGTTAAAATTTTGTATGTTTATTGTTATTTATTAGCCTCCCAAGGAAAATATTTCTTGTAGTGTTGCTTTTTCGTGTGCTCTGGTTTTTACTGTTTTTATTGAATCATTGTTCTCTATTCTCAGTTTCCTTGAAGGAGAGATCTTTGTCGTTCACAATGAGTTGGAAGGAGGCTGGCTATGGGTCACTTCACAGAGAACGAGTGAGAGTGGAATAGTGGTCAAAGACCTTGTTAAATACTTGGTGAGTAACATGTTTAATAAGCATGTAAATTGAGTTATGTAATGTTTTTTTCTTGATGGATGCTCATTTCATAGGCAGTGGTGGTTGTTGAATATGCATTTAGTAGGCTAAGCTGCTCAACAGGAGAGTCTGACATCAGTGTCATCAGAGATCAGTGTCCAGGGGTGAAACCCTGGTGTGGGCTATTTTAAGCTGTTCTGAGAAATTAAAAAAAATGTTAGATCTGAAATGTCAAAGTTGACCTGTCCCCATCTGCACATCCTTCTAGTGCTTCCACTGTTCTTAGGAGGATGAATATAGTTCCTTAGTCCTTTCTGACAAATATAAAGGAGAGTCGCTTTTAAAAGCAGTGTCTAATTTGAGCTTGCTAATTAACTCAATAGTGTTAATTAGGATATAGTTAATGAGGATAGACAGAACAGATATATGTTCTTCCTAATGAGGTGACAATTAACATTTGATAATCTGGGAAAATAATCTGGAAAGAAGCGTTTAGATATTTTACAGTAGACCAGCTGTTTTATGCCCATATATTGTCATGATGTGCCTACTGTATATTAATATGGTCATGATGTGATGTCACTATGACCATATTTGGGCCTTGTTACATGTTGTTTTTTTTTTTGTTTGTATCTTTGTTTTTTTGTTTGTATTTTTGTTTTTGCTTGTGTTTTTGTATTAGGCGCTATAATTGTTATTGCTCGTTTGATTGATTGAAATAAAATTTTAAAGTCTAGATAGGGTTTAAATATAGTAGGCAAAATATGATGACAAGTCATGCCTGTGGTTCAGTGCCTGCCTATGATTCTCAAGCCCACAGGTTCTATCTTCCAATATAAACAAAGGGTAACTGTTTCTCACTAAGTAAAGTTTATACTGTAAAGTGAAAATATGTGATGTTAGTTTTAGGTGAAAATTACCTGTTATTGTGCCCATGAGTGGGATACATAATCATGCACACATTTGAGCAAATCATAGATATTAGTCACTTGATATTGTGGATGGGTAACTAGTGGCCTTGTTTATAGTTGTGAAAGAAGTCCTTGTGTATTGCATGATTTTAACCCAAGAATGTGGGATTGGAAGGCAAGCCTCTTAACCATATTATATAAGAAAAAGCTCTAATCTAATTATAAGACCTACAAACAACTCCATTACATTACTATGCCTTATTATGATTTAGTAGAACTGCAGCTTATTTCCTTTATTGTAATTGGCATGTCCACTCACCGATTGATATAAATAAATACAAAAGAAAATGAATATGTGTTTATTCCTTAGTGGACAAGCAAGACCACATCCAGATATAAGAAAATTGTGGTAAATTTGTGTTAAAAATGTTGGTTTACGTTATTTTCTTAATTAGCAATCATCATTTTTATACATTTGATTATTTTGATTTAAATTTGAACTGAGCTAATTTGCATGTGTGACGTGCTCTACCATCTGAATTTAGTATTACAACTTTTTTTAATGTTGAAGTGTAATTATTGCTATCTTTTTATTCAGTACTTGTTTATAGTATCTAACATCAAATTCATTAAGGTTTGATTTTAGTATCATCATTTTTTGCACTGGAAACTTCGGTTTTTGGGTTTTATTTCATCTCTCCCTCCCCAAAAATTATAAACAACAAGAAAAAAAAAAACAATAACATTTGCACAAATTGGTTAAGAAAGAGTATAGGAGGAATTTACAGATTGGGTATTTGCTGATTGTTAATTTATTGAAATAATAATAAATACGGATATTATTTGTATTTACACTCATATTACTTTGTGAAATGTTCATAATTCAAAGGATTTCAGTTTAATATTCCAGATAATGGAAGTGGTTTAACTGCTGTATTTCAGTCATAATGTTAAAATATTAGGTGGTGTTGTTTTAGGCTTATAAAATATGAAATCATGTTCTGAGAAATAAAGTTGAAATAGCTCTATAGAAGAACCTAGAAAAACCTTGCATCTGGTGAAGGTATTTTGTTTGGTTTTTTGGAAAAGGATGATATTTATATTTTTGTAATCAGTGTTCATTATGAATTTATTTTTTTATGAATTATACTGTTTTTCTTTGAATTCTTTTATAATTTTTCTTTTTACTTTAAATTTTGTTTACAATGTGAATATTAATGAACTTAATATTTCCTGTTTTGATATATTTTCTTTGCAGGATGCTAATGTGGACCCACATGAGGGAAAAGAGTAAGTAGCAATTATCAGTTAAGTGGTTTAATGAGTGGATGATTACCATTGATACTGTAGAGTGGCTGACTGCCTACTTAGAGTTCTAACTGTAGTAAATCGACTATGGTTTCTTGTTAAACTTTAATAACTAGCTCCCTTGATAGCTGTAGTAGGCCTTCTTATAATTTTATAGTACAGCTGTAGTGTGGTGATTTTTATGTTTATTCTGGCACAGCTGATTGAATTTTTGACCCATATCTGCAATGTGATATTTTTTGATAGATAAACAGAGAGCAGGAAAAAAGTGTTTTGAAAAAACACAGTTTGAAATATTCTGCTAATCAACTCTGCTTTGAATTGAGAAAGAGAAGGATTATGATTGTGGAAACAGATAGTGTATTCTATTTGGAGTTATGTATATCTTAACAGATATGTTGCAAAAGATATTAATATTTTTAATTTTGTAATTTTTATTTGTTTTTGTTTACAGGTGGTTCCACGGAGGTATTACGAAAGAGGAAGCGGCTGAGTTACTTCTTAAAGGTGATTTGAATTTAGTTGTTATAGTAATAGTATTGATGTTGATGATAGTAATGATGATAATGATGATAGTAATAATGATAGTACTTATAATGATAATGGTGATGATAGTTTGTGAAGATGATGGTGATGTAATCTTGGTACTGTAGCTTTGTGGTTAAGGCACTCTACTTTTAATCTCACAATCATTGGAATAATGACTGTTCATAAATTCACATAAGTGATAGATCACATCATTTTTTTTTCAACTCATAAATATATTGTATTTATCGCAAAAAGAATTCGAGCCTCAGGGGCCCTTCATGCAACAAAGTTTAATAAACATTTATTATTGTTGTGATGCTGGCAAAAAATTAACTGTGATTGAAATAGTGTGCTAGTTGTAATAGTTGATTAATGTAAAATGTTCAAAAATAAGTATGTTTTTATTAACATTAAAGTTCTGCTGTTTGATCTGTTCTGTTTAAAACTACTTGTTAATACCAGTGTTTGTACAATATATGGTATTGTCCTGTAATTGGTGAGTTAAATGCGCTTGAATGCAAATTGAAGCACTTAAGAATATCTTTAAAATATTCATTTTTATGTTTTCACAGACGGTGATATTGGAAGCTTCATCATTCGTAACAGTGACAAAAACCCAGGTGATTATTCACTATCATTCCGAGGCCAGGATGTTATTCAGAGATTTCGCATTCAGAAGTTACAGGAGCAGTACATGATGGGTGGCCGGTACTATAACAGGTGGGTCATCGAAAGCTACGGTCGGTAACCTTTTACTCCTAAGGACCCATAATTTTGTGCCCTAGCTTCCCACGACCCAAGATCTCGAGTTGTCATAGAACTGTCGTCTAGAATACGAAATATACAGAAAATGTAATACAGTGAAACCCCCTACTTTGGGGGCACTTTTTAGTGAAACAAGGGGAATTATATCTTTAAACACTATGGCCAACCCTTATTAAGGGGTCACCCCTATTAATTGGACGGGGACACTTTCTAGGTGTGCCAAATGGTAAAATCAATACATATTCAACCCCTATTAAGGGGATACTTAATGCTTTCATTGTATCACAAAAACTACAGTAGGCTCAAAATAAATGATTTTGACACATTTTGAGCAATAAACTTCACATCAAACAAAACTTTTCTTCCCTGAATCCGGTGTAATGACAGAATTTCCATGTATTTTTTGTTTCTTGGACAATAAATTATCTTGTATCTTGTAGTATTGCTTTTGATAATTTCAAATTCTACTTTTGTTGTCCTACACAACAATTATGGTAGTGCAAACATTAAAATGTAACTTTAAGTAAAGAATATGTAACTATATTCTGTTGTCAGAATATAAAGACAATGTTAAAACAGTAAGAAATTGCACTCGGTGTATATGTTAATACATAAACATTAAAAATATATAATACGCATACTTCATAAGACATAAGTTAGCATAATGTTAATACTGATAGTTAAACAAATTAAATATATTTATTGATATAGGCATGTTATGCTACCAACAACTGTAACAGATAATTTGAAATATAAGTAGGCATAATAATTGTAGAAGAGAATCACTTATTGGCACTGAACACAAAAGTGCTGTACAAGTACAGAAAAAAATATTGACACTTCTTGTTGGAGTTTTTGTTTTGTTGATGCAGACTTATATGGGTATATAGAACGACTAGGAAATTGGTGTGATATCGAAATTCCAAAAGAGCAAAAGTTATAAAGATATTCTGTTTTCTCTCCTCTATTTCTTATGTAAACCCGGATTTCAACTTTTTTTAAACATTTCTACAATGTGGCTTTAGATTTCATCAGTACTGTATTGCAAATCTATCAAGAGTCAATTGATTGGATAATGCTTTTGTATCATTTTCACACCTTTATAGTGCAACGACTAGACAAAAATTGATTGATATAGTGAAAACATAAAATAAAGAATAAAGGAATAATATGTTCTGCCTTATAAAGTGTAAGGCATAAGACATATCATGAAATAGTACAATGAACATAACCTGATGAAAACTAGAAAGATAGGAAGAATACATTGAAAAAAAAAATGAGAGAAAATTAATTCTCTAGGTTGAAAAAAATTCTTGTCGAAAATTATCAGGTGGCAAGTCTAGTGCTTTTTTCTGTAAAGTAAAGTGTCAAACCACATTGATTTGGAGTCGTACTCTACAGTACTAATTAACAAATCTTCCCAAGCTTTTCCTGAAAGCTAGAACTAACTTAATCTTTGGCATTTGTTAGATCTCAGTTGGCTGCCCTGACTCAAAGACAAGAATGCCTACTGTACAAACCTAACATGCAATTTTTCATCTTCTATACAATAGGAGCCATGTTCACATGTGTGATCGTTCTTTTAAATTGAAAATAAAAAAAATATATGGACATTTTGAAAACAAGGACAAAAAAACATTTCTCCCAAAGTACAGAAATTTATCTTTGGATTAAGTTGAAAACAATACAAAATAAATTCTTTTTTATTTAAAGTAATTATTTAAAATTAGTTATAGAAACATTTAACAAATTTTACCCCTAACCATGGGGATTTAATTTTTGTGTATACTTTCATATAGGATTCTGATCTATGTCATACCATGCACTCTTATTTATGATTTGTTAGAGTCCATGTGACATGCATCCAATAGAAAGCTCAATATTAAAAAAAAAAAAAAAGAATATTTGGTAATTAATCTCGCATCATGAAATAATATTGGGAACATAATACAACTATTGTAGTTTTAATTACATTACTGCTGATTTCATATTATAAATAAATTTTGCATTGCAAATTATTGCTATAAATTAGTGTTAATTCAATTATAACTCATTCAATAAAATAAAATTTTAAAGAGTTTATGTCATCGTTGTATTAAAACTAGCTGGCGCTAGTTGCAATCGTGCATTTTGAGACCCAGATACGATCTGACAACCCTAAAAAATTCGCTCACAACCCAAATTTGGGTCGTAAACCATGGGTTGCCGACCAGAGATCGGAGTGTGAGCAGAATATTAGTAGAGGGCAGCTGAGGCTATAAAAAGTTAATGAATGCTGTTACTGAGCGACAGATAAAGTAATCGTTAATTTATGCTGCCTGTCTCCAATTTGAAGGTTACAATAGTTGGTTCAACCTCAACAAATGCATTTGTTTTATTATTCCTTAGTTTCTACAGTCATATACAGTTAAGTTAGGCATATTTATAATATTTTATATTTGTCAGACACAATTTGATAAGACTGTCTGATGATTAAGTCAGTGTCTGATATGATTTGTTTGATCAGATCTGGAAAAAAAAATTGTACAATACTAGATAAAGTCTGAACAAAAAATGTCGGATTGTATATGCCTGGCATTTGTGTATAAGACACTGATCATTATAGCCTTCATATTATTTTCACTTTTATTCAAAACTTCTGGATAATGTTTGGTGATAAATGTTTTTTTTTTGCCAAAATTCACCTGAGTCTACTTATGTTTCCATGTATGATTGTGGTTTGATGATGTATAATTTCTTTTTAAAATGTTTTAGCCTTGATGAAATTGTAGAGCATTATATGAAAGAAGAGATTGTTGATGGTCATACCTTGACCGAGCCAGTAAGACCAATGGTATGTATCTTACAAAATATTTTACATTTATGTATTCATTTGCTTAGTACCTGCATACAACAGAGTTCCTTTTTCACAACAATTTTTAATTGCCCACCAGGAGACATTCTCAGTTGCATGTAATAAAACACAGTAAACATTTTAAAATAATTTTTAATTCTTAAAAAAAATGTAATTTGTTTGACTGCTAGTGGTGTGTTGGTGCAGTTGCCGCCAGTATTAATGTACAATATGATAGAACAGTGTATCTGCAAGTGTATCGTCCCTGTCCCTTCTGCAACACCTTATTAGACACATAGTCTCATACAACAGTATTACTCACAGATTACTCATGTTGGTTTTTATTTCTGGTTTTTTTTTTAACCATTACAGAGGACAGAGATGCTAATGCAAGAGGCTGAGGACCGACCAAATGTAAACATGGATGAAATACGCAAGAGGAGGAGCAGCGGTCTGTATCTCATGAGTGGGGACAAGTCTGTTATGCAAGGACATCTCAGCAAAAAAAGTAAGTATTTACTATTAATAAATTTTTCTAAATTTTTCCATGTAAATATGACAAACGTTGGCACTTATACAATTGAATCCATATTGGCGATATTAAAATATTTTAAAAAGTATTTCCTCATGTTATTATCTAAAGCCTTGTGTAGATTATCAACTTTAATTTGTCAAAAAAATTGTTGTATGGCCATGTACAGTCATGATGTGCCTATTATATGTTCATGATGTAATGTCATCATGACCATATATAGGCATGTGACATGTTTTTTTTTATCAATGATTGAGATTTTTTATTGTCTTGCATTATGAGGTTTTTGGCTACAAGAGCTAATCTTTTGTGACAGACTATTTGACTATCCCCCAAACATATGAAAGAATATTTTTTATCCAGTACTTAGAAATTTCATAGTCTATTTCGTGAATACTTACCTGGATAACCGACTAATTGCCATTGTTCCCAAAACGGAACACCCCTTCGAAAAAAATGGAACAGTCCGACCCAAGGCGCGACGTGCAAACCGTCTCCCTAACAAACGTCCCCATTCCATTTTCGACGTTTTTCGAAGTCATCACGATTGATTTGTGTATTTTACTATATTTGGTCTAGTCATATTATAAATTATTTTACAGTAATATTACTTACCTTTCTGTCTTCAATCCCCTTTCCAGGCAGTAAACACAAGAAATGGAAGGAGTATTATTTCATTCTAAATGCACAAGAACAGCACCTTCTCTTCTTTGAGAATGACAAGGTAAATCATTTTAGTTTATTAGTGTATGTGTTTAATGTTGTATGTATTGTCAATTTATCTGAATACTTAAAAAAACTGACAATTGCCAATATTTATAAACGGTTAGATACAATTTGAATTAAAAATTTTATGCCATGAGAGTCTTTAATAGCATCTAAATTTACTGCTTCATAGTCTATTTTACGAACTCTTGGGTAAGCCATCAATTGTCCATGTTTATTTATGTATTTTTACAGTTTTGCTATAGAGAAAAAATCAAAATAAATTTAATGTCAATACAAGAAAAATGATAAAAACAAATCTGCTGCATACCAGAATAAAGCTAATTGTAAACATCTTTTCAAATGAGTCACCATATATATGGAATTGTCCATCCTGGCTTGCCATGTGAGGTATAAAGCCGGGCATTCTATGGAGAACGCAATACCAATATGTTAATGAACTTTGACCTATTGAGGAAGACCCACAGATAGTGGTAAATATGTCTTGACTATAGAAAACATATCAGTAATGTTATCATTTGAGATTACTTTTTAGCTAATTATCTGATTTTTTTTTAATTTGCCTAGAAAACACGACCCAAAGGTTTGATTGACCTTAGCTACAGTTCAGTGTACACTGTTCATGAAAGTCTGTTTGGGCGTCCTAACTGCTTTCAAATTGTTGTACGTGCTATGAATGATGTCACTAATTTCTTTCTGAATGCGGAAACCACAGAGCTTACACAGGTAGATAAATGTTTGGCTTGGTTTATTATTAGTAATATTTGAAATACTTTTCTTCTCATTGTAATAATAGCAATAATAATAATATGTTTTCCCCTTATAACAAAGTTACATACCATATAACATGAAGTAAAATATATAGAGGCTAAAATCATGATACAGTATGTCTGTAACACTCTGCTTAATAGTAAGTGGCTTTTTTTAAGACACTGACAGTCTATTCTTTATGAGTGGCAAATGCAAGCTGATTCCGCTAGGCAGGTGCAACAAATGATCTTGGTCTACAGTCTAATTGCATTTTTATCTTCACTTGTCAGAATTAATTAAACTGTGACATCACTGGACATCGAATTACAAGTTACCAGATATATTTATTTTCAATATGTACAACTAGCATCATGTGTAATTTGAGTTCAGAATGCTTTTAGCCATTTCTGTTATTAAGCATTTTCACCACTTTCTAGAAACTTTAGAAGAAAACATAAATATTACTTACAAATTCAGTTTCAATTTCATATATTATTTGTAAATTGGCTCTGTTTTCTTTTATCAAAAATATATGCGAAAATGCATTAGATGATATATTTATTATTTCCTTATGAATCTGAAGGATAATAGAAAATCAGAAAAGGCTCCTACCACATTTATACACCAGTTTTTTTCAAAATGATGGTGCTTTATACTCCATCTTTACATAATCTTTTCACATACACATTCTACATTAGTTCCCTTCGTCATTTGGATAGACTTGACCGTACATCTGTTTGACCAGCACTTACTGACATATTCTCTTTCTCGCACTACTTTTCCACTTTTGTAGTTTTTCTGTCTTGCTTGGCTCTGGCACCATGAGCACACCATGCAGATACTGGCGCCTTCTAAATGTCCATTATTATTATTACTAATTTATAATACCCGACCATTTACACTTCAGTTACGCTTTTTATACCCAGAATTGATGTTCAAAATGTTTAAAATATGTATATTATTACTAATAATTTGATTATTTTTGATTATTTATTATTGTTTATAATTTTAACAACCACTTCTAGGCATGGATACAAGCTATACGATCATACTGTTCGCGAGTAGCCAGGCCAGCAAACAAGTCCGGCCTAAAACAGCTAAAGAGTTTGGCATTGACTGTCCTTGAAGCGCATAAGATGCCTGCCAAGCAGCTCCCACATCCCTACTGCGTGATCTCCCTGAATGATGTCAAAGTGGCTAGAACCCAAGTACAAGAAGGCAATAGACCTATATGGAATGAAGAATTCATATACGAGTAAGTAGTGAAACTTACTATTTAATACGAATAATAATGATTAAAAACTGTTCGGTATACCGTAAAACCTTGAATAGAAACCCTGTGGGTTCAATCTCGAGAAGAAGCCCACCCTGAATTGAAGCCCCCCCACCCCCTCTTTAGTTTGCAAAAGTAATCTCAAAAAGAAGCCAATCTTGAAAGGAAGCCCATGGGCTTCTTTTCAAGATAGCATAGGCTTCTTTTTTGAGATAGTACAGTACATACACTGTACATGAATTTCAAAGAAACAAAATAACTTGAAAACATGCATGGTTTATACAGTATTATACAGTGATTGAATGCCGGTTAATACACTCCATACTACAGATTGATGTTATAGTTGCCCTGTTTATTGTTTTATAGTAGTATTTCCTAAACTTTGCAGCATTCAGTTTGAAAAGAAGCCCCTCTTTACTCTGCAAAAGTAACCTCCAAAAGAAGCCCATCCAAAGTTCGCAAAACAAGAAGAAGCCCAGGGGTTCAATTCGGTGTTTTAGGGTATATAGAAATTATATAAAATTAATATTATTAATTACTTTACCTTCTTTAAAAATATTCCAGATAGGAAGCAGTCCAATACATCCTGCATTCTATCTACTCATTTAGTTTCATATGTGGATGGAGACAAACATAGATGTCAATGAAAAAAATACAGTATTTTCTGCACATAATAATACATATGTTATTCCCTATTCCTTAATCCTAAACTGTTGCTGAATAAGCATCACATTTATTTACAAGATATATCCAAATCCGAAAAGTATATAAAGGAAATGGAGCACAGTAACGTCATTCAAAAGTGTGCCTGCTGCCTTCGATTGTCTCGTGGAAGTGCACCCCCACGGAAGATGTTAAGGTGGTTTCATTTCTAAAATAGTAACTATCGCCCTCTATGAAGAATTGTATCTTGTGGAACACAGATAAATGAACAAACTCAGCTAGGCACTCTGGGTAAATAAAAGTTCCAACTGAACACAGCGGGCATTCTCTCATAGCTGTGTGTAAGGGCATATTGTTTGTTCATGCTTACAATGAGCGTGCTATGCTCTCTTTTGATTTTGTTATTTTTGGTCTTTACTTTTTCAATAATCAAATCCATTGTATTCCTATTTTCTAATCCAACATGTTGTATTGTAGTGATTTTCCTGATGATATTGACTCATTCACTATCGACGTGTGCAATGGAAGCAAAAAAGCAAAAGCCATTCCCGTTTGTCGGACAACCGTTCTACTGGAGAAGCTGCCCAGTGGCCAATCGGTGGACGACTGGTACCCACTTATATCAGTCGCCTCACAAAGTAAAGGAGAGATGGGTTCCATTCGAGCAAAGATCCAATTTGTACAAGAATTACTAATGCCACTAGAGGAGTATAAGGGACTTAAGGAGGTGGGTGAAGAATTAAACAATAATAATAATAATGATAATAACTTCATTTGGAAACTACACTTTTGAATCAGTGGCACATGTGAGTCTTTGTTGAGCAAATAGAGCTTTATCCACACTATCATTGTGATGTCATATTACACCCAAATATGGGCATGTCACATTTATTTGTTAGTGTGAACAGAGGTTAAATTTAAAAAATGTGATTTAAACTTTTTTTGCTAGTATTACTATACAATAATGTTATATTGTTCATTAAAATAATTCATTATTTATTCTATATTTAAGGAAGTAATTAAGTTTGAATAATAATTTTGATATCAAACGATTGCGACGATTAGAGCTTAGTATTGGTTAGATCTCTTCTCATTGATTGTTTTCTTTTCAATTCAGGCAGCCCTTTACCTCCCTTCCAAAATTAAGATTTATCTATTTCTTTAAAAACTGTCCATAAATGAAAAGAGAAATAAAAGTTGAGTTGTGTATATTTCTCACTTATTTTAATTTGTTTGTTTTTAATTTACTTGAAAAATATTATTTCTTCACCTTCTTTAGCTGATCTTAGCTGAAGATCATCACATCATATACGCTTTAGAAGAGGCATGTGTTAAAGATAGACCACAGCTGGCTGGGGTTATTTTAGATATCTTTCGACGAGAGGGCCAAGAAATAGGTCTACTAGAAGCCCTCAATAGAAGAGAAATAGAACATGAAGGTAGGTGTACCTGTTGGATAGACAATTATTATATTAACAGTGGCATAACAATTAGACCTGGGCCCTGTGGCTTTCCGAGACTTTCTGAGCTCTTTTGGATGTGTCTGTTTTTTTGTTTTTTTTTTATCATTTTTGTCATTGTACCATATTCTAACTATTTTTAACGACAAAATAAGTGATATGATTTCAGTGGTGGATCCAGGAATTTAAAATAATCTGTAATTTTAAAATTTTTGATCAGATTACTTAAAATACGATATGTCCTACAGTTGTTGTCAGAGACACATTATGCTGGTAAGTATTAAGAAAGCCCTTTGGGGTCAGGGTCTTCGATTGAGGAACCTATGGGAAAGGGCCCCTCTGCAGACCGCCACACAAGAGTGCCTAGGCATTACGCCACTGTATGTTAATAAAGGATATTAATACAGATATCTTGTAATGTATAAAAAAATATGATTGCTGTTTTTCTAACAGCAGAGTTAACGCAAGGAAATAATCATCGAATGATTAAAAATCGAGGTGGTAATCAGGTGATAATCAGTCTTATTATCTTAATTTATTTCAGAGGGTCAAACAACGTTGTTCAGAGCAAACACATTGGCAACTACGTTAATGGACCGATATATGAGAACATCCGCACAATCATTTATCCATAGAGCATTACGAGAAGTTGTCAAGAAAATCATGGATGCCAAGCAGTCATGCGAGGTAAGGATTATACTACATGTAACTCAATGTACTCATGCTTGAATAGGAATTAGAGTAACAGTGACTCTAGCCTACTTTATGGCTAAAGCATATAGGGGATTTTGCAACTAAAGAAAAACTTATGAGTTATGAGGTGCTTAGGCTGGTCTACACCAGGTAAACAGTACAGTATTCACTGACATTATTAAGAGTTTAAACTGATGTTCCCTATGTGGAAGCTAAGTGAAATGCAGCTTGTACTGTCATTACCTCTGGTATAAGACTAAACCATAGTTTTCATCACAAATCTTGCAAACTATGTAACTTGTAAATACTAGGTTATCTGAAATTTATATTCATTTCTTCATGTTTTTTATTAGTTGAATCCTGCTAAGCTGGAGAAGGGTGCAGATGTTTCAGTGAATCTCGAACATCTTGTAGGCTTTCTAACGGAAATTACAGAATCTATCTTCAAGTCAACAAACTTTTGTCCTCCGTAAGTTCATGCTAAATTATCTCAATAGTCAGTTAACTAATTAATTTATATTACACTCAAAATATTAAAGTCGAATCTAAAGTGCCACTGGAATATAGTTCGACTTAGATTAATTTCGGCTAAAGCAAAGTCAAATTTTATTTTAGTTATATCACAATAGCAACTTTACTTGATAGTTAAGCCTTACGGAGACCGGAACAAAGTAACACGCACTGACGGTACACGCATGATGTTGACTGCACATTTGGCCTAGGCTACCTAAACTTACCTTTAATGAAAGTAGTATTCTTCAGAGTAGCAATACATTACATTAATTCTTAATTATTACAGTATGTTTAAATGTTTTGTTAACTGTTTCTATGCCATTCTTTTGAATACAGTACAGTATAAAGAGGAATCAATTAATACTTAAATTAAAGCTTAATCATATTTATATTTGATAAACTAACATTTAATAACTGATTTTTGCATGGCCATCAAGTAAACACGTTTTTAATTACGATAAATTCGGTAGTAAATCCAGTTGGAAAGACCAAACCAGTACTTACTAGGGGAAAGTCTATCTTATATATAATATTTCAACACGTGTATTAATCGTATTTAAACCAGATGTGTATACCACGCCGCAAAATGGACTGTTCAAAAATCGCCCACTACTCATCCATGTGCTTGCTTCTGGCGGTGTAGCGAGTTTTTTTTTAAAGTTATTGTTTGGTATTTCTCAACGTACTTTTGAAAGTAGTCTGACAGACTTAGTTTTTGTTTCTGATATATAATGTTGGGTTTATTATAGGACTGCGATTACAAATTCTTATTGTTTTTTTGGCAGAGCATTGAGATATTTATGTGGATGTTTACAACGGGATGTGAAAGCAAAATGGCCAAGCGATGAAATAGTCCATGCTAGGGTTGTAAGGTAAGTCAGAAAGAAAGTGTTTTCTCCATTTCATATCTATTGACAAAGTAAGCTATTCAAATATTGAATTGTATTGTTCAAGTCTATTAGATCAAAGCAGACATACTGTTAATAAATTCTTTTTAACGTAGAACTGTAGGAAACAATAGACCTTTCCAGAGCATCAATCAGAATATGTGTCGTGAAAGCTCGCATATCCCACAAACACATATGTTTACATATGTTCACGCTGTCGTTTTTTGGGGGCCTTAGTAACAATAACCAAGGGGCGGAGCTTAGTAGAATGGTCCATTAACAGTTTGAATCTCCTGAGCACTGTTCAACCATGTACTCTGCACCATATTTTGGTCTAAAACAAATACCATATTTATTCAGGGGAGGCATTTATTCGAGGGACACATGTATTTTTTTTGTTTACCATGGATACATATATACTCAAATTTATTAATTTTTTTGTGTAACATGGATACGTATATTCAAATAAATGCCCCATAATTTCACTGTAAAACACATAATTACCTTTAAATTTTGTTATTACATAACCATAAAGACCAACCAGGTTGGAAAAAATGGAGTACTGGAATAGAATATTAACAGAATGTGTCGAGAATGATGTTGCTTCAATTAGTTTTGTTTACAGTCATATGGGGAGGGGGGCGTTTATTCGAGGAAAAAAGTTTGGCAGAGGCAGTTATTCTAAATGCGGCTCTGGAGGCTGCGTTTACTTGCGGGGTTGTTTAATTAATACGGTAACAAAAAGAATGTAAAATATGACTTAGATTTTACTGATCAGACAGGTTTGATTTTACCGTGTAATTACCATATACAGTATATTTATTTGGATTTTATCTTTCAGTGGATTTATTTTCTTGAGGTTAATTTGTCCAGCAATTTTAAACCCTAAACTCTTCAACATTGTCTCTGGTAAGAAAAGATTTGCATTTGTTATTTGTAATACAATATATATATATAATATGTTAAATGCAAAATCATCTGTTAGCTTATACAGTATTTGTAGATTTAGCATATACATTTATTGTTTCTTTAGAAACCACTGTTTACAGTAGTAAACAAACATTCTAATTTACAAATATACAGCAAATGCGTAATTTATATCTTTATGTATATATGTTATATTCTTTTTTTACTTTCCTATTTTTTTTCTTCAAGAAAATACAAAGTAACATATACCACTTATAAATAATATACAAATTATGAAGTTTGTTGTAATATATTAAATATGTGGATTTGAAAATACCAGACTTTACTATAGGATTTTTCCTAATTCCGCTTGTTGGCTTATTTAACAATGATCTTCGTTCTCTTTTTGAAAGATGCACCATCACCAATGGCAAGCAGAACCTTAACAATTGTTGCCAAGGCGATACAGAACTTGGCCAACCAGGTGGAATTTGGTGCAAACTATAAAGTGAGTCGTAAAGATATAGTTTTCCTAATAGTTTTCCTTTTGGAAAACTGCACATAATGCAAACAATTACATTTTTTTTTATTTCTGTTATTAAATTCCCATTGCAATAAACATGTAATCAATTTTTGGTTTTATATCTTTTCAGGAGCCATATATGGAAGCATTGAATCCTTTCATTGTGCTTAACAAAGGCCGCATGGTACATTTTCTAAATGAACTAGCACAAAGTGTTAAGAAGTGTCCGGCACCACCAGATAACAACACCATTGATTTAGCACGTCAGCTAGCTGCTTTACATCAGATTTGTGTTTTCCATATCAAGGATTTGCAGAGATTAAGTCAAACACAGGTAAGAGTTAGCTCAAAGCTGCTCTGCACCAACCTTCCCCCATTATTATAATTTCTTATAAATTAATGTTTAGCATGATGATTAATGATGTAACATTCATAGAAGTAAGCTCTGCCTTGCCCAGTATATGTGTGATACATGTCTGTGCTTTGCTATAAATGGGAATGATGATGTCATATCACATCCATATATGGGCAAATCTCAAGTATTTGTCATTTAAATTACCAAAACCAGACAGATATATGCATATATGCAAGTTTTTTTTAATTGTGCGTGTCCAGCTCATCGGATATATGTTTCATAATTATTTATACCACACTATTTCCAACGGATCCTTAGCACTGGGTGTCAAATTGAATGTAGAACCGTAAAAGTGTTGGATCCCGTTCTGATTTGTGCAGTTAACTATAGAATTTGAACAAAAAAAAAAAAAACCATTAAATCAAATCCTTCAACTAAACCTATTTCTTACACTAAACATGGTTGGCCGTTGCCTCACCAAGAAGCTCATCCACCCACTGTAGTTGCTGTCCTACTGTTGCACAAGGTGTGAAAGAAGTCATTTTAGTTTGTAATAGTATTTTAAAATGATATATATTTAACTGATTCAACTTTTCAGCCAAGTTTAAAGAAATTGCTGGCGGTGACAGAGCAGCTGACGAATAAAAAGAACCAATACATGGGAAGGGCACAGGCTAAGCAGGCTGGGAAGGAAACCTACAACACAGTATCATGATCAGGTGCAATGACGTTGATGGACGAGGACCAGAACCAACAAAACTGGAAGATGGACACACAAAGTGACCATGGAAACACTCAGTTGGAACGATGCAATTTATTTTGAAGTGCTAATTTAAAGGATTTTTCTTTTTATTTCTTTTAAATTATTTTAAGTGCATGGTTATGTATTGTGAATCATTACATTTTTTTTTTTTTTTTTATGTTCGGAGTTTACTGGTATCTATGATGATGATGATAGATGTCTTGTTAAGCTGGCAGTTTGAACATATACATGTGTGTGTCCCAACAGAGCTGCTTCAGGGCCAGTGGTGGTGTCATTGAGGTGGCAGCATGGTTAATCCCCCAGTCCGACACAATTCATCATATTAAAGAGAAATTTCCTTTAGGAAGTATTTTTGTGCATAATACATAGTAAAATTTCTCAAACTAGTTTAGAAAAGCCCAGAACTGTCCAGTTTTTTTGTTTTTTTTTCGGATTTAGACCCTGGGCTTGCTCCAGTACTTCACCTCTCCAAACTCTGCCGGTCTGTTAAGATTTGTTGAGACCCCCTTCTCTTTGACACCTTAGCTGCTTCTGGTGCTGGCCACTGTTTTGGGCTATGAGGTACCACATCCAACTATGGGCTGTGAGGTACGGCAAGTCATATTTTTTAACCGATAGTAGACTTGTTGGTAAATCATTACAATCCGACTACTATATACTTAGTGAATATTTACCTGTATGATTTAATATATGCCAGTTGCCATTTGGGAACTTTCCTCGAAAATAATTGATTTTTTTGACCCAGCTGCATATCATATGTTTTTAATTTAGGTCAGTTTGCTTAACAGCAAGGTAGAGCACCAGAGATTTTTGTACTTAGGAAGTGGCTGGCTATTTTGGGGCACATTATTACATGAATATGTTCGACTACCATATGAGAATAACATATTTGATTTTAAGGTAGTCTACTTTATATATTAAGACTAATTTACAATCAAATACATTTTCATTTTATGTAAACCATGTATTTATATTTAGGTTAGTCATAACTTTTACTTTTGCGACCTTTATCCTTCTTTGTATACTTTTGGTGCTTTTACTGAGTAAAATAATGTGTGGAATCAATTTTAAATTACTTTAATTTTCAATGTTTTAAAATGTTTATTCAACCCTAAGATGATGTTTTAACAACTCTGCGAAGACACCAAAGGTTTAGCACTTAAAATGTTTCTTAACTTGTGTAAATTTTGATGAAGTTGAGAACACTATTAAATTAGGAAGAAGCATGAATTTCAAGGTAGATAAAATAGTGCTCAGATAAACCTTTTAAAATATATATATTTTTTATTATTTTTTATTTTTGTTTTACCGGTCAACATATTAATATGTTTATCATTTTCATTAGCGTTGAATGAGGTTTATATTTTTTATCTTTCTTCCAGAAGTAAATCTAAATAATTCAAAAATTGGATAAAACATATATATTCAAAAACAACCTAGTCAATTCATGAACATTTTTCCAGAAAAAAATGAATTATCCTGGAATAATACAGGTTTAAAATGGTCACTTTTGGAGAACAAGTACCAAGGTATTACATTGTATTTTGTATTCAGAAGTAGTTACGCCATCATTGTACCATTAGGTAAATATGACTTTGGTAGTACCATTGGTGTAATGAATAATTGTATGGTGTTTTGACTTTACAGCCGCTTATTGCGCATCTTGTAGATAGTTGGATGATGATTTATTGTAAGATATCAAACACCTGACATTCACCAAATACTGTAGACACTCTGCATGAGGTTGTGCATATTTAATTTGAATACTTCCCTAATTTTGACGACCTAATGCTAGAGACTGTTTATTATATTTATAAAACTTAAGTTAAGAGCCTGATTATTGCCTTTAAAAAGTTTGCATGCGAATGGCTTCTTTAAAAGTTTTTCTCTCTGAAAGAGTTTTTCAACACTTGGTCTCGTGCTAGTGCACTAATGAATCTCTAATTTATGTTTGTATCCAAACTTTTCTATGCATAATTATTCTTGAGATCACGCATCTAATAACAGTAGAGAACAAACACCTACTCCCCTGCCCCACGGAAATTGAATAACATGCATTCCTATATATTCCCCATAGCTTGTAATGTCAAATGTTTAATGCAACTCAACTATCATATGTTTAATTTTTGTCTTCAAACTTTTTCAGTAATCGTAACTGGAGCACGTGATCTAGTGAGAAGTATACAATTATCACGTGACAGTATTTTGAATTTGTGTGTAAGGAAAAGATCAGTATTTTAAAATTTTTGAATTTTTGGAATGTGTCGTATTGAAAAAAAAAAAATTTTGAGAACAATTTGTAACATTAACATTTAAAGATAATTTCAAAGATAAAACTTGATGTTGTCGTTAACGTTGTGAGTAAATAATTTAAGATGTATTTACTGGACAATCTTGATATTTTATAGTTTCACTGAAGCATGGATATGTTCCATAATTTCATCACATATTTGGATGTGTTATAGTACACACTGCAATTCCAGTTAATGTTACTGGTATTCATGGTTCATAGATTAGCATCTGTGTGTTATATATCAGCAACAGGTTTTGTACTATTTATAACAATTTAAAAAGTGTTTATTATTTTTTACTTTATGTTTTGGTCCTACTATAATGTTTTGTGAAATATTTGAATAATAACATCAGTACAAGTATTCAATGCTTTGTTAATATCTAGTGAAAACTTGGAATGGAAAAGTAATGGACATGAATATATTGCCTCTTGTTTTCTCTGCAATTTTTAATTGGTTAAAATTGTCTCTTGTGTCAACACTGTACTTTGGTAATTTTCGGTAATTGTCTGGAAATATTGTAGGTAGCATATTTAGAGATACTGTACTCGCGTGAATAAGTGCCCCATTTGAATAAGCGCTGCCTTAATAATATAAAATTTTCTTTTTAGCAAGCCGATAATCCAATCAATCCTTGGACTGTGGTTGTTGGCGTGATCTGAGCTGCAGAGTGGAATCACATTCTTCTTAGGTCGGTATCACAATGAGGATATTTCTTTTGGACAGATCAGAGCTCCGATCCCTGGACAGACAGTACATTTCCTACTTTCTTCTTACATATTTGTGTAGGCCTAGTCCTACTCATCTTTTTCTTCTTCCGACAATTTGCACCTTTAGCACATTCTTGTCTGTTTTCAAGAAAAATCCTGCCATCCTGCTAATCTCAATCGGCCGATGGCCAACAAGCTAACCACTACCCACCAACACTAATTGCATCCGCTATTCTGCTGTTACATAAATATTCCCAGCATTGTTGTCATGAACCATGTTCTCTGGACGATTATCTTTTCCGCCGCACCACCATTCGTAATGTCCTTATATAATCTTTTTTCATTCAAAAAGTGCCTCTTGAATTTAGTAAGTTCCCATAAGAACCCCTCGATTTTCATCTATTTCCATAAGTACGCCCTCAATTTCCACTCTGTTTTCATAAGCGCTCCGTTTAAATAAGAGCCCCGTCCGAATAAGCGCCCCTTAGAAAGTGCTAAAAATATTTTAAGCGCCCAGGTGCTTATTCGTGTGAGTACGGTAAATATTTTCTAAGCCACATAGTAAGGAGAATGATTTTAGAAGGCAGCTGATTGAAGGACACACAAAGTGACATAAACAAGAGAAAAGAGAACAAGAGGAAAATTAGAGAGGTGAATTAAACCACATTAACAGAACAAGCATAGTACTCACAAGTAGTTAGACAGAAAGGAGTGGCTTCCAACCTTCTACAAGAGGAAGGAAATTATGAAAAATTCTCTAAGCTACATTGGATTGTAATTTTTGTGGATAAAGATTGTGAATCCCTCTCAGGAAGTTTACAGAGGGCTTAAGTGAGTACACATCTGCTGCTCAAAGATACCCTGGCTCCAAATTCTTTAAAGGAAGCTGTATTTATTTGTTAGTAGGGTGCATAGCTAACAAAGGTTAGCCTAACTCACTGTGTTCTACACAGAGTTACTATACAACTATGACGGAAGATCATTTTCATTCATACTACATGATAATATCGTATATGTTAGACCTATCATGAATGGTGTATAAACCACTGTGTGCTTGATACCGTAAGTAATCTGGGCATAGTTAACAAATGTGTTTGGATTGAACACCAAGATAGACATAGGTGATTATAACAAATCATGTTGAAATTTGTGGAAACATTGGTTTAAAAAATTTTAATTAGTTTTTTTCAAATCTATTTTCAATATCAAAATGATGGATGTAGCACTGAACGTGATGTGTACCCAGTGTGCAATGAGCAGATGATCACTGTGTATTAATTAAATAGTCAAGACACTTTCTTTCACAGAATTGACAATCAGTAATTTTGTAAACCATTTTCATACTTATTATTTGTATAGTTGTAGATTGTCTGCAGACTGACATATACTAGGCAGATGTTCCAATACCATAATGACAAAGATATTTTTTTTTTCTTTTTGTTGCTTTTTCCAGTATAGAACAATTTATTTTTTCTGAATTTTGATATGTTGTCAGAGTAAAAGATCCACGTAAGATAAGAGGGCTGTAGGTCTATACTATCAAAATCTAATCAGATTTTATCTGCTGAGTCTAACAGACAAACTTGTTCAATAATATTTTGTCAGATTACTCTAATTGTATTTTTGTTATATAGTATTATAGTGAAAGTGTATATCTTTGGTATCATTTTTCACAAGAAAATAGTTGATGTGTGTATTTTATAATATACTGCTGGTACATTCAAATAATCAATGTTAATACAAGTAACAAATTTGTTCAAAATAAGTGCATTTTAGTATGTTTGCTTACAAATTAGTTCATATATCTAAGTATTGTACCAGGTCATTTTATCGAAATGCAGATGTTAGCTACAGTATTAGTATAATTACATATCAGATCTAAAGGTAGAAATACAGTGGAAATTCTATTGAACGGAGGCCGCCCCCAGTGCAGGAGATAATGTGGTATCTGAATGGAATGGTCTCATAAAAAGTTGGGCGCAATATTAAAGGATAGGATTTATTTATACGTAGGTACATGGGAGATTGCTGTTCTTTAACAGGGCTGGAGGAACGTTTTTTAAAGTGGGACCCCCACTCTTTCTTTTCTTGCATTTCTTTCTAATCATACAAAAATCTGCGTAGACATTATATATTTTCTGCCAAAAAGTTGGGAGGGGGCCCCCTTAAGTCTGCCGGTTCCGCTGGCCATGTTTTACTGAGGTGGTACTATTTAAGGCATGCCATCCCAAAACCAGCATATGGTTGCTAAAAGTTAAACTAAGTAATTAGCATAAGGGTGTGGCTGTATTGTATACTTTAGTACAGAGAACTGTATTGCTTTTACTCAGAACTTCGGCAATTTAAGTCGATTACAATAAATGACCCATCATTTTAAGACTTATAATGGGGAGAATATGAATATATTGAGTTTTTATTTTTTGGCCATTGATGCTAGTTTTGGGATGGCATACCCCATTTAGAGTTTCCACTGTATAATTATAACACAATGTTGTTTTATATTGATTGATGTTAATGCATTATACATATTAAGCTTCGAAATTGTCATTGTACCCACTCCTGAAGAACAAACACTTAATCTAGTAATTTTAATTGAATTAATGAATATATTATCTTGACCAGGTAGAAAAGATAGCATTAATTTACTCAACATAACATGCATACCTGCTGCTGTTGCTAATGATTAATGATTAAATTTTGTTGAAATTTCTTATATGATTATTGTTCCATATATTGCAACTTCACATTTTTTACCTTTTATTCTGTACCTAAATAATCTCCAAGTTTGTTTTGTTGTGTATTATTTGTAAGATTATTTTATTTGTATACACCAAAAATGTGTTTAATTTGTTAAGTATTGTTTATGAATTCCATAAAATAATTATATTTAGTTTGATTAAGACCAAGCCTATCTGTTGTATGTCCTATGAAAGATATTTTTTAAAATGCTGGAAAATGTAATATTTGGCCTAATCCTCCAGGATTAATTTGCCAAGTTGAGTTTGACCATTCCATGAAGATAGGGTTAACAATTCGTGGGAATGTGCAATCGCCTGTTGATCATCACAAATGGTGATGTCATTATTAGAAATAACCTGTTGTGCTTTGTGGCGTTTTTCATGACAAAATTGTGTCGCATATGAAACATTTGGAATTGCAGCCTCGTATTGCATGGAACCCTCTTTATTACACTTGAATACGTGGTACAGTTAAGTCATGCGTAATATTACTATAAAATGCAGACTGCCGTACCACACCTGTGTCGTATGTTATTTATATAGATACTTATACTATTGATTAATGAGACAGTAAGGAATGTTAATTTGTAGGTGCGCAAGGGCCTATGAATCCGGTAATTAAACCAGTACAGTCGCCCAACCCTGTGTATTTGTAGTGTGGAGCCGTTGTAAAACAAGCACCCTCAGCATTAATATCCAAGTTCAGTTTTGCCTACCGGCTATTGTACTCCCTTTCTGTTAGAAATCTGTAAATGGAAAATCTTGATAGTGAGTAGTAGCGCATTCTGTGTTGTTACAATTTTCATAAAGTCGGTCTTGTTTTTGAGAGAAGAAAATAATTGACTATTAAAATGCACTGGACAGAATTTAGGCAGGAAATGATTATCTAGAAGGTTAACGACAAGTATGGTTCAAATATCGTGTATATGAAAAGAACAGATACCAAATATAACGAGAGGAAGTGAAAAAAATAAAAAGTGTAGAATAAAACCAATGTACAGTATTTGTATTTTTTTATTTCGTTTCGTTTTATTTATAACATTAGCAGTTGTGTTCAGTGGCGGATTTGCTTTAAAGGGAGCTGTTTTTGCAGTCTTATTATTTTGCTTACAAATGGAATAAAAATATTGTGATGTTCGAATTAGCGCTGTGGCGCTTATACAATTTTTAGAGGTGCGTATTCGAGAGGGGCGCTTATAAAAAAAATTGAGGTTTGGTGTGGCTCTTATTTGAGCATTTACTGTAGTAAATGTTACAGTATTTCATTAAAGCATATACAGAACACGAATCATATCATTATTGGATACATATTTCATATTACATCTAGACCCATGTGAAATTGGGGAGGGGGAGGGGGAAACAATGTTGGTTCTGCTGCATTTTGGAGGGTGAAAGGGGATGCAGAGTAGCTGATTCATCTTTTGTTTAGGGCAGGACTTGAAACAAGAGCCCTCCCCTCCATTATAGAATTTTTTTCCAGATGCTTGGGGAATGCGCTTTACCGTCTGCATTCTAAGGTCTGTTAATGACTAGTTTTCAATTAGTATCATTAGTATAGAAAAATAGTGTGTAGGATAGGGAAATAAGGTAATTGAAACATTAAAAATTATAAAAGAATTTGAGAAGGTAGACAAGAGATCAGTTTTTCCAACTTTGCAAAGTAAATAAAACTAGAGGACATCCCTGGAAAATTTTTAAACCAAAATTGACTAAATCACTTGAAGTACTTCCTTTTTACGATGAGTAATTAATTTCTACAACAATCTTCCCGAGAGTAAGTGTACCAACCATTCCGTTGTTTAAAAAGGAGCTACTAGACACTGGCACGATAAGGGGTTCAAAAGGCTCAGCCTATAAACATATCCCTTTAACCGCAAGTGAAAGCTAGCTTAACTCATTTATATAGTCTTTATCTCATTCAGTGTTAGTCATCATCCTTATTGGTTTGATAAATGGGTGGATGTTCCAATTATGTAGAATGCTTCCCATTACTACCATAGTCAATACAACACATACTCAGTTCCCTGGCTGTATGCACGAAATAAATCTGCGTATTGGCACTCGCACCTCATTGCTGTATTCTTTTACAGACTCTTAAATTGTGTGGTAGATTTTTGTAGTTAAATTTATTTATGTACCAGTATTCCCACGATGAACTCCCAAATGCTTTCAAAGGATACTTCACAAAAAACAATGAATTACATAACTTTAAATAATACTAGGAATGCAAATAAATATATCACAATAAATTCTAACCGAACATCAACCAGGAATTCAATAATACATTCAGGCCCCCTATTATGGAACTCCCTCAGCACATCACTAACAAATTCGAAAAGTAGTTACTCATTTAAATCAAATATAAATTGTTCCTCATATCTAATTAGACTTTAGCTCCACTAATCTTCTTTATCTAATCATACTTGTGTCATCCTATCCAATCCCACTTTATCTTCTTTCCCTTATCTACCTTTATAATGTTCAAATCAATGTATATGTCATTAAAAAAAAAAAAAAAAGGTTTTTCCTTTTGTCTTGTTTTGTCTTGTCTTTGATCTCTTCCGGGCCCCCTTTTGGACATCTCTGGATCCGCCCCTGACCACAATACTAAAAAGTTACCGTAAATTGTCTTATTTATCATTACTGTAAATGTTAATATTTTGACTTCAGGAATAGTAAATTGAATAAAATTGTTAATAGGATAGTGGATATTTATTTCTTTATCAACAATATTTTGTGAGGATAGTCCATCAAGTCAGAGCTAATCAACTGGAACCCTCAGTGCAATTTCCTTAAAATAACTTACCATTCCTTTGACAACTTTGCCAAAAACAACATGTTTTCCATCAAGCCAAGGGGTTTTGACTGTGGTGATAAAGAATTGTGAACCATTTGTGTTTTTACCAGCATTAGCCATACTCAACCACCCAGCGCCATAGTGCTTCAGCTTGAAGTTCTCATCATCAAATCGATCGCCATAAATACTTTTACCTGTAAAAACATTTATATAATAGTATTTTTATATTTCATCTATTTTGAACATTTCTTATATGTAAATCACAAAGAGCTGAGTCAGGTAAATTGTGTTTTTTTTCTCAAGATTTTTGCTAGCTAGTGAGTGCGCGCACAAGGGATGCCGAGGTCTAAAATATCCAATGGATATAAGAAACTTGATATCTGCACATGCATTCAAAACAAAATTTAAAAATTACCTCAAACCTAATTCATAATGTTTATGGGCCTATTGCAGCTGCATTTGGTGATTTTTGGATCTAGTGACAACCAATTTTAACTTATATAGGTCTGACATTTATTTCTATTTAAGGTTAATCCTGGAGCCAACACTGCTGTCACTGATCTCTACTATAATAGCTGGATTGCTCATTGGCCCATCCTTGTACGTTGGAGGGCCAGTTTAGACAAGTTTCTTTTGGCATTTATTTAAATTATAATTAAAAATAACGATTCTTGCAATACTTATTATAATATAGTGAAATTTAATGTAGGAATTTTTTTTTTCAAATCATCTAACCACTAGTTAGATGATTATTTTAGATTTTTTCATACCATCTAAACCTCTAGTTTATGCAGTTTAGAAAAGCATTAACGAAGTCGCGTTGTTAGTGACGTCGATCCTAACAACACAAATAACTTTGCGCTTTTTTAAACTACATGAAAAGCCACATCAAGGTTACATGATTTGAAAAATAATCATTACGTTAAATTAAAATTTATTATTATGTTATTATTATTAAAATGTTTTGCAAGAATCGTTATTTTTAACAATAATTTAAACAAATGCCAAAAGAAACTTGTCTAAACTGATACGTCACTCAGGCCCTCAAACATAGCGTCGGCGGCCTAACTAATCCCAGCCAATGAGCAATCCAGCTATTATAGTAGAGACCAGTGATTCCTGTACATATGTTTTTTTTCCTACTTTTATACATGAATTTTGCAATTACTTAACTTTAAATTATTGTAATTATCATAATTTTAATATTCTACAAATTTTAATTATTAATTTTTTTTGTTTTATTGCTACATTTTATAGAAACAATAAGAATAATTTTTTCTATTTATTTATTGGCTGTTTCAAGTTTGACTTCAAATTATAAATAATTGTAAATATGAAATTTTGCATTTTTTTGTCAGTGTTTATCTTTTTAATTTTTATTTCATGCGAAATAATTATTAACTGACTTGTTTAAATATGTGAGGGCCCCTTTAAGTCAGCACTGTTGTTAGGGTCACCCTTGTTAAATAAAGTTGAATAAAAGAAAAAATTTAGGTACTGTATACTCCCACAACCCATAGGACCACATGGGACCACTGAGCAAATTGTAATACATAAATCAGAGAGAAATTAAAAGAAGAAACTTCTGTACTGTAAATTGCAATTATGTTAGTGGATTGTTTATATATCTCTTACCTCCAGTGCCATCTCCTCTGGTGAAGTCTCCACCCTGGATCATAAAGTCCTTGATAACACGATGGAATTTACTACCTTTGTATCCCTCTGTACCCTAAAAATACAACATGTGCTGTAGTTACAAAATTAATCCAACAAAATATACTGTGTTCACAAATAAATAATAATAATAATAATAATAATAATAACAATAATACATAATAATAAAATAATAAAAATAATAATAATAATACTGTAATAATGTATAGGATATTAATATAGTGGCCTATAATAATCTCTCAGAGCACTTACACACAAAAATGAATAAAAAAAAAAAAGAAGATAAATTAAATGTTAAAAAGATGCTTTTTTAGGCGGTCCTTAAACGTAGTCAAGGACGTTTCCTCCCTAATAAATATTTTGAGCTGGTTCTATTACATCTGCTATCTTCAATTTGTACTTTATATACAATCTATTGGTTTATAATTTTTCAGACTTATTGCATGTTCTGTGATGTATGTTGTACATGTAATTTTTCCTATGGTACCATACTGGTATGTGCAGTTTATTTCAATGAATTGAATAATAGAGCATTATTATGTCATATTTTGATTTATTTATTATTTAATAATGTTTTTATTATCATTTTCTCATATTTTTTAATATGTTCTGTTGTTTACTGTACATTCGAATCAGTTGAGAAAAAAATCTACTAACCTCTCTGGTTGCTAGAGTTACAAAGTTTTTTACAGTCTTTGGTACTGTTTTTCCAAACAATCCAATATCCACTCTTCCTATGTATTCACCTCCGATTTCTATTTCAAAGAAAACCTGAAGGTAAAAATATTTATTGAATGAATTTCTGCAAGTCAAATTGGCAGAGATAATGAAAATAATCTTTTCATTGGGACAACCTTTTTAGTTGTTTTAGAAGATACTGCTATATGTCACAAAATGTTAAAAAAAATGAATTGTTGTCAAATTAGATTTCCATAAAAAATGACTAATATTTAATTCTTTGAAATGGGCAATTAAGTTTACTGTAATTGGAAATATTGACACTCAATATTCCTGTCTCTTATACACATCTAGATGTGTATAAGAGACAGCCATAAATACTTTTACCTGTAAAAACATTTATATAATAGTATTTTTATATTTCATCTATTTTGAACATTTCTTATATGTAAATCACAAAGAGCTGAGTCAGGTAAATTGTGTTTTTTTTCTCAAGATTTTTGCTAGCTAGTGAGTGCGCGCACAAGGGATGCCGAGGTCTAAAATATCCAATGGATATAAGAAACTTGATATCTGCACATGCATTCAAAACAAAATTTAAAAATTACCTCAAACCTAATTCATAATGTTTATGGGCCTATTGCAGCTGCATTTGGTGATTTTCTCCTCCATGCTTAAAGGGTGGCACATACCTACTGGCGTACATAACTCAAATCTCGGACAAGAATATCGTTCATGGATTACGGTATCAATGTCAATGATTCAATTCAATATCGATTTGTACTGTGGATGTTTTTATTTAGGCTTCACTCCAAGGTGTGCCTGGACGTACCAAAAATGTGTGCCAGTGTTGTAAATGTGTTCTCAGTATTAATCAAGCAAGCACGTAATATTGGTACTGTATCTTATTATTGCTATTATTATTATCATTATCATCATTTTATTATTGTTTTTTCTTTTTTTTTTGTACAAACTGAACAGAAAATAATGCTAACACACTCTTAGTGACTACAACTCTAATCTTTATTCGATATTTTAGAGCTGGCAAATGTCAATCAAAGTGAACTTCCAGATTTACAGGAACTTGCTGCTAATAATTTTCAGAAAAATTACTCTATTCTCTTCTAAACACATTTTAGAAGAGCATATAATTATCACACATACACACACACACAAATCACTGGTAATCATCTTAAAACATTTAAGTTTTGTTTCTCCATTCTAGTTTCAATTACATTCAGTGTTTGATTACCCTTCAAGAAGTTAAAAAAAAAAAACAACACCGAAATACATACAGGTTTAAATCACTACCCAGTACTGTTTCTCTTTCTACTTCTAAATGTACTGGTGTTAGGTCTATTATTTTACTCTTCAATTTAATGGTTACTGTTTACATTGCCTGTGGATTTTGATGGTACTGATTTTTGTACCTTTCATTGTAGTATTTGAATTGGTATTTTTAAACATTTTTTTGATGATTATGACAGTTGGTAGGAGCACTACTTTTACTACAGGGTTGAAGAACAAACTAAAAATTGACATATTGATAAAACTCACTTATTCTGCAAAGTAACTTTGATTTGTTTTATAATGGCTATTTTTATTCAGCATGACATAAAGACAAACAATGCTTAGGTACATGCATTAAAGACAAATCCAGGTACCTTACTCGTGCGCGCGAATAAGCGTCCCGTTTGAATAATTTCCTTAAGCGCTCAATGATATCATGTAATTTTTTTAGCAAGTCAATAATCCAATCAATCCTTGGACTGTGGATGTTGGCATGATTTGAGCTGCGGAGTGGAATCAAATTCTCCTAAAGCTTTGTCTGCACTATCAAATTTTATCAAAAAAAGCGTCACATAAAAATGGATGGAAAGTAAGAGTTGAACACGTTCAACTTTTTTTGATACAATTTGATAGTACTGTATGTGATATGACGTTATCGTACACACATGTGGGAACATCACTTTTTTTTGTCACATAAAATTTGATAGTGTAGACAAAGCTATAGGTCTATATCAAAATGAGGATACAGTATTTCTCTTGGACAGATGAGAGCTCCCAGGACAGACAGTATATTTCCAACTTTTATCTTCTTACATTTGTCTAGGCCTAGTCTTACTCCTTTTCCGACTGATGCCATATTATGGTTTCTGGTAATATTAGTGTCATATTAGGGGTTCTCATAACACTGATGCCATATGGTTTCTGGTAATACTAAGCCATATTATGGGTTCTAATAACACTGATTCCATATTATGGTTTCTGGTAATATTAGTGCCATATTATGGGTTCAAATAACACTGATGCCATATGATTTCTGATAATACTAAGCCATATTATGGGTTCTCGAAACACTTGATACCCCATTATGGTTTCTGGTAATACTAGTGCCATGTTATGGGTTCTGATAACACTGATGCCATATTATGGTTCCTGGTATTAATACTAGTACTATACTATGGGTTCTGATAACACTGATGCCATATTATGATTTCTAATAATAATAATAATAGTGCCATATTATGGGTTCTAATAACATTGATGCCATATTATTAGTTCTATAGTAGTAACACTAATGCCATGCATTATAACACTGATGCCATTTATGGGCTCTAATAATAGTGCCGTATGGGTTCTGGTAACACTGGCCATATTATGGGTCCTACAGTAGTAACACTAATGCCATGCGTTATGATAACTATTGGGTCTGACGCTCTATTATAGTTCTGATAACAAGCCTTAGTATGAGTTAGCTTAGTTCATAATGACACCAGAGATTAAAAAAACTAATGTCATATCAATATTTCATATAACACAACTTTTCCATTATAATTAGTTGGTTAAAATTCCACATTATGTCATCATTAATGTCCTATGAAAACCTAATCTCCTATTCATCTCAAGGAATATAGTAGTGTGATATTTATTATGTTTTATTTAATTAATATGTACACATTCTGGAATGGCTCTTCATTGTCTTTCAATTCTCCTAGTAGTATGGTCGTCTGGGATTATTCTGAAAAAGAAAATGAAAGTTTTAACAAAAAAAAAAAAAAAAAAGAAATTTTAAAAAAAAAAAAAAAAAAAAAGAAAAAAAAAAGAAAAAAAAGACAATTTGTAGTTAATGGTTAAGACTGTTGGCCATAATATTTGGTTCAAGTTTGGTCTGTGGATGTTTGGTATTGCAAGGTATGTGCTGGGTTTTCCAGAGCATTGTGAAATCCCAAGTTTGAAGGAAAGCTTGTAGAAATCTGTGATATCATTGGTGGGACTCTAAATGCATTTAACACCAGCATGCCTGTATATGGTTTGCAGAGCATTATGCATTTTAACAGGCAAAACAATAACATAAAAGGACAATAATGAAACTTCACTGTTGACAGGATAATGAAAAAAATACTTAATGCTGTAATAAGCCAGGTTACCATATAATCGCTACACGCTATTGCTGACAGCTTTTGGTGATGCTGATTGGTTGGTATTCCCAATTGCTACACAGTATGATTGCAGTGAAAACACTTTAACAACACTGTAGCGACACGGTAATGATTTTCAGGAAACCAGGCTTTATGCGTTTTTTTCCAACAAGAGTAAATTGAGTATGTGATGAAATATGATTAAACCAAGAGAAAGCTTACCAGTGGGTTAGGTCGAAACCTGTAAGCTAACATCATACGCTTGCGATATGCATCATATTCATTGTCAGCATCCTCTTTGGTAAGGTTGGCTGGTCTATCAATACCAAGTCCTTGGTTGTCTGACCTCTGCACTGCCCTAAAATCAGATTTCAGTATAATAATTATAGGTCAATGACCCAAATTTCATTACAGGTGCAAAGTAGTAAGTTTGGGATATTTGATTTTTTGGTATGTTACGATTTTTTTTCTTTATATTTCATGTAAACAGTTTTTTTTGTCAGACATCATGTTATTTTATACTTTATTATATATTGCTTTAAATTGAATAAATCATTAAAAAAAAATTGACCTCTTTTAGTGTTACAATCATCTACTCTACAAACAAGTGTACCTATTGACTGGCGCAGTTATTCCCTGACCATCAGATCCAAGTCCGTCTCCTTCTTTCCATCCAAGTCTCTGCAACATCTGGAAACCTTTAGAAAAATATAGTTAATTTATTAATCACTATCATTACTATTACCTTCATTATTAATTATCATTATTTATATTATTAATTATTAAACAGTTCGCATTTAGAAATTGCAAGACTTGAGTGGAGATTTAGGTTGGTGGTTAAGATGCTTGCCTTCCAATGCCATGCCAGGGTTCAAAACCTGTAACAGCACAGGATTTATTCTCACGACTTAAAATCATCTCCACTCCTTAAGCCCCTAAAATCTACAATCTAAGTATAGAAATTTATATAGTGCTTTTTGCCAATGCATACAAACCGCTTGAATATGTGAACTAGGAACTCGATCAATGACGTTCTTTTCCACAAGGGTCCCTTTCTGTCTTGCTACCCGGAAACCGGGTGCAACTCTCCTTGTCCAAAACAGTGGTTGTTTGTACCGGTACACCAAGGCATCCCCCTACCCGTAATGATGTACTGGGTTCTTTATAGCACACACGAGCCAAAGTGTAAACTGGGCCTATGGTTTAAAGTCCTTATCCAAGAAGACTTGTTCTACCATCAGAACCATAGGCGAGCATGCTGTTCGTACCAGCGCCGATATTATGGCTGAAGGTTGCGGTGCCCGCTAACCGCTCGCCTATTTGACTCGCATAATGAGACTTCGCTGATAAAGCATCTTGCTGTTTCATATATTTTTCATATAAGGCCTCAGAATATAAGCCGACCTTTTAAATATGCTGGAAGGGTCACCCTCTTCAAATATGGTTTTTAAAAAAATATGGATTGGGGAAGGAAAATGTGAATGAAACTAGCAGGTAAAAAGAGCAGAAGAATATGTAAAAGAAGCTAAAATATACAAATACATCAGCATGTTTAATATTTTATTAAAAATGTTTACCAATATTATCAGCTTGCAGTTTGAATTCCTTATAATCTGAATAGTCTGGTGTTCGACCTTCTTTCAAGGCGTTTAATGTTTCCATGAATTTCTCAAGTTCCTCAGGAGGCAGAAAATCACCCAGGTGATGCTTGCCCCTACCAAGTGTTGTCAACTCCTCAGCATATTCTAAATGTAGAAATATATAAACAATTATAAGGGTGCTAAAGTGGTTTCACTTAAAAGAGGATGAAAGCTTTTCTATTAGATAATAAAAGTTGAAATATATTTAAGATGTCAGTTCTTGTTAGTATATCTGTATTTTTGCTGTTACTCCTTGTTAACATCCATATTGTGTTGTTGAGATTTTATATTTAGATGTCCTCAGGGGTGGCGCCAGGATTGCCGACGGGGGAACGAGGTCCCCGAAAGGGGGGGGGGGGCGGTGCCCCCAACGAGATGTCAGATTTCCCCGACAAAGCAAAGTCGGCAGCTCTCCCCCTGCTGGCGCCACCCCTGGATATCCTTCTGAAAGGGTTTGTAATGCCAATTTATTTCAGTGTATCATCTTTCAGGGAGATGTAATTCAAAGCCAATTAGTTTTAATGTGTTTCTGATGTTCCCAATTTAGACAACAATCGATAAAGATGTGACTTTGGAATAATACAATATAATAAATATTCCATGATGATGTCGCTAAGTGTACTGGTTTAAACCTTGTGTTTCCCTCATCTCCCTTGCTCTTAGCTTGTGTTCCCATGTGCCGCCCTCTACATCCTCATCACTGTCGTACTCATATTTCTTTTTCAACTCTTGGTGATGTTCCTGCTGTTGCATCAGCTGTTTTTGTCTTGAAATCACTGCATTGTACATGGCTTGCATCTAAATGTTGTTATAAAATCAATATAAAGTAATTGTTCAATTGTCTCTTATTTACGGTCAAAGATCATTTAAGGTCAGTGATATACTTTGGTCTAATGAGCTAACATCTAATTCATCCTTCTATACCTGTACTCGTGATTGTCCACCTTGGAAATTTAATAATAATAATAATAATAATAATAATAATAATAATAATAATAATACCCAAACATTTATATAGTGCCAATTTCAGCGAATGATCAAAGGAAATACTAGGGGAGCAGCGATGGGAATTTAAGCGGGTGCCAAGAGATCTCCACGGTTCAGCACACACACAGTGGCTATCAGAATTGGTTCTATGTTGCATATGTGACACTAGGGTAAATAATTGATGCACTACCCACTTCAGACCTTCAGTTAGTACAAGCCAACTAAGCTAGTTGCTTGGATCTTTTAGTGTGTTAAAGTTTGCACATAATAAATCTCTCTTATACATACTGCATACCTGTTTCTGCTCTATTAATTGCTTTTTCTGATCCTCACTGAGTTCTGTTGTGCCAATCATTCCAACAGGATTTATATTTGGAGGAACAGCCAGCTTAGGGGGTGGTATATCTGTATTCATCTCGTTACCCCAACGACTCTTGCGCTTTCTTTTGCCCTTAGCATCGTCACCTGGTGCATGGCCAGAAGATGGGATTGCATTTGAAGGACTAGCATCTTTAGTTGCCAACCATGCAACTGAAAATACAAGATGGTTATATATGATTCAGTAAAGTGTGAAGTTTTCTACCTAATTTTCCTTATTGTGAATAGCAAAAATTAGTGCATTATGCTGGTGGTTGTAAAGCTTGATATCAGTTGTAAGAGACACTGCAGTCTAACTAGGCTTATGCAACAACTTTGTCTACTGACTTTACACACACCCACACAATATTATCTTACAGCAAAAATGGCTGAGCACAAACACGAACATTTTAACAATATGATTCAAAATGTGAAAAGCATTAGAGAAAGGAAACAAGTTCCTGAAAATGCAAATTAACATTCATCAGAACTAACATTCCAATCCCTTCTTTTTAACAATGATATACATTTTTTGAGTCTAAAATCAAACCATCAATTCTTTTTACTGTACCTGTTTTATCAGCAAATATCTGCTGGTTCTCTATTCTATATTCATTCACTTTTTTCCTGTAATATTGGTGTAATTTTGAGCTGGTGTCCAAGAGAAAACTGTAGAAGAAATTATACTTGTGTAACACGTCAACTATATAAACTAAATCCACTTTGCTGTACATTTCATAATTTTAACCCTTCTCTGCACTAATAAAATGGTTTATACTTAAATCATCATTATTATTTAATGCTTGTGGTACACCATGTAGACATGTCTGAAAGGAACTGTTGTTTGTTGAGAATGCCTCTCAACAAACAACATTTCTTTGCTCTACGTATCAGTGGCAGATCCAGGAATTCGAAATAGAGGGGGCCCAGAGGGGACTTTCACAGATGGAGAGTCTGCACCACCTCAGCCCCACCATGGTTGGGGCTAAGGTAAGACGATTTGTTATTATGGCACCTTTAAATGGCCAGAAATGGCACTCTCAGACCTAAATTTGGTTAAAATTTTCCCCTTTTCTCCATTTATAATTTTGAAAAATTTAGGGGGGGCCCCCTCCTCCCGAATCCACCACTGAATATATTATTACTTTACCATGCAAACCTTAAAAAAATATAATTATTACAATAAAAATATGGTAAAAACAAAACTTTTATAGCACACACATCTGTTATCGAAAGAAATGCTCAAAGAAAATAGACAAGATGACACAGTAGTCTTACCGATATCTTGGGTTGTTCTTGTGGTTTTTAGCTGCAATTTCTTCAATCACTACTCCCCCATTCGCTACACTTTTTGCAAATGTTTCGATGATCTCCTTCATTTCAGGATCCTCTGGCGGTAAGACTTAAAGCCTCCTATGAGTATCAGCACATAGACCCCAAAGGGGGGAGTGATAGCAGAGAAGAGAAAACCTACCCAACTTTCTATACTTTATTAACCATACTATAATTTTGCCTTAATAACTGGTTCATAAATGTGTACCAATATATTTTTAAAAAATACCAATTTCCACATTTTTATTGGTGTTCATTTTCTCTTCCCGCTTTCATATAAAAGTGAACTGAGAAGTTCTCAACAGTAGCACCAGAAAATTCCCAACAAGGGTCAAAGGTCCAAAAGAGGGATCAAAAGTCCCTGAAAGAGATGCAAGGCCCATAACAGGGGCCCAAATTTACAACAGCCTGACTATGTTTGGAGACAAATATAAGAACAGGGGATATCTTTACCTAGGAAAAAATAGGCTGATCATTAGGACACTTACAAAAAACACGATAACAGAGAAAACTACTAAATTCGGACATTATTTTCATTGTTTTTTTTTTGAATAACAAAAACATAATTACATAATGGTTTAATTCAATGCAACTTACTACTGTCACTTGAGTCATTCTCATCATCACTATCAGAGTCCTGAAAAACAGTGGGCTTAGAGAACTTAAGTGGTGCTGCTGGCTTCATCTTACTAGTACTACTGAATGCATTAGGTGCTGAAGACGGCTTCATTTGAGTGCTTGTTGCTGGGGCTGCTGGACTTGGACTATCATATGGCTCTGTAAGACAATGTTATAGAATCACTGATTATATAGAGTTCTACAAGTATTAAATAATGACAGGTAGTTCAGTATCATAATACAGTATATTACATTGATGGTCCGTTCACAACACAAAAGGCCAACTCAGACAACATCGTACAACACAGCCTGACACGATTCATCATCGAGGAGAGTCATAAGCGGTTACCAGGAACATTAAACATGTTTAATATTCTACGACATGACTGTCCAAAACGCAAACCATCGCATCTAATTTTAACTCACACAGACCCGACAGCAAATCGTGTCAGACTGCATTGTTCACAATTTCATCGAACCATATTCATATCTGTTTACAGTGGCAGTGTTTGTGATATCATTTTAAGATGTCTTAAGAAATATCTTGATTGCATGAGGATTCACACAAATTGGTAAATCAGGCATGTAACCTCCACTTCCAGTTATGCCAAATGCAGAGGTTCAACCTCTTGTGTGGCCCTCGATCTGCCCCTGTTGAATGACTTACCTGTTGGGGGTGGCGGTGGGGGTGCATTTGCAATTGAGATGATTGAATGTTCTCCTTTACTAAGAGCTTCTTGCATCTTTCTAAATTTTTCCAAGAAACTGCCATCATTACTGAACGTATTCAATCCTGGTGCCTGTGGTTTAGGTGATGGAGTAGCCTCCTTAGGAGGTGGCGGAGCAGGCACGGCTGGTAAAGGTATACTGATAAATGAAATAACAATAACAATTTGTATGATAATATCTCTCCCAATATTCATTTAAAGCATAGTTCAAATAAGTTTAACTTTACAAAAGATCAAGACTTGGAATGACAGGAATTGGCAGGTGTACAACTGATCCAATAAAAGGCATTTGAAAAGTGAAGTGATTATATTTTGGCATCGATTATGGACTTTCAACGCAAAACGTCGCAGATCAGATATCTCAAAAACTAAATAACTCATCTAAATAAACTTTCGTGTTAGTAAAAGATTGGCAGTGGGCAGAGATATGCTCTCTACTGATACTATTATTATTATTATCATTATTATTATTATTATTATTATTATTATTATAAGATACATACAAATTCTATTTTTTGTTGATTACAAAGGTTAAAAAATTAAAGATTCGAAAACTGATTGCAGAAAATGCGGCATACTACTGTAGAGCCAATAGTGACTAACAGCTGCTTTGTTCATTGTTTTGGTAATCCAAGTAAGGGAATCAAAAGGAGAATAGATTAATTTATTCATTGTCATATACAATACAAAATTTGTTTACCAGACTGTACATTTACTATAGAGAAATACCTATTGATGTATAGAGGGGGTTTTCCACAAGTCATCCCCTTGCATAAATTTAAATACTGTACTATAACCAGTTGCAGAAATATGTAAGTCTACCTTGGGATCAATGGAACTCTCTTTAACTCCTCTTCTGCCAACTGTTTTTTCTTTTTTTCCTCCAACTTCTGTAAAATCTCTTTCTTCTTTTCAGCAAGTAGTTTTTCTTGCTGATTAATTGTCTGCATTCTATTATTCTGATACCCACCTCGTCCACTACTTGGACGGTAAGCCATCTTTGTTGTTCAGCTGTTTTTGAAAAAGATATACCATGTTTAATAGTTATTTCATATAGTGAAAAATCTTGCAAACATCGCACATGTTTGCACCTAAAAATAGCTAGTCTATTTTTAGCATCATCTGATCTATTCTGTCTTTGCAGTCTTACCCTCAAAAGTACGTGGGAAGCAGTTTGTGGAAAAGTTATTTTCCACAAACTACTTGAATTGTTCCTAATTGTTAAAAAGAAGCCTGGAACGAATATTTACATAAAAAAACCTTGAGTGGCCATTAAAATATACAGTAGGCCTATGTAATTATAAACATATTAATAATTTGACATGGAAAATAAACATGAAAAATACTATATATTTTCTTTGTTTTCATTTATCCATTTACCATTCAGTCTATTTATATGTATCATTTTAAACTGGTCATTAGAACATTTATGGTGAAAGGAAGCGAAATGTAACAAACAGAAGAAAACAAACGTATGACAAACTAATCTTTCACTGTACTACACTTATTTCATAAATCTTTTATTTAATAAGCATAAACATGATCAACATACATATCGATAATAAAAATGTGTCTCAAACCAAGTTGACTTAGTAACCTTCGTTGTTTTTCTGTATAAAGAAAACTAACAAGTGATACTGTAGTACTGTATAATAATAAAGTTTATTACCGCATAGATATAGTTAGTATACTGTAGTTTCATGTTTAACAAACGGTATACTGCTTAGCTCCCATGTTGTAGATACGCGGTCGCACTTTCAGCGATCCATACAGTGTGACCGAAATGCGTAACAACAAAAATAAAATACCATAAAATAAACCAACACATATGTGTGCTGTACCTTATTATCAGCTTTATTGAAAATAAATACAATATTTAAGCATTTTTCATAACATTGCATTGGTTAACTAGTTATTTTGGTTATGGGTAGCTAGATACAAAACCGATAGAGGGCGTTATAGATCGTCAATACAAACATCGCGATAGAAAATAGTGCCCCGACGGAGATAGGATCCAATGTATTAATTGGGTATTTCGCGGAAGTATACAACAATTTGACCGAATTACTTCCAGATAACACTCCAGAAATGATTTCTGGACCAATTTATTGGCTTTTTAAGCGCGCGAATCGATTTAGTAAAAGGGTTTTTTAGTACAACCAATGTTTCGTTGATTTTCAATAATAAAAGGAAACCTTCACTAGTTTTTTGGTTAACATGTTTGTTTTCTTCAGTTTTTAAACTATAAAAGATAAGTAAGCTTTAAATAATATTTGTGTGCATATTAATTGAAATAGATGGCATAAAATTATATTGTCTTATCACGTACCGCAGCTAGGCTCGGCTCGTACGAATAGAGGGCGCCCTCGTTAATTTGCAGCGGCTACAGGCGGGGTAAACGATGTTTTCCCCGCTGGCCACCGTGTTGTCTGAGGCCTGCAATTAGCCTTAGGCCTAGAATTATGTGATTCAATATAAGTTATTATACGTAGAATCTATAAGTTGATAAAAATTATTAAATCTAATATAAATATATATACTAAAATACTAAATTATAATCGTTAGTAATTGTCAAGTATTATTTTAACATGGCCTAAAATGCTACATAATTACTGTAAGGGACACACTTCTTGTATAAAAAACAACAGGAATTAACTCCAGCAAAAAACATTTAAAATAGCAATATCTCCGCTAAATATTGGTCTGATTTACACAATTTTTGTTTTAAAATGCTTCATTCAGTTATGTCTTTCTATTAAAAATAAATAATAAAATATTTGGGACATTTCAATTTGTTTTGTTTCTAGCTAGTATAGGTTGACCAAAATGACGTGTGTATGGGTTAACCAAACATAGGTAAGGGTCGACCAAAATTTGTGTACGGGTTAGCCACTTTGCCAAAGTGGGTATGGGTTGGCATGGGTACGGGTTGGTTGGTTTGTGTACGGTTTAGCCAAAAACCGCCTAGGCCTAGGCCCTAGCTAGGCAATTCAAGGCCAAAGGGCCTCTTCTTCCCTACTAGGCCTAGGGCTAGCCTAATACTACCAGCTCCCCCCCCCCACCTAGGGCTAGCTCAGTTAGTTGGTATTTACTCTGCTTTTTTAGAAAATTAACATTAAAAAAACAAACACTTACTCTTCTATTCGCACCCGATTGATAAATCGACCAGTTCAGCGCCGCCAACGCCACTCCAAGTTTCTATTCGCACGTACGACGTGCCTGCCTACCAACCTATTTGCACGGCATTCAGGGTAATGTTACAGTGGCGTTTATAAAAAAAAACAAAAAAAAAAAACAAAAAAAAAAAAAAAAAACAAAACAAAACGAATAGTACATAATCTATCTACAAAAAATTAAGCTACTAAGTTCAACGGATAAAATTTTGCTATAATTTTATTTCATTAGTATCTTCAGGTTAAACAACATTCAATTGAAGAGGCCTACGGTACAGTATAATGTATACCTACTTTTTTGCAATAAAAGAAGAGTGGTAAGACTTCTAGTTATCTATAAAACTTTCAACCACTGAGTAGGCCTGCGGTTGTGTTTTTTTTAAACCATAGGCCTAAAACAACAGACTTTCTTGGAGGTTTGAGGGGTAATGACGGTTGTGATTGATTGAGTGAGTAAGTGTCTGTCTTCCAAGTTCCCCAGGGTGTCTCTTTGTGCAAGGTGATTTTATAATGATTAACCTTGCTATATTGTAAATACATAGGCATCTTGAACTTGTTTCTAATACTGGTCTATCCTCGTTGAAATAGTATCGGGCTGAATTGAATAAATCATAATAAAATTGTAATAATTATAATCATTAAACTAAGTTGTTAAACTAAATTATACTAAAATAAAACCTAAAAATTTATTCGCACGAATCGAAAGCGTCAGTTTATGCGCATGCACATTATTCCATGGCGCATTCACATATTTCTATTTAATTGGAGTTTTTTGTGCAACCAATCAGAGCTGAGGAATTAAGGGAAACGACCCTGTGATTCGCGCGAAAAAAATCGCCGAGTGGAAAACAGGCTATTATGGGAAATCCCAACATTATTGGTCATCTCTAAACCCCAATATTGTAGGCCACCATTTAAAATGAAAATGTGTTATGAAAATATGTGTCCAGTCTTATGTGAAATTAAATCGTCCCCAATTTTATAGACGTTTTGTCCAGTAATTATTATTTTTGATTGTAGTAAATTATTAATTTGTCTATGTTTTGAGAAAGTTATTTCTTGACTGAAATGCACTCAAACAAAACTGATGGGTCATCATCACAACAATTTACAAGCCTAAGCCTATATAAATCACACCCGAAATACTGTATTAGCATCAGGAAGACCGTTTATAACATTAATATTTTTAAAACGGCATATAGTTCCAATTTTGGCACCACTTTAGTTCTGATTTTGGTCAAATCATAATAAACATGCCTAATTAGTATAAATCACTTTAACATTTTCCAATTCCAGTTTATTTCGTCATTCTATGGTATAGAAAATTCTAGCAACGATGTTATGTTATTATTATTATTATTAAATAATAATTTTGTCGTTTTTATGAAAAAGTTATAGCCTATAATTTATGTATTCATGGTTCCACACATTAAAATGTGTACATCAAAACTATATAAGAACGAAAGGCCCTATAAACAACTTGACAAATGGATTTAGGCCCGTATACACAAAAACTTAAGGGGCCAACAGCTAGTAACACTGTGGTAAAAAAAAAAAAAAGTCTTTTATTTTTATTATTCTAAATAGAAACCAAAGGTCTTTTTAGAGGGAGAACTAGCATGGACTCGTGCATGAATTATTGACATGACGTCACAATCAGGCTACGTGCGAATAATCATTCAAAGGATGATTAAAATTCTGTACGTTGAAATAGCACTCGATACACTGTGCTCATGCAGGTGCATGTCGGGAATGTTTCAATGGCGGTGATCATTTAATTTTGAAGTTCTTGATGTGACTGTGGTAAACATGTCCGGAAACGGAGAGCATCTTCAGGTTGTGTTTCTCATTGATACACGTTCATATAATAAAAGTAGTGCATTAATTAACAACGATACAATAGGCCTAACCAAAGCATTAAGTTTGTCAGCACTTAAGATTTTGCAAAGTCTCGTTGGCCTGGGCGGCGGAGGCAAAGGAGGAGGAACAGATGAGCCGCCCCGAGTGAGGTCTGTTCGATGGGGTTATAAATTCTTTGACTCATTGAGGCCTTGCTCTGGATACCGTCATAGAGATTTTCATGATTTTAACCTTACTAATTTTGAAAAGTTTGAAGATGAGCTGAGAAATAAATTTAAAACCGAAGAAAATGAAAGCTTTTCTGATGGTCATTCATCTAAAAAACAGTTAAAAAACACAACAGGTTTAGGCCTAAAGGTATGGAGCCAGGACTTCGCACCAGCAGACCACCTGGCAGTTGCTCTGTGTGAAGTTGCCCAGGACTTTCAGTGGCAAGCACCAGATATTATGTCGCCATCCAGGAATACCCGCAGTAGCCTCTCAAAGGGATCAAGCAATTCTAGCTCTGTGAACAAGTCAGATAAGACGAATTTGACTTTTTTATTTATGGCATGCCCTTGGAATGGAGATGACTTGAAAGAGTTTGTGAAGATGAGGTCCAACCAAATTACTACAAGTGATCTTCTGGAAGTGATTGTACATGATGATGTGCGGACAGACTTTCTTGAAAAGCATCATGTAAAGCTGATTTGGTTTGATACGAGGATAGTTATTTCACATAAATTGGTTAGTATTAAAACTAGGCTAATTTGTTTAATAAAATTAATTAATTACTATAGCCTAAAGGCCTTCAGAGGCTAGTACAGTAGTAATAGGCCTAGTGGAAAAGTCAATGCGATGTATTATTTTTTTATTCTAGTTAAATTTTATGATTTTTAAGAATGTTAACATGAATAAATGATAATAAATGCAAGAGTCGTGTGTATTTTATAATCAATTTATTGATATTATTTTATTTAATAGTGCAAGTGTAACCAGGCAATCCTTAAAGTTGTGCAAGGCATGATGAGAACAATCAACGGTCACCTCATACCGCTGAATGCCATTTTAAGCATGGGGTCACAGGTCACCTCCTCCTTGTCAACTATTCTACATTCAGCCTCTGTCAAAAAATCAAAATCAACACGAAGCCACTCTGTAAGGAAGAAAGGACAACCAAATTTGGGGTCAAAATCAGATGATAAAAAATGTGTGAAGAAATCTGCCAATATTTTTGAACACTTCAACACTGTATCAAATTGTATGACAGTGTCGTCTGTAATGGACTATTGCTGCTGTAAAGCGCACTTAACAAAGCAGAATGAAAGTCAAGCATCAGAGATTATTACAACCCTCTATGTACCTAAAGGTATGTTCCTCTCATTACTCAAAATGAATACCTACTAAAAAAAAATGACAATGAGAAAACGACAGAAAGAACAATGATTTAAAGCAAGTTCAAAACAGTGAAAACGGTGACATACATGACTATAAGAACAAGAAGAAAGATGATGATTAACAGAAACAAAATTATTAAAGCAAGGTGATGCTTGATAAAGACACGAAAACAAAAAGAACCTTGAAACATGTAACAAAAGCATGTTTAAATAGCACAAAATCTTTTGAATCTCATTCTGTGAATATTGATTTTTTGTTTCTGTTAGGTGCCAACTTGGAAGTATTCTGCTGTTTAAAGATCACATCCCTGTCAGCAAATCCAAATTTCAGGTATTGTACTGTGTTATATACATAATAAAATTTTTGTCTCTTAGGTCAGAATGAAGCAAGGCATACACTAATCATTTGTCTGAATACAGCCAATAAAGTGATAAGACTGATAAAGTAGAGCAATGTCCTAATTTGGAAAGACATAGAATTACACATGATTTGTTTGATAAGATTTGTTCGAAACATACATACACTATCCGACAAATTCTGATCAAAAAGTGTAATTATATTTTATAAACATTTCAGTTTTAAGTAACACTGTTTATTGTGTGTACTCTTCCAAGACCTTCACAATCTTGCTGAAGATCGTCGGGTTTGCTCTATATCTCTTGAGGTCACAAGCTGTGGGTCATAACAAAACTGTACCAACCAACTAACCAACCAACCAACACTGTTTATTCTATCCATTCATCACAACTTAGAATAAGTACATGTAAGAAAAGATTTATTTAAAACAATTGTCACAGGCTTTGAAATGTATATTTTACAGGAAGATAACTTGTGTTGAAAAAAGTAGCATTGAACTTAACAAAGCAACATCTGATTGCATAAACGGGGAAGAACGCGAAACAGAACTGATAGATGGAATTAATACAGTTATTAAAGGGTCCCTGCCACGGGACCAAATCCAGCTGCACTGTCTGAATTCCAAATTTGTCTATTCCTGTCTCGGCCTTAAACCCAAGCCTATGCAAAATGAGACTAATCAGAAAGTAGATGATGACAACTATGAGGAACAGCTGTCCAACAGTTTCTCATCTTTAATGGAGCAGTTAGCCAGAAACAATCACATTTTGGTATGATATAACTTACTTATGAACATTTCAGTTAAATTGTGTGACTGTACATTACACTGCATATCATATGTTGATTATATTACATTTATCATGTTTTAGTGAATGCTTTATATAAGGCATATTTTAATTTGAGTACTTAAATAAACCATATTACAATACTATCATCATTCGCTGCACCGAAGAATGAAAGCTTGGGTAAACCTAATTTATTTGCTGATTTTGGTAGTATATTTATTGTAAGTAACTGATATAGTAAAGTCTGATTGTTTTAAAAAATGGCAGTCTAAATGACAATAAAAGAAAATTGAACCATTGAATGTTGGTTGATGTGGGATTATGCTAATTGATGATCTACACGATTAAACCAGGTCAGGCATGGCTGGCCTTTGTTTGAGGGTGAGACTTTAATAAATAAATACAGTACTTTACTTACGTTACTATTAAACATTTTTTTTATTAAACATATATTCAGGTATTAGACGTCTCTCACTCAGAATGGTTAACTAGCCTTTTGGCTATAATGGAACCTTTAACATCCTCTATGGCGTCACTCAGACTAATCAGTCTGAAGAATGCTCCCAACATGCAGAGTATAAAGACTGGCATCTGGTTAAATAAAGATACTGAAAAGTGTCATCAAAGGTTGTTGAAGAGGAATGAGAAGATTGAAGAGGAAATAATTCCAAATGAAAGAGCAATGGGTAATAATGATGACATAATATTGATACATAATGTTTAAAATATGTTTTAAATATTATCTGATACCGTGATCTGGACTTGATACCTGTTTTAGTTACCATTTTATCAAGCAGAATGCATTGGAAGAGTGATGCTTGGCTTTGGCCTAAATGGTGGCATCCTACCAACCCTGATTTGCAACTGCTTGGGCAAGCAAAACAACTTCGTTTTTGACCTCATTAAGATGTTGTATCTTAGTTTTTCTTTGTAAATTTTAATTGATGATTGAATCTGTGTTCGATAACTAATATATTGCGAGCTTTTGTGTTTTTAGTACATTTTGATGGTAAAATATTATATTTTAAAATGCCTATTCCAGAAAGCCTATGAAATGATTGAGGCGTAATCATCGGTAACCATCATCTGGTTAGGGACAGAGGGCGCCACCTGGCGTTGTGACGACATGACTGTGGTACTCAATGCCAGTGAAGTTTGATTATTACAATATTTAAATCTTGGTCAAATTCCTCTTCTGTTAAATGAGTATAGAGTACTACAGTGTTACGTCACGATACAACGTGATACTACTCCGTTGCTATCGTTGCAAAATGCGTTCAACCGGACAACATTTTCTCCACTGACAAACCATTGATCCCAATTTCTAATGTTATTATTAAGATGTTGTATCTTAGTTTTTCTTTGTAAATTTTAATTGATGATTGAATCTGTGTTCGATAACTAATATATTGCGAGCTTTTGTGTTTTTAGTACATTTTGATGGTAAAATATTATATTTTAAAATGCCTATTCCAGAAAGCCTATGAAATGATTGAGGCGTAATCATCGGTAACCATCATCTGGTTAGGGACAGAGGGCGCCACCTGGCGTTGTGACGACATGACTGTGGTACTCAATGCCAGTGAAGTTTGATTATTACAATATTTAAATCTTGGTCAAATTCCTCTTCTGTTAAATTTAATTTTGTTGCATTAATATGTTTTTTTTTATGGTTTCTGGATTTGTTACATATAGTGTGATTGATTCACCTTCTTGGATTTATGTCTTTACAGAGAACAAGGCAGTCTCTTTTGTGGATTTGCAAGAACTAGTTGTCAGGCAATTTCATCCTTATCAACTGGAGTTATGGTACAAATCAGCTCCATCATGTGGTGTCAACTCACAATATATCACTCAACTAACAAGGTACAGAACACAATGGGTGTCAAGGTGTCAACTTAAAAATGTGATCATCAATGATGTCCACCATCACCACCTGTCAACTCAGCTAAATCACAGACCCTATATACATATATAGGGTCTGTGGCTAAATTTAATTTCTATAATTCTATGTACAGTATCTACCATCAGCCTTTAATTAAAAATTAGATTAAAAATTACCATTACTGAATTATTCTTTTTTAGACATTGTTAAATTTCCTTTAAAATCAAGTTTGTATCAATTATGTATATTTTTCTCTATTTTATCAATCTATAGTAGGCAAGGAGCAAACAGCAACAACATGTCAAGTGCACTTGGAAAGGCCATGATGGACCTGAGGGACGTATACTGCAAAGACCATGCTGTACTTAGTAAAAGCTCGCTTCCATTTCCACATAACAACCCTCAGGCAACCAAAGTGACAAGTGTGGTATCTAGTAAGATTTCAGTTTATTTTGGTTTGTTTAGCTATATATTTATTTACTGATCATCTGGTGTTGATTAGAAAAGCTAAATTTTATTGCATATTATAATATTTTTGAGATCACATGATTATTTTATCATTGTTGATAACGTGATAATCTTGAGATGTTTATCCTTTGATTGAAAAATGATAATTGTTGAAAAAATGTAAATATTAACATTAGATTTAAAGAATTTTGTTAGGTGACACTCAATTAAACAGAGACCAAGTTTAAAGATGTTCCCTGAAAATGACAAAAAATCATAAAAAGTAGTACTTCAAAATAAGCAAGTTAATGTCAAAAGTAATTTATATGATATTTTGGGTATTTTTCATGGGACAATACGTATTTAAATGCATTGTCTGGATGAGGTATGATACCAAATATATCACCAAACATTTACAAATGAGCACTGGTTTTAATGAATTTAATGTACTGTGTTTTAGTGAACAAGATGAAGTGTGTCTACTTAATCCAATTTTCATTTTATTATAATATTTTTCTTTGTTGCAGATCAAGCAGAGCAAAATAAAAAGAGGTTGACTAGAGCTAAGAGTTTTGGAGGAAGAAGTGCAAGCAGGACTGGAATCATACTGGAAAATAGTAAGAAACTTCAGAAAAACAAAAGTAACGAGTTAGTTTCCAAAGAGGAGGAAGGAAAGAAGGAGCTACCTGCCCAGAAAGACAAAGCTACTGTGAATATAAATGGTATGCATTAATGATTCTGATGATGATAATGATTCTAACAATGATGATAATTATTCTGATAATAATTCTGGTGGTGATAAGGATTCTGATGATTATTATGATGATGATAATGATTATAATGATGATAAAGATTCTGATGATGGTAATGATTCTGATGATGGTAATGATTCTGATGATGATAATGATTTTGATGATGATAATGATTCTGATAGTAAGATGGTAATTTATTTGCCTCAATATAATATAAATACTGTAGAAGGAAACACTAGTGTCACTGTGGGATTAACAACCCAGGAACATCAAGAAAGAGGAAAGCAGGGTTAAGTGAACTGAATCAACAGTCAAGTGGTTTCCCTTAAAAATAAAAATAAAAAAATCTATAATACACATTATTTCAGCTGGAACAGTAAAATCATAAACAGTCATTTGTCAGTATTGATACTAGTTTAAAGAAGTTGTATACAAAGAAAGAAAAATAACATGCAAGAAATTTGTTCCTTAAATTTATGCATATGAGTATACAAAATACATAAAATATAAGCATTATTACCTTTATTCAATCCATCAGAAATATTAGCAGAGTTTTCGAGTTCAGAAGATCTGTTAAATCATTTAAAGAACAGCTATGGAAATCAACTTCAACAGGTTAGAATTTCCATTTAACAACTTTCCTATTAGATAATAAATAACGAAAGATATAACACTGTTTTTATTTAGTTTTATGTATAGTGTGTTCAATCTGTACATATATCATAATTTTTTTTACATACTGCCTGCCTATTGCATGACAGCACTAATGGCCAAGCGGTTAAGGCAGGGGCACCGTGATCATAGCCAACAATATCGGCACAGGTTCGCGGCCGGCTCGCTCCTATAGTTCTGGTGGTGGAACAAGTCTTCTCGGATAAGGACTATAAACTCTAGGCCCAGTGTACACAAATGCTCATGTGCACTTTAAAGAACCCAGTACATTTTTCGAGATGAGTAGGGGGTTACCCCGGTGTACTGGTTCACTCTGCCCCTGTCGTGGACAGATGAAAGTGCGGCAGTTTACTGGCTGCAGTGGACATGAAGTGACCCTCAGGGGAGGAGAAAGTTATTGAAAAGTGCAACATCTAGTCCCAAGCGCATAGAGACCTCGTTTATCAGCGCTATATAAATCCATCTATTATTATTATTATTATACCCCTTTGTTTCAATTTTTAAAATTTCCAATCCTAACACTTTTAGATGAGAATGCTTAAAAAAAAGAATAAAACGTTTTATTCTTTTTTAGATGAGAATGCTTAAAAAAAGAATAAAATGTTCAACTTTTGTCTTTTTTTTTTTTTTTTTAAAGGATTCATGTCCCTGCCTGTTTGCACAGACTGTTGTTTCCATTGCCAAACACTTTGTAAAAGTGCAGCAAAATGAGAAAGATAATATTGAGGAAACTAAGACACTCCTCAAAAACTGCTTAGTAATGTCAAACAAACAACTTCGGGAGAAGTACCAGAGAGAGGATCACCAGGCCTCTGTAGAAGAGAGGATCCGTGAGGTTATCCTTCAGGTTGTCCTGCAACTTGAAATGGAAGCTCTGTCACCTACTGACATCTTGTCAAGCAAGTGTGGAGAGGGATTCAAAAAGGAAGGAGTGGTGAATACAAATGATGATGATGTATCTAGTGATGGTGAAGAGAAGGAAAATGAATTACCAAGTTGCCTTCAAAATATTGTTGATGAGGTAATGTTTTATCCTACCCAGGTATTATTTCAATATGGGACCACTATTTTCAACTGACATCTTTTGAGAACAGCAGTGATGTAGAGTGTAACACCTGTCTACTGTATTTCACATCACTAGTTTCCAAACATCAGCATTTAATAATATAATATATAATTATAAATGAATGTAGTGTTAGTGTTTTGAATTTCAGAAAGGAAAAGTGAACTATGAACAATAAATATACACTTTTTCAGATGGTTGCCATGCTACAAACAATTCCTTTCCTAGCTGATCACAACACGTTGACCATGTTCTTGCAAGAGAAGTTGTTGCCGAAGTAAGTTAAAGTATCTATAATACAATACACAATTTGAAATTTTTATATAAATATAAAATTTCTAATTGTTGAATTCTTGTGAAACAATAAGCTTAGAAAACTTTCTATCATTTATTGAAGTTATCCATCGTTTACTCTTCCTAGTTATGCAGATACTGTCCCATACATGCTGGTTGGCATATATGAAGGTCTGATGCAACCACTTCCCAGCAAACTGTGCTCTCCAAGTACTGAAGACTTAACGAGTGTTCAGCAACCTCCATCATCGTCATTTGGATCTGTTAGCTCAATGGAAGCTGCAGGATCTATTCCAAGTAATAGGTAAATTTTGCAATGACTAAACTTCATTGTCTGATTGGATAATGATTGACTTGTTGACTAATACACAGAAAATATTGACTTGGTCTAGGAGCTGTTTGAACATTTTACCACCTGTGTATATTAGAATTTTAAAAAAAAACAACTTTTAATCTGTTCACCCAACAGACCGAGGGGATTGAAGCGTCTGCCTAGTCTGGCCAACATTCAGACCAGAACTATAACTGTTGATCTGAAAAAAAATGAAAATAAGCCAAAGGAATCTGGTGGAATGCGGGTCAAGAAAAAGCCAGGTATTGTCACGATCATATTCTTTGCTGCATATATCCAACTGAAGAAGTTTTTTTTGTCATTAGTTTTCATGAATTATTCATAAGTACTAAATATACTATTGACCATTATCAATTCATTAATCAATGTTATATAATTATTATTAGTATATTTTGTTATATTGCTACTATTCATTGTCAGTATTTTGTTTCTTGTTCAGTTGTAGAGGAAGCTAAGAAAGTGAGAAGGAATCTTTTTATGGGTGACAGTCTAGACGATAAAGTTGAAATCAAAACCAGCTTATCTCGGAGAAAATCTGTTGCAGTGATGCAGACCACCCAAACATGGTAGAGCAGTCTTCTTTTACCTTTTATAAATTATTCAACCCAGAATGTATATGTCTTATGTCCACATAGGTCAACCTAATCTACCACTTTTGATGAAGGAAAGAGCTATCAGAATATCTGAGCTATTGAGGCAGTAAACTAGAATTATGCCTTCGTGTTGAATTTGTACACTTGTTCTATGACAGTAAACCATACAATTTGTATTTCTATACTCTCTACACATAAGTTGCTTGTGTGAAGATTTACAACATTTGAATCACATTATAAGTTGCTTGTGTATACAGTAACTCTATACATGAGCAACTTATAATGTGATTCAAATGTTGTATAGTTTAGCAGCTTTAAATGTGGTTTCATGGTTTCTCTCTCTGTACTGAATATTGACCAACTTTTTATACTACAAAAACAAGCTTTACGAATTTGAACAGGGGCATCTTTTAGATCATATACCAAGCACTTATTTTTTAATTTAAAAATAATTCATATTTTCGATATCAACAAAATTCACATTGCTTTGTTTATCTATCGCTTACCAAACAATATTAATCCCAATGATATTTCCTCACTTTTCTTCTAATTATCGTAATTATAATACATGATTCTCAAATAATAACTTCTATACACCATCTTGTCCATCTAAACTCGTGCGACTTTCTATCCTCTTTACTGGCCGCAAGCTTTGGGAAAATCTTTCCTCTGATTTAACAAACAGACCATCTTTACAAAATTTCAAATATACCTTTAAATGGTCCTTAATTCAAGTATATGGTGAGTAAATCTTATTATCGTTACTAATATCTTATTGATAGGAAACCTTTACTATGATTGCGGATGGATTGTTTGTGGTTGTTGAATCTGAGTCTGAATTTGTTTCCAGTCTCACCAATGTACGATCCTTTGTCGCAAATGTCGCATGTGATGAGATATACCACGTTGGATGCATCGCAGGGGGGGAATATAGGGAGGTTAGAATGGGGGAGTTTGATGAGAGGATTAGTATTAAAGCATTTGCAGATGAGGAATCGAGGTTTATTGCACTTAATATTGCCAGGTGACAGCGGTAGAGAGGTTATGCGTGACAAAGTCAAAAGAGATTTAAGATTCGGGGGTTGTCGATTGGCAAGTAGAGGAGGACTGTCAAATAAGTGTTCGATGGACTTGTCGACTTTAAGTTGGGTGTAGTCATTACAGATGTTTTTTGGATAAGAGGTGAGTGTTAGTATGGAAGTCCATAACCAGTGGGATGCGTTGGGAGTCAGATTTTGCGGTCGGAGAGAGGAGATCCTGTCTGGAATGGAAGGAAGCTTTAGTAAACTGTGATTTAACTAGGCTGAAGGGGTATCCATGATTAAGGAGGTAACCAAGAAGTTTATTACAATGAAAAGTGTAGTCGTCTGGCTCAGAACAAATCCTCTTTATGCGTAGAAATTGACTGTAGGCAACAGATGATTTTAGGCGTAGAGGATAGGCACTGTCAAAATTGAGAAAAGAATGGCTGTCAGTAGGTTTAGTGTAAATGGAGGTTGAGATGCGGAGTGTTTGTCAAGTTTAGTTTTAAGTAGTTTAGGTAGTTGATATAATTTAGGAATAGTATAAAATATACCTGATCGAGGATTACTAGGAATTAAACCTAAAGCAATGTCCTTAGTGTGATTGGATAAGCTACTACACATATCAACAAGTTCTTTTTGAAAACGTTCTGTAGGGTCTTTATCTAGTTGTCGATAAAACTCGTTGTTGGAGAGCTGGCAGTTGGCTTCTACAATGTAATCCGATGCATTCATTATGGTAGTGGCACCGCCTTTGTCTGCTTGTTTAATTATAATTTCTTGATTCGTTTTGAGTTGTTTAATTGTTTTTCGTTCGGCGATAGATATGTTGTCCTTGTAATGCGCATTCTTCTGCTTGTTAATGAACGTGTTGAGGTGGTTCTTTGCTGCATTTACGAAGGAGTAAATATGAGGATTTCTGCCCGCAGGTGGTGTCTCGAATGAGGCTAGGTGGTTTGTATGGCTGCACATGATGTGTGTTAGCGCCGGTATCCTTATCTTTAAAATATTCTTTAAGTTCGACTCTGCGAGTGAACTGGTGGAAGTCCGAACACTGTTGAATTGGATGGCTTCTTAGATGGGGAAAATGATAGGCCCTTATTAAGCAGAGAACATTCCCCTTCAGTTCGAATATGGTCAGATGGTAGGCTATTGCTTACATAATCATTTTGCCGACACCTTATCATGGTTTAATTGTAATTAATTCGCCCATTAACTTGTCACTGAACTTATATTTTGTGGTCCAATCAACTAATTGTATTGATAACTTGATTCTGATTGGTTTATTATTCTTTATGTAATGTAAGATCTCCCAAGTTTTCTCACTTTAACGTTGATGAAGATAGCAGGAGCTATCGAAATATCCGTTTGATTTTTTTTATAGCTTAATAAATTGTGTTCCGCAAGTCAAGTATAAGAGACAGCTCTACCCCTAAACATGTTACATATTTATGACAATCGTCTGTTTCATTTGATTTGTGTTGCTGAGTTATGTATATATTGTTGTGTGACTAGAACCAATAGACAAATCAGTCAATCAGTCAATCAATTTCATGTCTTTTAATCTTTAACTTTAAATGTACCTAGTTGAAGCCTGTGACACAGTTGTAAATTAGGCTTCCTATCCAGAAAGTGGGGGTTCCAATCTTTGATTTTTTTTCCTGAAAGGCACTTTACACATGTTGCCTACCACTACCCATGGGTATTAAGTAGATGTGGTAATTACTAGCATTGCAACATCATTATGAAGTACTCCAAGGGTGCGGCGTATGTACTGTATTCATAAGAGTTTGATCCAGTGACTGGGGTAGTAATGTGAAATGCTTGGAGGTTTTTAAGCATGATATGCTATGTATTGAGGACTGACATTATTATTATTATTATTATTACAGTATTAGTATTTTTTGTTGTGTATTTATTATTTATTATTACTTTATTGGTAATAGAAAAATCTTCAGAATCAAGCTACTCTGGATGACTGAACTCACTTAAACATTGTTATATGTGAAAATAGATAGATCAAATTGTATTTATTGTGCAATTATTTTCTTTCCATACTTTCAGGAAAAGCCCTCGGAGAGGTAGAGGTTGTTCTAGGTCAGGTGTTATACTTAAAACCAAAACAGTAAAAGAAACACCTGGCAAACGACAAGTAATTTCTGCTATGCTAGACAAGATGGAAAGAGCAAGGTTAGTGTATTTTTTAAATTTTTTACTTTCATTGTGACATTTAGGAAGTATTTTATTCTCAAGACTGTCTTGTCAAATAATTATGTCTTTCAGAAGATTGATTCCCATAACTTTAGCAGAATTCTGTTCACACTCAAACACAATAATCATTCCAATAATGTGCAGCGCAAATCACAGTAGTGTGGACGGCTTAAAAGTATATGTTTCTAAAGGCCTGTTTACACTATAGCAATAATGATCAACCAAGAAAAGCTAAAAAGCAATTGTTCATATAGAAAATAAAAGAAATAAGAGAATTTTTCACACCAGCATGATTCAATTACAATTTATTGTGTATATGATAAAAAAATAATTTCACATATCATATCAAATGACATCATAATCATGGGAAAATGATAAAATAGTTTTTACTACTACGATTTTATATTTTTCCCATAATTATGACATTTGATTTGTGAAAATATTTTTTTGATCGGATATATGATAAATCGTAATCAAATCGTGCTAGTGTGAAGACTAATCTTATTTCTTTTATTTTCTATATAAAGAATTGCTTTTTAACTTTTTGTCATTGATCATTATCATCATAGTGTAAACAAGCCTTAATAATATTGATAAACAATTGAATGAAAATTGATTTGTGTTTCTTTTGTTGATGTAGAATGTACAGTTATTATACTACTTGCTATTTTAATTGTATTTTGATACAGCATAGTCTATAATTTATTTATTAACTTGTTTCATTTTTATTACCAGACATCAAGACACACTTCTATTTTAATTGAATATACGGTATAATAAACGGAATAAAGTATTGAATTGAAAAACATAACTTAACTGTGTCTTTGTTTCCTTTTAACAGCAGTTCTTAACAGCTTGAGTGTAACAGTTTAATCTCATGTAATATATTTCTTGTTACAGACAAAAACAAAAGGCTGGATCAGAAACTCTTGTGCAAGTAGTCGAAGAATCGCCAGTAAAACCAGTCCATAAAACAGCAGGTACAGAAAGTACATTTATATTAAGGTGTATGCTAGTGTGTTAATAGAGGGCTTCTGAAGACAACCAATTGGCCTGGAAGCCGCTTCCACTTCTTCAGTCTGTGCGTTATGAGGGCCATTGCAATAATTAATGATACTGTATTTATGGAATGTTGTGTATGATTTTTCACGCAGATATTTTTTAAATGTTCATATTTTTTTTCTCCAATTGTATTATAAAATAATTTTGAGTTTTTTTTTTCAAGGTATACGTTCAAGTCCTCGTATTAAAGCAGCAAGCAGCCTTCATGGAACCAAGTCATTTTACTCAAAAACTAATCATAGACACTCACGAAATTTGGCCAAAGCTCTAAATTTGGGTGCCCGCATTCGAGGAATAGAAGCAAGTATGCCGCCTCGCAGAAGTAGGCTTGCTGAACATTCATCCAGCATCCATGATATTCAGGAATCTGAAGATTCTAAAATTTCACAAGAAAGTCCATCAAAATTTCTCTTTAGTGAAATTTTTAGCCCAGAGAAGTTACAGTGTATTCGTAAAATACCTTTACTGGGTTCAGATTCCCCTAGCCACAACACTAGGCAAAAAGTGTCTTTAACTCCAATTAAGCAGGATACAGTACCAGAGCCTATGCTAAAAGCTTCTTGTGTTAAAAAGTCCCTCCTCTTTAGTCCTGTAAAGGTTCAAAAAGACACACTAACAACTGAATGTCTTTCAAATGATGTGCAATCTGGTTTGTTAAAATCTCCATTTAAAAGCCCAATTGGAACACCATTGAGAACTCCTAAAAAACGAAAATGTTTATCTCAAAGTCCACTTGCGACCAGATCAGCTGAAAAATCCAAACAGTTTGAAACGTCTTCCATGTTTTCTGAAAACCAAGAAATTAACATAAAAAAGGATGACGTGTCAAACAAGAAACCTAACATCGACAATAAAATGCATGAATTTCAGAGTACACCACCATTGAAAAAGATTGAATCGCCATCAAATGGAAAGCAATCCAGAAGTAGAATTTCTCCAAGAGCAAAGTCAGAAACCTTAGATTATTGGCCAAGAAAGAAAGTTCGATCTGGTACACCTTCTCCAACTGCTTACAAAACACCACCTCCATCAGCAAAAGACAGAATCTGCACAAGCCCTAGTCCGATGTGGATAGAAGCTCACAAACAATCGCCAACCTTTCATAAAGTGACCCCAAAGTCTGTAGGATCGTCTAACAAGAAATTTTCTCCACGATCTTCAAACAAACGTGTAACTGAAAAGAGTACAATATTTACAAGAAATAATTCAAGACATCAACAGCAGATAGTCGAAGAAAGACTTCAAAAAGCATCAAAGTCAAGGAGGAAACTTTCTATATCCAGTCAGAATCAAACATCAAATATTTATTGTAGTTTTTCCAGTTCTGCAGAAGAAGAAGAACAGGAAGGGGACTTTTTACCGTCAGCCGACCAGTTGTTTACTGAAGACAGATTTCATAATTTAGTTGGGTTAATTTCAAATCAAGGCTTAGATTCAGATTCGGACCCAGAGATTGACTTTCCAAAGCAACAAATACACCTGAATCAGAATGATCAAATTAGAAAAGAGAACTTGTTAACTCCAAGTTATGGATTGAGAAGGAAACGTTCAAATGATAGCTGCAACTCAAATGAGAAACCTTCAAAGGTTTCTAGAAAGAAGACCCCAGATTTCAGGAATACTGGCAGTTCATTTGAATGTTACCAAAAAGCTACAGAACCATCTACAAGGTTAAGTGCTCCAGAGGGTTTTCCTAATGAACCTCATAACAACTTACAGATTCCTATTGGGGAGATTTCATCAACAAGTTTATCAGCATCTTTCAGAAAGCCTTCTAGAAGAATGACACAAAATATGCCATCAGCAGCTTCAGGTGGATCAGCAGTTTCCAGTTGTGCCAATGACCTTAGTTGCTCTCAATTTAGTAACTGTTCTTCATTTGATGGAGATGAAGTATTTACAGAAGACAGCTCTGCACACGAATGCAGAGACCAAGGCTACAGAAGTCCAAGAGGAATGCACACACCAAAATGTAAACACACTCCACTGTCTCTTAGAGGTCTGAGTCAGCTCTTGAGTTCTCCTCTAGTCTCCCCATCCCAAAGAAAATCTCTTGGAGGAAATGAACGGACACGATTTTCCAGAAGAGGGAGTTCGCTTACAAGTCCAAAGTGAGAACTGGTGTTTTTTATCATACGGTAATTCATTTGAAGGAAAAGGATGTTCACATTTTATGTAAAAAAATGAGAGCATAAAGTAAAAACTGATTGTGTTATACAAATCCCTGTGAACAACATATCTATACAATGGAGTATTTGGAGGGTCTTAGTCCGAATTCAGTGAGCACATTCAGGTTAAGTTCAGTCCAGAACTACTCCAATTTGGAAACTCTTTACACATGGAAAGTTTTGATAAAGCTAAATGTATATAAATAAATAACTGTATATCTATTTTTAATTTTCACTTCAAAAGTGCAGATTGTAATTTGTATAATCACCATAACTTGAGTTCATTGTTTGCATTTAATTTGTTAATCTCTATTTTCTTAACTGAAATTAAATTTTCTATCATTGATATCAAATGAATTGTGGATTGCAATATTGTTTTACAACAGGGTGGGGTGTGTGAGCGCAAAGGTCTAAACCTAGAACCAACGGTCCAAGGGGAGGATTTGTGAGAGGTTTAGGCCCCGGATCAACTACTTGATTCACATGTATTATCTGGTTTATTAAAGGTTTTTGCCTAATTTTAGTAATAAGAGAACAATATAGGGAAAAAGCACCAATTTTGGAACAGACATTTTAAAGCATGGATGTGTTTTAGCTGGGCCTACTACCACCATGCCGTAATAATGGTTACAGTCTTTGGTGAGGGGTTGCGCCATTGGGGGGGGGGGCCAGGCTGAAGGAGAAAAATACTTCATCAGGGAGAAGAAAGAAAACATTATACAGTATTTCATATATAAATCCTTTGAACGTCCTCGAGATTTTAAGCAACGCCCGACCATACCAACATACCGTTTTCGTCGAGGGTCGGCCCCCTTCGGGGACATCAGATCCCCCGTCGGGCAAATGATGGTGCCACCCCTGTCTTGGTCTCTATCTTTTAGCCCTTTAAAATCATTGGACAAAATCGGCGTCGGGAATCTTGCGTTGTGTTCGTCGTCAATTCAATAAGAAAATCAAAATTAATGGTAAAAAATAATCGAGCGCCCATTTCTCCCACTGATGGATCCCATCCACCACTTGTAGCTCATAGGTACGTTTCTGTTTTTCCTTTCTTTCACTTTCCTCTTACTATTTTTTTTATCTCCCTCTTATTTTTCGGCTGGATTGATGGCTGTGGGGCACGGGGCACAAGCCCTCGTGCTCCCCTCCCCCATTGGATCCGCCCATACATCATCATTGTCGTCATCATCATCATCACCACCACTACCACCATCCTTTTCCCACAGTTACTCATTGGCGGATCTGGAGGGGGTCGGGGAGTCCTGACCGTTTTCAAGAGGGGAAAACCTTGGATTTTCAAGAACTTATAAAAGTCAATAAAAGACACTTCAGAAGCTGTGAAAGCTCATTTTCCGCCATCTAGGAATCAAAATTTTTATGGGTTAGGACCCCTACCCCACCCTTTCTCTTCGGGGTTCATCGATGCATTGAATCGTTTTCAAGGGGAGAAAACCTAAACTTTTAGTGACTTAAATGTCATTAAGACAGAAATCGGAAAAGCTCATTTCCCGCAATCTAGGAATCAAAATTTTCTCCGACATAGTCACCCTCCTCCCCCTTGGGGTTTCATCGATTCATGGATAAATTTTATCCCCTCCTAAATTTGAACCTAGACCTGCCAATGGTTGCTGTAGGGTTGGTGCCAAAGATCTCTCCACTGTCAATGGGAAACGTGATTATCCTGCATTTCATTTTGTACTGTATTTGGTTTATAGTCAGTCCAGTACTGACCCAACAATACATTATATGATTCCAAGTGATCGTAGAATATAGATAGTGTTTTACATATGCTAAAGCTGATCACCGAGCTACAATAATGATCAACACATGATAATAACTCTACAATAATAATTATAGCCAGTCAATCATAAATATTTATTGACCTAGTACAGAAGAAATATAATTGGTTCTATACATATATAAATATACAAGTATTAAAATAGATAAATAATTTATAAATACATTCGTGTATATATATAATTTACAATCATTACTAAATGTTTACATGGTAAACAACTATAAAGAACACTAGCAGAAAAACAACAATGACGACATTATAGCCGGAAAGTAATAATGGCAGTTTTAACCCAATCAGAAACACTCTTACAACCCGTATTTATTCGGTCGAGCTGCGTATTTTATTTCAAGAACAATCAATGTACCGAAACATATATTGAAACCTAATAATTATTTTCAAAAAAAAAAAAAAAATATCTTAATAGCATTTACAATATAAATAGAATTCTACTTTCAATAGCTATTGCTATCACTTATCGTGAGAAGAGAATACTATATGTCAAGGGCGTTAGTATTCAAGGAAGACAAATTACACTTTAGTTGATGGACATTTAATAAGGGGGATGTGGGTGCTACTCCAACGGGATGTTTATTTAAATAAATAGTGTACAAAAATACTTCCCAATAAATAAATAGTGAACCAAAGTCACAGGAACTTTGCTTCTTCTCCACAATGAAGTTCACCACCCCTTTGTGTTTATAAACGTACTCACAATGACAAATCAATGGGTTATTCCCTTCCTCGGAATGGTACAAGTACAAGTATTTAGGTTGAGGATGAGTTCACGTGGACTGAGTCGTGGACACAAGTCCACGACTCAGAAACAAACAAACAAACAAACTCAGAATCAAAGAAACGTATGAGCAGCACAACTTTTCAAACAAACAAACAACAAACAAACAAACAAACAAACTCAGAATCAAAGAAACGTATGAGCAGCACAACTTTTCACTTGGATGTGTTGCTGTTTTACGCTGCTGGACTTCTGATCAATAACGATGGCTTGGACCAGACGTGTTCTGACTTCACAGCTGACATTGTTTATAACATTTGATACAGGTGCAGAACAATCCTCATTCAAAAACCATTGTTCCATACCATTCTCTGGAAACTGCAAAAGAATGATGAAATTATAATTTATTTCAATATAGTCAGTTATAAACAGTAGCACCATGAAGCAAATGTGTATTTTGCCGCTAAAATGTTATCATTAAAAGTTAGTCAACTATAAAACCTAAGTACGGCCGGAAGCGTATTGCTGCCAACTAAAAAATAAAATTTAGATATTATCTCGTTATTACGAAATATTATCTCGTAATTACGAGATATTATCTCGTAATAACGAGATAATATCTCATTATTACGAGATATTATCTCGTAATAACGAGATAATTATCTCGTAATTGCGAGATATTATCTCGTAATTACGAGATATTATCTCGTAATAACGAGATAATACGGTAAGGGTGGGAAATTGTGGACAGTATCAAAGAGTATATAACAGAAGAGAGTCCACTGCTTTTCCTAATGCACGCGAGTCAGCGTGACGCCCGATCTTTAAATTTCATTAATTAAAATTGTTTCGATGTTTATTTGAAAAATATATTATATGAAATAATGTAATCGTTAACGCTTTAATAATATTTGATATTTGATATTTGAATGTTAAACACAGACACAATGTATACACAGGCTTATAGTACTAGAGTCCAGTTAAAATATGTAAATAATACTCGAAATAATATACTTATAATATTTATATAAATATTATGCGTAAATATGTATTTAGTATATTAAATTAAATTTAACGAAAAAACGGAAGAAAAATATAGGAAGGAAGAAAGAGGAAAGGGGAAAAAATTGGAGCGGCTGAAAAAATTAACCGAAAATGAATTTAATTTAATAACTAAATACATATTTATGCATAATATTTAGGCCTATATAAATATATAAATAAGTATATCATTTCGATTCATATTTACATGATTTAACTGGACTCTCAACTAGGCCTGTGTATACATTGTGTCTGTACTTAACATAATTCAATCGTATTGCTTTATTTAAATACTGTATTATCAAATATTATTAAACGTTAACGATTACTTTATTTCATGTAATGTATTTTTCAAATAAATATCTAAACAATTTCATTATCGAAATATAAACTCTGAAAGTAAATTTACGTAGATTAGATCAATAAAAATGGACATAACAATCCTTATTATTAATCCTTCATTAACAATAATAACTTTTTCAATCTTCTAATCAAATTTATATAGCCGAAGTTAGTTTCGACGTAGGCAAACCTTGCTAAAATAAAAAATACATTATCCATCAAAAGGCTTTTCCTATGAATGAAATGACCTGTTCAAAGCAGTGGCGCCTCTAGGATATAATTTATGGGGGTGGGGGCTAAGATTTCTGACTGGGGGACTAAGTATTTATGGGGATAAGTATTTATGGGAGCAACTACTAGCTAGCAGCGGTATGGGTGTGGTAGGGTGTGCCCTCCTCCCAAAACGATTTTTAAAAATTGGGTCCACAATTACCTACACCCGTAGGTAATTGTTGACCCCAGTGTAATTAATGCTCGTTAGCTAATTAAATAATAATCTGATAATCTTGAATTATGCGTGTAATTAAAGACCAATAATAGTTGTTGATAATAAAAAAAACTTTCAGGTGTATAACTCAATCCACATTTTTTTAATTTATGCAAATATGCTTAAAGGTTCAGAATTCCCCACCCTTACCCTACCTCGTAATTACGAGATAATTATCTCGTTATTACGAGATATTATCTCGTAATAACGAGATATAATATCTCGTAATAACAGATAATTAGATAATTCGTAGTTTTTTTCGTAATTACGAGATAATTATCTTGTTATTACGGGAAAATATCTCATAATTACGAGATAATATCTCATAATTACGAGATAATATCTCGTAATTACGAGATATTATCTGAATTTTATTAATTTTTTTTTTAGTTGGCAGCATTACGCTTCCGTACCTTTGCCTTATGGACTTGACGATTATTTGTATAATTATGTAGACAGGCAAAATACTGCGTTGAATATGTAGGCCTACAGCATAGCCTATTATGTTGGTGACTAAACCCACCTGTACAATTTGGACCAGTTTGCCATCCTCGGTTTTCGCTAAATATAACGTTTCCCAGGTTTCTACACGTGGACACACTTCGACTTTAAAAGGACCTGATTCTCGTTTTGTAGCAATACTGTCTGTGTGGATCGCAACTGTTGACTCCTCGTTTGCAGCCATACGAGAACTGTTTTGGAAATAACTGCCGTAAACGCTGAGAACTTCCATTTTTTGTGTCTCTGTGAGGACCATGAGAGATGATTGGTTACGGTCATCCGATGACCTGCTGCTTCTCAGCAGCGAGGCGGACGATCCCAATGATGAGTCTGATGATGATGATGAATCAAAATTTTCTAGGTCAACCATCTGTGAAATATCGATTGCTATTCCAGTATGTTGTTGTTTGATCAAATCTTGTTCAGCACACTTTTGTGTACTCAGATGACGTTCGATTCGATTTTTGAATAGATGTTCTATAAGTCTGTCGTAAGTGGCTGTTCTCAGGGGGTGGCGCGCTCCTCCACGGTAGACAGGAATACCTGAACCAAGTTTGATCAGAGTTAGTAATCCGAATATTACCTTTGATATTTTTTTACTGAGCATTGTTGAGCCTTTCCTAAAATTAATAATATGTAACGTTCAGAAAGCTCTCTCTCTCTCCAAATTGATGAAGATAATCCAGATTCTGTACCTCAAGTAATTATGATACTGCACCGATTATTTAACTTTGAAGAAAATGATCTGCCTGCGTGGATATAGTCGCTATACAAGTCCTTGTTGATTGATTGATTGATATAGGATCATACTAAAAAATATAAAAAAGACGTTCTGTAATGAAAGAATAAGTGATTCAATAATGGTATAAGTAGGGATAAATTATAGGAACTGTTCGTTTCAAGACAGAGTAAACCAATAGACCATGTTTTATGTTTTGACAACTTTAGTACGGTACCATAAAAGTGCAACCAATGGTCTCTTAAAAACCAGGGAACAGTTATTACAGTGTACTTTAACTGTTCCCTGCTTAAAACCGGTCATATATATACTGATCAACGTATTTCACAAAATTGCGTGAGCTAAAACCAAAAATGTAGAAATCTGAAAAGTTCAAGTTTTCTTAATCTTTGAACCATTGTCATTCATCGAGTGGTCTAAAAAAGAAACTGAAAAGTCTGGATATAGAATGCATTGTTTTGAGGGATTATCGTTAAGTAGAGTCGGCCATGGTTAATGAGCTTTAAGTTCAGGGAACAGTTGGCCAGCTATCAATATTCACCTTGTATGTATTTTTAGATATGATTATTTTAAGCACATTCAAAATGTAAATAATTATTATACAAATCAGGAAAACCGGTAGCAGCTATTACGTCAGCTAATATTTCTGTTTCCTTAATGTATTTAGCATAGTAGAAAATTGTCGCTTGGTAAATATTTGCCTTGGTACAGCTTATGTTATAATAGTGGTGGTACCTTTTACCAAATCCGTTTTTTAAATAACCCACATGTCCCTGTGGGTGGGTTTCTCACCAGAATACTTATTATAAAAACCTATATATACTGTATAATGATATATATCGTGTCATAATGTATCTGGTTTTACAACCGAACAATATAATCCGTTAGGCCACACAAATTGTAATCATGAAGCAACACCACTGCTGCATTTACTCTAGATATTTAAAGACTAGGACTTCTATCCTGTCGACCTTTATTATACACATAATATGAACTTTTTTTCTTCTTCTTCAAGCTATATGCCCATGTCATTGTGATACCTGGCTGTAAACAGGATTTTGGCAATTCGGTGAAATGGTGTTACTGTTTGTGGTTTCGCTTTTGCACTTCATTGGGATTTATTTCTTTTCAGTTCCATATTATTTCAGGTTTATTGGATTGATAAAATTCCTTTGGGATCTTAGAAATCTATAGGTAAGGACACAAATTCATGTATAAATAATAAAATATAATACTTATAAAATATTTATTACCACACTGTCATGATCGCGACAAAGGAATTAATCCAAGGACAGGTTAACTTAACATTTCGTCATCACAGTGACTGAGCATGAAGTATGGCATTTTATAAATTTATTTACTGTTGGCTTTCATGGGACTTTGGAATAAAGTGTAATACACAGTCTATGAATAGTAGTTTCAAGTATTTCCTTCGTTAGGTAAAAATAACCCTCTGTCTTGCCCACGCAGAGTGAATTTAGACTACCGGTTGGCATATAAAAAAAAATATTTAGACTAAGATTTGTTTTCACAATATTTAAGAATTACAGTACTTGGTTTCAAGTCTATCATAAGTCTTGGCCTACTCGATCATTGGTCCCCTCTCCCGATGATATCTTTTTTAACTGTACGATGTTTTTCAAATGTTTCTTACCGCTAGGCCCATTGGGTGCAATTCCTTTTATTGTACAGTGGTACCTTATTTTTATTCTTATGGATGATGTGAGGTTTACTCTTGACATATTCACAGCACTGATAGACAAGTTACCGGCAACCATATGATCATTACCCTAACGATACTGCTACCCAATACCATCATATTTTCCGTGTCCTTCCTTTCTTGTCTTTACAGACATTATTTCGTTATTATTTTATACTATTATAATTTAATATTATTTTTTATTCTTATCATCGTCATCATCATCATCTTCATTATTATTATTATTATTATTATTATTATTATTATTATTATTATTATTATTATTATTATTATTATTATTATTATTATTATTATTATTATTATATTCATCGGCATTGCCATCTTGACAAATTTGTGAAAAAAAATGTATACACCTCGGAATATTCTAACGATTAACAATTAATCTTAATAAAACTTGTGCTATTTTGAAATGCTTGGAGCCCCGGTCAATCAACTTAGTAAGAACTTGCGCTATCTGACCACAAACCAATTATTCATTGTATTTATTTGATCCAGATACAGCAAAGGTTTTATGGTCAAATAACAAAATTGGCTTTTATATAATCTGTCTGGATCACCTCTATTGAAAATTGTATACACGGACCTTATTATACAGTAAGTCTACCAGTACCAGGCATATTCGATTTGCCTACACAGTGTTACAATTTTCTGATGATGTAATCACTTCAGATGTAAAGGCCTATTTCATCGTCTCTATATATAGGCCTAGTGTTCATATCTGTACTAGAAATTGTAAAGGGTTTTTCAGGTTGTAAATGATTACGGAGACTTGAAGTAAACGCATTGCATAATATTAATAATACACATCCTGTCTGTGGTTTCATTCTCCCATGACTTTGTAATTTATATATTATGAAATGTATTTTCCAGCCACAGAATACGTCGTCCGGCAGTTTGGCTCATTGTCACCCGCCCTGTTGTCACCCATTCCCGTCCGCTTCATTTTCATTCGGGATTTTACTAACCAACCCTTTGCAATTTACAGTATTTGTTACCACCCGTTTTTCTGGCCTTTCGCACTTAATGTATAGCGTTTCCTTCACCCAGGACCACTATGAGTACTGATGATATAAATAATGATATTCATGATGACTGCGATGATGATTAATTCCTTTGCGTATGTTACATATATGCCTATATGTAATAAAGGATAAAATAATTTTATATACAGATTAATGAATACATAAATGGCATATATCTGGTTTTAATCCTACCTAAGTACCTAAAGCTCTACTATTTTTAATCGATTCCGCCAAGAAATAATTTTATTTTACCTTTTAAGTGATTGGGAGTGGTTGGATAAGTGTTAGAAACCTCACACGCTTTAAATCGTTTAAAACCTTCATTGAAACGTTCTTACTTCCCCTGTTTTCCTCGCTTTCTGGGCTGTATCGTTTCCAGTCTTCAATTATTCTCTTGGCCTACGTATTTGTGTTGGATTTAGTTTTACAATGCATATTTATTTATTTATTATTGCCTTAACATTGTAATTTATCATTTAATTTCATTCAAGTTTATATTATTTTCTCTTTTTCGTTGGTAGTGCTGTTTTTTCCTTTGGCCTACCTCAGTTATTTATAATAAAAACTTTAAAAAAAAAAAAGAAGGAAAAAAACCCAAAAAGTAATAAAAAAAATTATTATAAATAGTAATTATAACTATATACAATTTTAATATTTTCTTACATTGTTTATTCAAACCAATGTTCTTTTTTTTTTTACTTTTGCGGGGTGCATTGGGTGATTGGGTCATTTGTGTTTTATCTCGTTCATGTTTAATGTTTTGGGGCTGCCAAACCTTGTACAGGAACCATGTTCCACATGTATTTGAGGAAATTTATATTATATTATTAAATGATTAATATTATTATTTATGATTAATTATACTGTTGGTTATGCCATAGAGTGTTATATTTTCTATATGGTTATGCGGTTAATAACACTTGATAGATTAAAATAGCAACACTTAATTGTGAATCCTGGATTTTGGATATACAGCTGTGATAAACAAAGAACGAATATCCCGAATTTTGTTTGCCCTAGATTTTTACAATATTATCTTGAGTTTGTATTATTAAATAATCAAGTATTTTTGCTTATGCATGGCTCTACTGGCTTGGTCTAACACTAATATAAAAATTAATTTAAAATATTTGTGAACATTCAGTTTTCTGGAATGTTCTCTTATCTGTATAACGTTAAGTCCTACTAAGTAAAATGGCCTAAGTATGCCCCCTTTTTTTTTTTCATAATAATTGACTTACCTTGCACTGTAGGCCAAAACATTATTAATTATCTGTCTCGTGTACTGCATTATATTCACAATTACTTTTTTTTTCCTGACGCAAACTCACATCCTAATAGCACTTGAAGTACACGCTGCTGCCAGGGGATCGGATTCATCAGGCTAGATACATGGAGGTCGTGGGTTCGATTTCCACCCGAATCACTTTCGAATTTTTTCGCTAGTTTTTGGGGACGTACTGAGTCGGTACGATAACACGTCAGGTAGGACAAAACATCACTCCCACAATTACTTTGTTATTATAATAATAAATGATGCGTCATATACAAACGTTTATATCGCGTTGTTGCGCTGGAAAATATGTTTTGATTACTTATTTTTTTTGACAAACATGCTAAGTCAGAATTTACAGATTATGTTTTAAATAATCAAAGAATCAATCAAGTTGTGTGGAATTTCTAATGTTTAAAAACGATTTATATACGGTAATATATATAGCTTAAAATAGTAGCCTACCAGTTTCCTATTATTTATTGCTCATATATAATATTTTTCTGAATTGTTTTCGGGATGATTTGTGAAATATTTAAAGATGCACTGTCTACCAAAAACCTGGGAAAAACCTGAGAAAACCAATAAAGAGCTTAAATTGTTCATTTAAAAGATCATATAAGTTGTTATCTTCCAGAAACAATGATTGAAAAATAGTTTTGCTGATTTACGAATATTTGACTACAAAATGCTTAAATTAATTACAGGTCAATTTAAAGGTCTATACAAAAGAATACAGAAACATATTCATTTATTGACGTTGAATTTTTTTTTCTCTCATTCAAATTTTTAGGGACGCATTATTATATACAAAAGTAGCGATTCAAAAATTAAATTAAATTTTATTTTTTTTTAGCTCATGACAGAAAGTACCGAAAGGTCCACTGATTAATCTCAGATAAGAAAGTATAATACATACTCCAAGTATTGAAATACACGCCATCGTGTTGGGATTCAATATTTCGACATTAATTATGTCATCATCAGGAATGATGACAGAAAACAGAAAGTACATCCTTATATAATGAAAATAAAATAAGTAAATAGTTTATTGTGCAATACTGTATGTACTTACCCAAGATCAAAATGATATGAGTCGTATATACTACTTAGGGCCTATATCTTTTGCAGAAGCAAGTTGTATTTCCCAACAATCATGTCCCTTCCTGTCGTTGGAAGCTGATTCTGCTTCTCCACCCCAACCGCCCTTTTATATAACAACAATAACCGGTCGATTTGGCAAATTAGGTCATTAAAGGATGTCCGTAAAGATTATTGCGGAAAGAAAATCTTTTCAACTAGATTTTTTTGCCGCTACATAATAAGCGAATGTGGTCTTAAAATATCCTAATATATAATGATTTACGTAGTGCAAGTGGAATTTTGTAAGGCTGCCGGATCCCTTCAGGAAACACAAGTGGACGAGCTTAGTTTTTCGTAGAATGACGTCATAATACAGTTCGTGCATTTATTCACTGTTTATAGGCATATATTTCCAATGTGAAGATACTTATCTGTTATTGATTGGCTTTAATTATTTAATGCATTACAGAATCCTATCTATATAGCCTAAAACAGGCTAGGCCTCCTCTCTTTGTGATGTTTAACGTGCACCATACGTTCGGATGTCTTCTTTGAGGTCTGTTAGTACGACCGTTACTTTAAACATCAACACTATAAAATTTTACTACCTTACGATTTATGATGATGAAGACTGCATGCTTTGATGTTGTGTGTAAAATTCCACTCTTAGCTTAATAAATAAATAACGTGAAACCGAACGTCCGGTGTTGTTTGAATCAGGGTTTACGAATGTAAACTTCCTATGTTGACAAACGTCTCATTTCCAGGGGCTTGAAGTATTTATTTATTGCATTTCTCAGTGTTTTTTTTTGTTTTTGTTTTATAATGCCGTCTTACCTATTTCTTGTCGCGGTCCCTCAGTTTAAAAAAAAAAAAATTCCTCCCTCAATTAACTAACCCTTGTATAGGCCTACTTCCTGTCAATTGACCTTTCCTTAATCACTCCTTCTATTTATGAAGCAAATGCTCTATTTTTACTCAATTCAAACAGAATGTACAGAAGTTTCAATGTAGGCTATATTGAAAATGACATTATAAATTATTTTAAATTTTACGCGCTGATATAGGCCTATTGTATGATAGTTTTAGTGGACATTGATCCTCTTGATAGGAAACCGAAGCAAACCAAGCTTTAACAATACTGCACATGTAAGATCCAGAAACTTTGTTGGCGTGATGTGATCTCCATCATTCAATAAGTATAGGCCTATGTGTAAACAAATCAGTAGTCCTACTTTACCGCTAGCAGTGCTTTAAAATGTATGTAATTTTATGATCTTTGACGCATAGATGTTCCGCAGGTGGCGAGAACCTCTATGCATAAAATAAAGCTGCATTTACATCGGACCCCCGTCGGACTGCGTTTCCGACGAGCTGAACGGCAGTATCCCTCTATTCTTACATAATTCGATTTTCTGATCGGTTCAGTAGGTTCCCGATCCAAATATTCGGATTCGGTGTCAAATGCACATTAAGTACGGTATTTTTTCTTGTGTGTCTGTGGGTTACCCCCTCTAAGAAGGATATATTTGCCCGTTGTTTGTTTGTACAGCTCTTTGTCGGTTGGCTATGCAAAAAATAAGTAATGCATGATTATATTATTTAATACAGCGGTAGAAAATTTAAGGGTAAAAAGTTCAAAGGCCGATGTCATTCAAAGTCGGATTAATCGATTTTTCTTTTTAATAATAGTTATTCAAGGACGTGTTGGAAGTATATACTATGGAGTGCGTGCTATAGTTCATAAATCTTGTTTTGTATTATGGCCTAACTATTAAAGCGAAAGCACCTTTGCAAATTTAAATAAGTTATGAAAAGGATGTGCTTTGTAAAAAAAAATGATATAATTATTATACAATCATGCGCGTATCCCGGGTGAGGGTTGGGGGAGCGGTGGGTGCGTACGGTACGTACGTAGCCCCCGAAATCAAAGAAAGGTCCAAATTTTAACTTGAATGTACTCATGATACAACATTTATTCTCCATTACATCGAGTCTTGCTGTATTTCACAAATTACGAGGCTGAAATTGATAGCTTCAGAACCCATACAATACCTAAGCTTTAATCCTACCACTCTGCCCCTTGACTCCACGGTGGCTTCTAGGCGACCCCATATCATTTTTTTTTGTATTA